CTTCCAAAAACGGGGCTTTTTCTCGACACGAGTAAATTTTTACATATTTCGAGAGCTCTCAATTGCGCGAGTTTGGGAAAACTGTCAGAATTGAAATACGCTAAGGATTGAGGGTGGTGTCGACGTTTGCGTTTTTGACACTTTTTGGTGGTGAGTTTGCGAGCGGAACTTTGCGGTCGTCGTCGGTGAAATTGCCTCGGGGTCTTTTGTCCCGGGATCGGGTTTGCGGAGCGAGGGAGGCGGTGGGTTGGTGTGAGGGTTCACTTTCACTTAATTCACTCTTCACTCTTCACTCTTCATTCTTCATTCTTCATTGCGGGAATGTGGGAGGGAGTTGGGTTGCATGGATGGATTTTTAGTTTGGTAAGGTTTTGGGGCCTAGGGGTTTCTATGGAGATTTTTTGATAGGAGGACTTGATGCGCCAGCTTTTTACTTCAGATAGGATGGTCAGATATGTATGATTTTATCTTCATCTGATCTGGTTACGTCGGCGCTCAACTATGGACTGAAAAGCTTACCAGTCAACATCGCTGAGTGTAAGAAACCCTTGATCGCGCATCCACAATTCTACTTGGTAACTTTCATTTATTGTAGCTACTACTATGCGTTTTCAACAACCGCAGCTTCATGCATTGATTTTTAAAACCTTCACAGAAGGACTTCTTAGAACTACACTTGTGTTGCCTATTGTTTAAAATTTATCTATTCTAAAATAAGTCTCCCAATGAGTAACATAAAAATAACTACCATCCAGAGCAAGAGAGTTTTGTTACACATCTAGAATCGCCAGTAATAAATTTCTTTGGCCCGACTAACATTCTAACAAACAATCTACAATTTCTGGTGGTAACGGCTTCATGTATAAAAAGTCACAAAGTGTTGATTGTATAATGAATACATATCTTAGTTTCATAAGATCTATATAGATCTTACCAACCCTCACCTCCATGTACGTAGTCAAGTCGTTGCTAGGTGATCGACCAGTGAATACCACTTAGCGTGAAAAAGGTCGTTCAGTCGCGCACTTTCAACCCAAAATAAGCATTTCCATTGGCTTGTTTTATTTACAAAAATTAAGTTTGATAACATGAGATGTCGCAAATTTATATCAGACGAGAGCCGCAATGGGGCCCGCGTCAATATTCTACGTCATTATTTCACAAACATGCCGAGGTTCGGCAGGAATATTAATTTTCCAGGTCACGTTTATCACGTGAAATGGCTATTCCGGGATTCTACCGATCTGTTGCACGTCTGTGGCTAAAATTGAGCCCCATACAAAAAATGGTAACTTTCGCAATTATTGGAAATGTAACTTTTTTAAAGCTGGAGGTTATAGAGGACGCTTGGAATAGTGTAGGAGTAAAGTTTCGGGGCTTTTGACTGCTTGGTTGTTGCGTGGCGCATCGGGGCGTTTTCGACGTTTTTGGTTTTCACGCGATTTATGTCGCAATGTGCCAGCGGCGACGATGAAACCTTGGCAGGAAGGTCTTATGGGGTCAAGAAGTGGTTGCTGCTAGTTTGGGGTCTGTCCGGTGGTTGCGTAACGTCTGCGGAGACTTTGAAGGCTGATCTACACTCTTCAACATGCGCCCCGGCGCCCTGTCTCAGATTCGTACGCGTTGGTGGGTATAACGGCATTTGTGCGAGGTGCCACGAGTGTGCTGAAGAGTTTGCCCCATTCATGGGGATGATTGGACTAAAATTGGAAGTTTTGTGAACTTTTGTCTGCCGGCGCGCGCGGGGCTCGATGTGCGTGGACGGAAAATATGGGAATGTATCTGCTGCAGCGGATCATAAACGTTAGCAGAGTGCTTGCAGGAGACCAAGGGAAACATAGATTCAGACCAGTAGCCAAACATGTCCAATTTAATAGAAGAGGAAGGAATTGTGCGAATTTTGTTTTTGCGCACCAAGAGCCCTACCAGACTGTCGCATTATGGATGTTGAATCTTGCGAATATTTTAAATTTCAAAGCTGAGGCTGTCGCAGATAGCTTCCTTATACGGAGGCTCAAGTTTGGCAGAGTTAGAAATAGAAATGGTAAAGTGATGGCCCGGGGCGTTTTTGAGAGTTGGGTTGTTGACCGGGGGCGTCGCCTCTTTCCTATCGAACTACCTGTTTTTCCCTGTCCCTGCCTTATGCATTTCCATCTGCATTATTAAGAGCTGTCTTCGTCGAGGCTTGCCATTGCCAGTTGCATGGAAGGGTCGTAGGCAATATCCGCTGTGTGCAGCTTCGAGCGCATGCCAGTCTATCGTCACATCTGCTCTCAAGTAATCGCATTAGCAAGAGTTCATTACTTGACTGCTGTCTCACAACCTCCTCTCCCTTTTCTTTTGAATTTCACTCTCTTAAGCGCCACCTTCAGTGAAATATTTCATTGCGCATCTCAACAAAGCTCTAGCTCTTCACAGCTTGTAAGCAGAGACCACTTCGATACACAGTAGATAAATTTGCAGCTCCAAGATGTCATGAATGCCTCTGCGGGTTCAAGTAATGAGTGCAGGTTTTGTGACCGTTGAGTGTTGCCGGAATGGTTCTTTTACACTTACTTCGTTTGATAGTTTTTGTTTATAGCTTTCAGATTATCCCAGCACAAAATATTGTAAGGTAAAAAGACGGACAGTGAATGCGACACCTTGTGCGCGGGGAGAGAGTTATGAGTTGATAAGATAGGACGGCATGGTGTGAGTGATGTATTATTTTAGCGATGGCAGGGCTTAGGTTTTGCGAAGATGAGATGGAAGAAAGATGGGGATTGGAGGGGACGTTGATTTTCGTAGAGATACAAAGACTTAAAATAGTACGACAGCAGTTCTTGATCGGCAACGTATACATCATACACGAGAAAGTATGAATAACAGGATGAATTAAAATTAACTATTATCCAGTCGTGAGACGGATATATAATGGCTCCTGTTGCATGACTACCTTTGCTACCAAAAGGCTTCCCTTGCGGATGCGAGCCCAGAGTGCTCGTGTTGTGAAAGATCAAAAGCTACTACGCTTTAACCTCCATATATTTTGCTAGATGCCATTCTTCGTAGCAAGATATGATGTTTCAACCCTTAATCTTCTTCTTCTTGTCCTTCTTCTTTGGTTCCGAGGCCGCGCTGCTCGATGGTCCATCCATCATTCCAGCCATTCCAGGCATTTGCCCTCCCATTTCAGCCAACATATCCTTGAACAAGTTCTCACTAATACCACCACCAGATAATGCTGCACTATAATATGGCAATATTTCTCCCATCTTCCATCCTTTGGGTACTACAGGTTTGGGTAATGGTTTGCTAGGATCAGGTGGTGGTATGCCAGCAAGTTGAGGTTGCATGGCTGTTCGTTCTGTGGTTGGGTTCTCTTTCAGGTGTTTCGCGATCAATGTATAGAGGTGGTGCTCTGTAATTCAGCAAGCGTTAGTTTATGCCAATGTGATTCTCGCGGAGTGCCCTAGAGAACTCTTCAAAGAAAACGTACTGTTCTTAATAGCTGTGTTTCCCCCTCTAATATTGACCTTAACTCGACCTGGATTTGCCCAATCCTTAGGATGAGTCTTGACTGGCTCAAAGAGTGTTTCAATTCGAAGTCTAGAGCATGCAGCAACAATTTCTCGGGCGACTGGATTCTTGACAGCTAGTTCCATACCGACTCTTCTACCTTCTGCTCGGCTTCTGGTCGCATCAAAATATATTGGATAGATGCATTGAAAATCTTTGTACTTGGAGCTGTCTTCCGTTGAGCGAAATTGTGTGCCATCTGCGCCGGTGGTAATTTGAGAGCCAGAAAATGGGATGTTTGCCGGATTCATTTGAGAAGATTGGGCGTTAGGAGGTGGAGCGCGCTTTGTAGCTGGCGGTGCTGCTGTCCTCTTCTTGATAATATCGCGGTCTGAGAAATCCGAGGCCACATCTGAGATATCGCCTTCTGAGGGATCACTGGCGCCATATTCATTGTCGCTATCCTCGACCTCTTCAATTCTTGCGTGTGACATCTTGCTTGTCGTTCGATCGCAGATCGTGATTTAGGAGGTGTGTACTCCGTAGGTAGGTTTCCTAAGGATGTGGGGGTGGGGTCTAGAAATGCTAAAGCTCAAAACCTTAACATTCTTCGGGAAGCGGCGATCGTCACGTGAAATGTCCCCAAGCTCTTTAGCACTTTTTAGCAAGCACAATTCACGCGTTTGAGAGATATAAGTAGTTTTGTCCAAGCCCGACTAATCTTTTCCCTCATTGCGGAGGTAGGTTGAAGTTTGGGGTAATGAATGGGATTGGAATTTGGTTGATTGTGCGCGAAGGATTTATCGTTCAGGACTGCCCACGATTTGAGGAACAAGTATTGATCAGGATAATGATAGGAGCTTGAGATGGAGAGTCAAAGTTCGGGGATCGAGGACTACTCCTCTGATTTTATAATCGTTTCCCCCTTTAACTAACGCGATCAGACTCAGATAATGACTCGGGACTACACGGCAACGAGGCAGTGTTTTGAATGTTGAAATGAAGCTGCGCAGTGTAAAGGTCCCCACCAAACACACACTTGTCTGGATAACAATCCTTTCTACTTGCCAAGCCACTCTCATCAGGCAGCTCGAATTGAGTGAAACAAGTAGAGATTTTCATAGCAATGTGAAAGAACCGGGCTCATACTCTGTTCAATGCAATTAATCAACCAAGTCTTATGTAATTGAGAAGGGAGGTCAGTAAGGGAGTAATAAAGTACAATGAGTACAACATTCGGTAGTGGGGTTTAGAAACAACATCTGCCTAGATAATGGAGTTCAAAGACTGATGGTACCAGGGACCCATGCCGTGGCTGATAGATGTAGCTTTCGTTCCTTGATTTCGTGTTCCTGGATCGCAAGGGGCGAGAAGGTCGAGAAGGGGATATATGTACATGTATGGATATATTGCAGGCGGTCGAAGGTTTGCTTATTCATTGTACAATGCTCCTCTCCTTTCACTCGTATTTGCAGTACTCCTGAAATTCAACAGTTGATAAAATGGTTATGACCAACCTCGCATGGGGTCGAGGATGGCAGTTCTTCAGGTATAATTGTCGTACAGGTGAGACATCTGGTACTGTACTTCCAAATCTGGTATTATCAAATGCGGCTCCCCAGTGCCAAATGATGTACTTTCTTTCCTATCTCTCCTTTCTTTTCTTTTTTTCGGAAAAAGAAAAGGGTTGGAGGGGTCGGGGTTTGCGTGGTGGCATATTCAGGCGGCGACCTTCAATTAAGCCTTCTTCCAATGTTCTGGTCAAAAGCTTGGGAGTCTTTTCGTAAAGTTGTCGTGTACTAACTCCCTTCTAAGGAATTAGCTATCATAGAGATAGAGGTAAAGGAAGGCAAGTGATTTGGGGTAAACTTGGAGCTGTACGAAGGAGGCAGTCATCTTCTTCCGCCAGATCAAATCCAGGGTTTGTTTATATTCAGCCCATTCCTATTGCGAAGTTTTGTAGAGGATTACTTCAAATCTGGAGGGATCTCGGGATGATGAGGAGCGATATTGATAAGAAGAAATTTGATCAAGGCCAAGAGCAAGAACAAGAACAAGTCAGAGGGGATGATCCAAGAGATGATTATGGTATTGACGTTGCGAATGATACTCGTGGTGAGTCAAAATCCATTCATATAAATGAAGAGCCTTTCCCATTTTCATGAAATTGGGGACATTCGAGTGAAGATCCAGTCAGCCTTATACGATGTTATAGATATCAGGTATGGGTGCGCATTAGCTTATACTGTAACCATGACGGCACCACTCCACTACTACCTGGTTGACTTCGATACCACTTGTATACGGAATTATCTCCCATGACTTAGTCTGAGAGAATGTCTTGTGCAGGATAATTCTCATCTTCATCTATTTACTTGTACCTAATGGCACTTCATAACACTCTTTGAATCCAGTATAAATCTTTCAATTCACTTCGAGAATCCACCTTCACCTCTTTTCATCTTCTAGAATTGTATCCGACAAGGCTACCGTTTAAGCCTGTCTAGAGAATATCTTCCTGGGGCAAGTCCTTCACTTCCTAGAATGTTGATTCAATTCCCTCAATTCTCAATGCCTCTCGTCAACTCTCCCCAAACCTTTTCAATAATTTGAAGTTAGCTGATTGGATTATCTGATTATCAAGAGCACACGATGGATGCCTCAAACAAGGCGATCTACGTTGAGAAAGGTGTAGATGTGTCTTTTGGAATTGACAATGGTAAGAGTTTCCCTCTCATTATTTGGCAGCCGCCTCCGATCTAGGTGTCGAAATCCTGAAACTGTGCAGTCTTGCGTGTCAATAACGAGAGCATCTAGCTAATATTGTGATCAAAAGTCTCCTCTAGATACGCATCCAAGACCAGATCGACCTCGCCCGCCTTGTCAGATGCATCCTCGTGTACTCTGAGAGAAAGTTCACCAGAGCCAGAAACAGGGGCAAATCCCGTATCAACAGATTCCACGGTACTCGACGCCAATCCTTCTTTCAAATCTCTCTCCATATCACCCGAGACACCTGACACACCTGTGACACCAACCAAGAAACGACCCTTGGAGGAAAGTGAGCTATCTTTCACGAATTTGGAGATCTTTAATGCTTCCAAACGCCACAATGGAACTTCAGTCGCAGCATTTCGTAGTACATGTCACATGAATGCTAGACCTTTTCAGTCCCGCAACATCCCACAAGCTGCTTCGCTCAAACAGAGAATCCCACTAAATAGCCTTCGTACTCACCAACCCAATCACCAGACCGCAGACTCTCAGATTTCAGATCAGTCCAGAGCTGCTCGCGCTGATACCAATACCCTTCGCCAGGATTCAATTATCGCAGCCCCAAAGGAAATCATAAATCTTGACGAGGAAGATGACCTCCCCGCTTTTCAAACCCCTGCCGGAGTCGAAGTCATTGATCTAGACGAGTACGAGAAAGAAAATGAGCTCGAGGAAGATATCTTTGGCATTGAGCAACATGCTGAGCCCCAAAACAACTTCCAGCGTGCTTTTCTTGCCGATAGGAACCCTGAGATCGTACCTCCCAGTGTAGAAATTCCATCAGCAGCGTGGAAATCCAGTCTTCTCAGACCCGAGAAAACAGTAGAGCTGAAGAACGGAACCTTTCTAAAGATCAAAACAATCGTCAAGAATCTCGCAAGTGACGAAATTTCAATCAGAGGCTGGAAACTCGTACGTACACGAGATCCAATGCTTGGTGGCATTGTAGGAAAGAAGAGAAACGAACTTGCATTTATTCATGAGGTGGACAGGGACGACAAACGAGACGTATGGGAGCAATCTGTACACACGATTCGAGTCGATGAGGTTTTGAAGATCCGTCGCTTAATTTGTATGAATAGACTTCTGCCGGAATGTAGATACGATAAAGATGATATTCCTGTGGAGATTCAAAGTAAAGAAGAGAGTGAGATATTGAAATATATAGAGGAGGAGATGGTATTGGTGGCGAGAATTGTTTTTGTGGCTAGATATCCAAATGCAGAAGCGAGAGTAAGGAAAGGTGTACTTGTGGATAGACCACGAGAATCGGGAATTCTGAGATCTCTGCAGAAGAAAGAGTGTACCGAAGGTTATTTCATTGATCTGGATGAGAAAAAGAGGGGGTGGAGAGGAGAAACTATTTTGGGCGGCTCAGGAAACCTTGATAATGGGGGGAATGGATTCAGCTTTACTTCCCAATACACATACGGCGATGGATGTAAGTGCAAACTCCCTTATGGATGTAGCATCATCTAACAAGAGCATTTAGATTGCGGAGCAGGCGGTATGACCCGCGGCGCTGCATCCGCTGGTCTCAAAATTAAATGGGGCTTCGACTTCAATCCTCACGCAGGCGAGACCTGGCAAAAGAACTTCCCCTCCGCAAAATTCCACCTCTTACCCGTCAACGAATTCGCCGCTCTCCCCGATCCCCACAAGAAACTCTGGGTCGATATCCTCCACCTCTCTCCTCCATGTCAAGTTTTCTCGCCCATCCACACGTGTCCAGGACGTAATGATGAAATGAACTATGCGGCTCTCTTTGGCGTTATGGCTGCGATTGAAAAAGCGAGACCGAGAATCGTGACGCTGGAACAAACTTTTGGGATTTTGCATCCAAAACATAAAGATGCTTTTAATGGACTTATTGCCTGTTTTACGAATTTGGGGTTTGATGTTTCGTGGAAGGTGGTGAGGCTTCAGGGATATGGGACGCCGAGTCGAAGGTCGAGATTGATTATTCTTGCGTCTTGGTATGTTTCTTATTAATTCCTATCCCTTCATTGTCTTTTCTCGCTTTCCAATCCATCCAAAATATTAACCCTTACTCCCCCCAAAGTCCAGGAGAACCCCTCCCCCACATGCCCCAATACACCCACCACGACCCGCACCTCCTCCTCCCCTCTCAAACCCCCTACCTCACCCCCAACGACGTCCTCTCCACCATCCCCCGCAACGCCCCCAACCACGACCCCTCAAGCGAAAGACTTCATCGCACAACCTACACTCCCTGGAACGGCAACACCATCTGCCGCGCGATCCTCACCAGCGGGGCCGGCGTCGGTCTCCCGAACGGTACGCGCGGAATGACGAATCGAGAACTCGCTGCGCTGCAGGGATTTCCGCTCAACCATGTTTTCTATGGCTTCGAAATTAAGAAACAAGTGGGTAATGCGGTGCCGCCAATTTTTGGGAGGAGGCTGTTGGAGAGTGTGAGGAGACAGTTGGAGAGGAGGGATGGGTGGGTGAGGGGAGAGGGCATTGTGATTTGTTCTGATGAGGAATAGGAGGTTGGTATTTGGGATTTAAGAGAGCTGGGGATGGATCGGTGTGTTTTTTGCGTGGTGGGTTGGAAGTATATGGGTCTAGATAAAGGCTGGTGTGGTTAAAGTGGCAGAGACTCGCAAGTGTGTTTTTTCAGTTCAATTTTTATAATGGTAAAAGAGACTAGTTCGTTATATTTCAAAATCTTTTCGATTCGATCAGATGCAATCTAATCTCACAGCGTGAAACACTCGAGATATTTTATTTCAAAGAAAATTGCGAAGAAGCAGAATGCAATTCGATTATCCAAATCCATCCTTCCACCTCCCTCAACCAACCACCATCCAAATCGTCCCCTAAATCACTATACAGAACTTCTCCACCACCCAGTACCGATATTTCACTCAAATAATCACAATCTTGATTGTAAATGTCTGATGCGGTGTGCATGACTATGTATTAATGGGGTACCTGCACTAAATCCCTCTATCCGTATTTGCTTTCCAAAAACATCAGAATATCTCCTGCGAAGCAAGAAAATAAACTCTAACTTAAAACGATGAAATTCCGTGGTACTCCAATATTCCTTATTAATACACCTACCCTATAAGCCTCTGTTTGCATGCATGACCACATGCAAATCTTCCCACGTATCCCATTGAACCACACCCAAATAATGATATATATACCTCCATCTCAGCTCCACCCCCCCCCAGCCCTCAGATAAACAGACTCCCTAGAATCCCGCCTCATCAGCCTTCCCACTCGTATTTGCATTCCTACTCCCACTCGCCTCTGCGCCTCCCGAATTCCGAATCATGATTTCCTTCGGTTTACTCGGTTTCGCCCTCACCACATTCCGAATACTCGCTTCCCTCAACTCCGCATTACTAAGACCGCTCCTGGGTCTGGACGCACGGGATTCTCTCGCCGTATCACTACTTCTAGGTCTTTGAGCTCTGTTCTCATCATCCACTTCTTGTTCAGCGTCCATCGCATTCATAAAACTGCCCACTTCTTCCGGCACATTCGAAAGAACAGTTTTGAGGTCCCGATCGAGAGTAGTCGTTGGAGAATCTTTGAGTGATAGATTTTCCGGTTTCCTATTCGCAGAAACCTTTCCCTTCCAACTTCCCAATCCCAAAACTTTCCAAGCTTTCCCAAGAGAGAATTTCAATTCGCCATCATCTCCGGCATCTAGTTCGACGAGGGGACTAGATGATGATGCGCTGACATCGCTGGCATTGCTCCAGTTTCTTCCATGCTGGCTTGGTCGACGGATTGGACTTACATCATGACCATGACGCAAATTCTGGTTTCTGAAATCGGGAAGTTCAGATTGTTGGTGTGGGGGAATGTCGAAGTAGGATTGTGGTTGTTGAAGAGGAGGGGTAGATTCTACAGAGGGATTGCGACGGCCCGACGATGTCTGGGAATAAGCGGAGTCCGAGGTGGCTACTGGACAGTATCCACGACCTTGGGTTTGGGCGCGGTTACCAGGATAAGCGTGCGGGGAAAAGGGGGAGTATGGGTTAAAGGAAGGTGGCGTTACGACTTCAGGGCCGTCATGTCGGTCAGACGAGAATCGTTCGGTCGTTGGTTGAGAGTAATTTCGGACGCTACGTGACGCTTCTGAACTGGTCATTTGCAGGGGATCGGTCGATATTGAACTCATATCGGATGGTGATGGGTATGAAGGACGATATCTATGTGACCGAGGAACGTTAGATCCACTGCGTGATTTTGCTTCCTTGAAAGCCTTTGTGGCCTTCTTTAGGCGCCTTAAGATACAGAAAGCGGCGATCAGAATTACGAGTAAAATGAACGCTGCGCCACCAATGATGCCGCCAATTTCTGGTTTAGTAAGACCGCTACTTGTTGGTGTACTCCCATTCGTTGCTTCGACTTTTGCTATTGCGGTAGCCGTAGGTGTGAGTTTGGGGACGGCCGAAGCTTTTGATGTATTTACCGGGACTGATGGTGACGCCGGAGTGGAGGCTGTAACTAATGTGGATGTAATAGTCTGTGTGTGCGAATTGCTATCTGTCGTGGTCAAGGTCTCGGTCAATGTGAAAGTCGTTACTGCTGTGGAATAACAGTCGCTCAACCCACAGCCCATACCATTCTTACAACAACCGTAGTTTAATGAAGACGGACATAGATATGAATTCAATCCACAAGTTTGGCTATTAGAAACACCGGGAGAAGCGCTACATCCGTCAATTGCGCATGAGTAGCCAGTTGGACAACAACCACCTGTTTTTGTATCAGATAATTTGCGATATAGTTTGGCATGTGATAAGAACTTACCTCCAGAATCAATTCCACAAGCTGTGTATCCTGACACTCCACAGGCCGAAGCAGGAGCTGCGCTGGTGAGATAACAACTACTAGTACCACAAGATCTGTTGTTTGGACAGCATCCTCCATTCATCGATTTAGGGCATAATTGATAATCACTCGGACATTCTGATGCATCCCGTTTTCGCCCTTGAATTGCCTCGTGTATTTTATCCCAATAATTCGAGCCCAACTTTCTCTTTACTATGCCTGGGTAAGATAATTTCGGAAACGCCGTCGTCATTGTGACTTGGGTTGTGGTGGTTGCCGAGCAGGATTCTCCATCGCAAACTTTATCAGCGGGGTAGCGATGCCCGTCCTTACTGTTTGAACATCGTTGAATGCCCTCGGGGAATTGATTGCCGTCTTTACTTATTTGATTTGCCATTGTTTCGAAGTACGTTTTTCGACTTTGCTAATGCGAATTGTTCGTCTTGTTGGATACTATCCTCCAGATGCTTCTTGAATATTCCCTATCGCGAGCGTAATTGTGCAACGCAAGCATCTAACGTCTGCCGATCTTTTTGTCCAAAGGACTTGAATGCTGTGAGACCTGAGACTGCAGCATGCAAGTTGGTATCGGCCCGCAAGGTTTGCACTTTCGAACAGCGGGGTCGGCACTAAAATGTCATGAAGCCTGATTGTATCAACGAAAGAAGGGCTTCGACATTCAGATCAAGCAGTATAATGAGTGAACGATCTCGATTTCCCATGCTGTAATCCCAGTAGAACAGAAATAAGGTTATATATCGCAATGGGTGTCGATTACAAATCTCACGTCAAAAATTTTACGTTCGATAAAACGTGATGCAGGAACATAAATCAACAATATCTGAATGAGAAAAATAAGAAAATGGGAAAAAATCAAAAGACCGACAAGATTCCTACTGAGAAACGCATTTAGTCACAGATGGGCATTTGGAACAGTGAGAAGATTGTCCCGCTGAGGCTCCATGGCACTTATCTCAGCCTCCAAAGTTTCCATTTCGGGTTTGATGACAAGCATAGGCTGATGATTGGTAGTAGCCCTGTCTAATTGGGTGTTTCTGCCATACAGTATTGGGTGTCGAGACAGTTCCAACAAATCGGAGTGACTAGGGGCGGAAGAAATCGAAGATGAGGAGAAGATACATTGATGCAATTAGCCAGTAGAAGTGAAGGTGGTGTTGATCGTGTATGCAGGACTTCCCATAAGAAAGGGCTCAGGAAATTGTCATCGGACGTGGCTGGTGGTGTGGCCCGGAAAAGAGCAGCAGTACATGTAAGATATGTACGTACACTGTCATGTTGGCCAGAACCCCGCGAAGGAAGGGAAGCTGAGATAAGGATGACTGCGATATGAATGTAACACCAAAGAATTTCCCCACTCTGCACTCGCGTTGTTTAAATGCAAAAATAGAAAGAGACAGACAGGAATTTGGTTCTCGTTGAACTATATAATTGACAAGCACGAACTGCACACTGAAAATGCCTGTCGCACCAACTTGGCTGCCAGCATAGACTCTCCAATGGGCAATCACGACCGAAGCTGTCGCTTGTCAGCTGCAAGTATCTATGCAATGCTTCAGATACGAATTTTCATTTTTCGACATCTCCATTGGTGGAAATGAATGTTCTTCATGTGAAACAGCGGCGTAGGTCCAGAAATGGTCGCTGTTCAGCCCCCAAATCAATACATGACAGAGCTGGCTGCATCACAATATGCATTCAATGGGTTAGCACATATTGAGATTAGTCATTCCATTGACAAAGGACCTGGTGGACCAGGTAGCTCTATCGCACAGATCATACCTGATAAGTAGATAATTGCTCTCTACGTTATTCAACACTATTTATTATTGATAATTTATACAGAAGATCGCACAAAGAACCTAAGCACCATTCGTGTTCCAGTACGAAATGAAGATATCGACCAAATGCCACACGATGTTTGGTATGGATCAAAAGAATGATCAGAGAGAGATGAAGGCAGCCACCACTCATCCTGCCTTATGAATAGCATTTTCCGAATTCATACTACATCCACAGTTGATTTGAACAATGATATGTTTGAGGAATTGATTTCAAATCCAATACGAGCGAGTGCTGGCTCTTTCCAGTTGCTGTATGGTTGGAGTGATGTGAGGGGCATCATACCTGGTCAATCTTGGAGCTTTGATACATCAAGTCTGGTCACTTTTCGTCTGCTCACTGCTCAATTGCAGTATATAGAAGTCTGGGTCGCTATGCGTGACTAATTAAGATGGGAAGTCGCGAAATGTGAAGTATTTCCTTGCTTCTGTCTTTCTTCGCAATGAAGCTTCTTTCCGGGACCACCAAGACTCGTTTCGAATAGTTTGGCAACAACCCCCCGTCGATAAGTTCGTTCACTCCTCAACCGTACTTTCCCAATTTGTCGGGGCTCATTCGGTCACTAAAAGAGTCACATTGCATATTTACTTGCAAGCGCCCTCAGTTCGCAAGAGCGCAAACGATCTTGCCGTGTTGTGATCTTACAAAAATGCGTTGATGTGCCTGCACACCTGGAGAAATGTCTTTGGTCATAGCCTAGTCGGTTAGATCAAAATGAAGTTGTGAAATGCACATCTGAAGGGCTTTCTTCTGTATCCGACGCTTTAGAACTTCTGTTCTTGGAGCGGGATCGGCTAGAACCAGGAAGTGAGGTGTTTCAAGTATTCACAAATCGAAATCAGAGACTATCCAATATACTTGAAATACATAGTACGCGCCTACTCTCTTAATTTTTTTCTTCACAATCTGAGATAACTATTTGGGAAGTCATTGCAGAGAGACAAACACAGTAAGTTGGGAGGTCTGTTTGGTGAATTGTTCTTTTTTCTAAGCTCGGTATTATTGTTTGGTTCCAGAATATCAATGAAACAGAAGGTGCGAATCAAGAGTCGCCGATCCTTATTGTTGTTGTTACAATGATTGGGGGTTCAGGAAGTTGCGTGGGAGAAAAGGTCGCGTAAATGAGTATAAAGGTCCATAATTCATCTTTCATCTTCGTTCTCAACCATACAACTCATACATTACAACATTCATACACAAGTCAGATTCCAATATTCAATTGTAAAACATTGCATCCCAACTATTACTATTAAAACAATGGTCCAAATCAAACAACACATTATCAGTGCGCTTGCACCTATTGCTGCATTGTTTTCTTCCTCTCCTAATCCAATTCAATCTGCGCCATTCACGCTGTCTGTTCTTTCTGATAACAAGTATTTAAATGGCTCTAATATACACGGTTGTCACACTGGAGCTGCTCGAACCGCACTTTGTGTTTTCCCCAAGTGTCGTGCTCGTCATGGGGAAATCTCTCCGGTATGTTGTCAATGCTTGTGATCAAATTGCACATTCTATTCATCCCAGTGTCTGGATTTAGATCAATTCCTAAATTCATATGAGTGTGTACTAACACGAATGTTCAGACTACCTTTCACTTCAACGTCTCCGCTCCCCGCGTCGCCAATGAGCCCTCAGGATCCCTAGTCTACAACTTGCCATATAATACGGATATGGTTCTTTCGCAATCGGCAACAATGGAGTTTAATCGCTACTCGCACGATTTTGCCCATCCTTTGTTTGCACATCCTGGCGACACGGAAGGTATCTTTGCCTTCCACCACGATCGCTTGCACCTCAAAGGCCATAGTGAGCAGCGATGGTACATCTGTGGTGGATATTCTCCTTTCTCCACCAATACTTATCCCATTCTGGTTTGGTATCGCGGAGTTGGAAATCCATATGTAGAATGTATCAAGGTGGAGATTCAGAGGACATTTGTTTAATTCCTGGGGGTCGAAGAAGAACAATGGAGCAGTGAGCTATAGGCTATAGGGAAGCTGAGGTTTTGACAAGAATCACTTCGTTTAATTTGAGGAGGAATGTTCATGTGTGTCAACAGCATTTGGGGACATTATTATCCCAGAGACGGTTTCACTCTTGGGCAAGCGTTAATTCTGGAAATATCAGTTTTCAAATGAGCTCTATTACCTTAAGTGTTATTTCCCTTGATTATCTTCATTGATTCTCTCGAACGGAGATTTGTGAATGATGACTGCTGCAGCTTCGGCTGTCGTATCGTGGTAGACTTGTTGCGTAATTTTCCTTTCCATCTGATCGCCAGAAGTCCAAGATTTATGCCAGAGCTCTCGGATTCGCATCTCCTTAATGACGTTTATTCTGTGATTTTATGACTCTTTCAGAATTTATCGAGTAGAAGCCGGCTCCAATAAATTGCATAGATGTATTGCTGTCTCGGCTAGGGTCGAGATTTGGCCCCTATCACGCATTCCTGAGCATGCCAAGCCCCCAGAATTTCCCTGAAGCGAATACACTATATTTTGATCCATTTACTACTGTACTGGTGCATTGTTACATTACACTCCCATCAATGGATATGCGGAAGCCCTCTTGCCGTGGGGGCTCGTGGGCTGTACGGGGAGATTTTCCAAATTTAACTTGGCTGACTCAGCTGATGAGCTGAGTATTCATATATCTTAAAGCTGGAAAATTCGACCGTGTCGCCAAGCCACAAGTTGAAGCCTATTATTTTTGAAATGTGGGATCAAAGTCAGGCAGGGCCCAAGAGTCTGAAAGTGTTTCAAATTATGCTGCTAAGATTCTGTGTTCAGCGGTCCTCTTATTATGAACCTCATCTCAATGAGGTGGAGACATGATTCCTCTCATTGATTGAAGGCAGTCGTTAGTTGATTCAATAACTTGTCAGTTTATTCGGGTCAAAACATGTATCTGAAATCAATGCAACTACTACCTGGTACAAATATTCATCAGAGGTGTCAGTCTGGATTTTATTGTGTCAAGAATGCATTCGTTAAAGATGAGTCATTGCATGTGCAATATTCTGATGATCTCGCCCGCTTCACTCAAACTTTGTTCGATATTAACTTTCATAGCGGCAAGAACAAATACTACAAGCCTTTCGCGACAAGAACGACGACTCTCATAATACTGCTAGTAGCCAAATTACTACTCATCATATTGCTCGAATATTCCTGTCATGTGATTCCACAACACTCCGGGTTTAGATCTATTACTGAAGAACTTGTCAATATTACTCGTTCGCAGTTGAATGAGAGAGATGTGAATATACATCCAAATAGGGGCTGAAGAAGCCAGTCTTTCCAATGAGACAAGCCCATCTACTTCGGTGGGATTTGCAGCATCTCCTTCAGCTACAACTTCAACTCCAACGATTTCATCTGGAAAGTCTACCACTCATACAGTTTCTTTGACGGGTGCCGGATCTCCAGATTTGAATTACAAGGCCACAACAACTATATCGGTGCTAACTTTGTCTCGTGCTTCGCATTTTACTCCTGGTACAGCCACTTCCACAAGTTTTAATGCTTCGTATCTGACTCCAATTACAGATAAATCTACTCCCATAGATTCAATTGCTCGAGATAAGACATATTTGTCTCCAGGAACAGGCATCACACGTATAACTGACTCCAGGCTCTACCAACCCATGTATGTTTTCATGATTTCTTGTTGTGAAAAACTCGAAGTGTGTGAAACCCAAATTTCCATCTCCCCTTGATGACGAGTTAATTTAGTTCCAACAAAAGCATTCAGCACAAGTGCACCTGGGATGATTATTTCAGGTAAGCCTGAAGGTTTGGGGTTATAGCAGTCACAGTATGAAGCGGAGGATAGATTGATGGTTGTGATGGCCATGAAACGGGTTCTGGCAGTTCTCCGCTAGTTAAGTGCGGGAAGTATCATATTCATTTACCCGTATCGCTGAATTGCGACGATCATGACGGATGAGAGCATACGTAGAGACGATTTGGATACGATCAACCGTGACAGTTTTGACATGATTTCGTTGTAATAATAACCTGTTGCTAGTACTAGATGTAAAAAGTAAGAGGGAATTAGGAATAACAATCTTGATGCCTTAGCTCTCAATTGACCAAAACTCCTAAAAGTTTAAAGATACATGTATATTAACTTAAAACTATAAACAATAGGACAAATACATACAAATTACACAGGACAATTATCCAAGTATAACTTCCTCCTCCGGTTCCTTTCATGCAAATGAAGCATTATCGTACAATGCGCGAACCCCAGTCTCCTCTTCCAATTCATCCCACAAAGCCCACTTACTACTTGGGTAGGTCGGTTCATTTTTCCAAGCCCGATCAAGTATTAGCCAGTGCGTATGCTCTGGTAGTTCACCTTCGAACTTCGCCCAGCTAGCGGTGTCGGTATCTAGCAGTTCTTGAGCTAGCTCGACATCCCACGTGGCGCCCATTTGCTCATCAGTCTGGCCATCGTATTCTCCCACTCTACCATTATATGAAATGGCTTTCGCTACTTTTCTGATAAGCTCACTAGGCCAATCTGTCGCGTCGCCTTTGTTGAGAACATACGCCGAGAGTCGGGCAGACAGCTCATCAGCGAGATCGTCTTCCTGCATGAGCAGCCACGTCTTTCCCGGCTGTCTGTCCTTGTTGTCCTTGTAAAATTGAAGCTTAGCTTCAGTGAGTAGTCTTTCACGAAGATTCTCCTCCTCCGTGAGTTCAGAGTGTTCTACAACCTCTTTCTCCTTCGAAAAGAAACTAAAGCGTTACATCAGTATTGAACTACAATGTAAAGTGATAAACAGATACTCACTACCATAGTTCCAGACCGGCAGGTGAATGCATTGGACCATCGACATGAAAACTTTCAAGCTTGAGTCGTTCTCTCAGGGCCTTAAAAAAACTTTGAAATGAACCTCGACATAAATAAATATGACTCAATGTCAGATGTCGCAGAGAAGAGGCGTGCCTGAGGAGAAAAGCGGTCAAATCTTTCTCGCACAATGTCATGTTATCGACTCGTAAGCGAGTCAACGAAGGCCAGGTAAAGTCCCCCAGGACCTTTCTAAGGGGCACATAGTCGTAAATATTGTAATCGCAGTACCCGCCTGCAAGCAATCCCAGATGTAAAGTCTCCAAATTTGGCGCCATTTGCGCCGCCTTCCACAGTCCAGTCCAAAACCTCTTGCTCATTCGAAATCCGCGTACTGGTTGTTGCATTCCGTCACATAACAGCTCTAGACTCTCAAGATCACGGAAAGGCTTGAGAGTATTTTCAAGCTGATTCAAAGTCTGTGTGAAAAATGCGGTAGGAGCGGAATCGTGGACGAAACGACGGACTTTTACCTTGGAATTGTGTGCAGCTATCATAACTGTCTCCAATTCCCTTGATTTCCAGAGGCCTCCGTAAGCTTTAGGAAGAGTGACTTTCGCCCACGCGCGGGTCAAGGCTTCAGACTTGAAATCGGGAATGCTAGTCGAGAAGCGAATACAAGTGGCATTCTTTAAATCCTTAAATGCCTTGGTCATCCTTTCAAGGTCATAATAGTTTTGAGCTGCCTTGTTCCATGATTTATACCACTGTATACAAGGATGGTTAGTGAACGGATCAATTTTAGAATCATTAGTGTCGCTAAACTCAAGACAGGGATGAGAGGGGAACGATGGCAAGCGAACATTGCAAAGCGTAAGTAAGAAGAACTCTGGTAACTGACAACAAGGTATTCGGATAGGATTTCCCAGATATCGATGGGCTCTTTTCCAAGAAAGTGTTCCACATTTCTGCCTTCAGCATCCCATGTGAAGGCGTCTCTGTATTCCTTATGTAGAACACGATACATGCCTTTTATAGGCACAAATCCCTTCTCGAATCTGATCTCCTGGACATTTTTCAATGTTCTCGGATGTTCTCGAGAGATTTTTTCCAACCTTTCAAGATCTAGTCTATTGGTCTGGAATACGAAAGTTTGGATGAGGTGTTCAGAACCAAGAACTGCATATCGGTTGGAGCTCAACCTGAAATTCTTGACATCCTTGGTCTTTAGATAGCTGAGTGTTTGAAGCCAGATCTCGGTAGGTATTGTGCTAGCATAGTTATTACTGGCTGATAAAGTTGTTGTATCACTATTTTTAGCCGCCATATGTTCCTACATGAGGGTTAGCATTTTATCAGGTACTCAGAAGTGAAGTCAGCTCTCAAACCACCTTTGACTTGTTTTGCGGTTGTCTCTCTGATATCCCTGATTCTGTTTTGGTTAAGTCATTTAATTCCATCATAGAATCCTCGAGCTCGATTGGGATTTTCATGGACATCGACATTATTCCGAATTTTGGTGAGTTCTTTTCTGCGTGATAAGTGCTTGGTTATTTCTTGAACTTGGAATAGAAAAAATCCTCGAATTTATATCTCGTGCAAATCATAAAAGAAAGCTATAGTAGTTCATAAGCCAGTCAAGAACTAGTGATATTAGTTCACAATTAAGTATAGATCGGCAAAGTTTTCACCTTTCATTGTGTTAAAGAACATATTCACGTCGAAATGTCATCACAGCCAAGAAGTGTCAAAATTAAAGTTGAAAAGCATATTTCAGAGCAACGCTAAAAGCGAAATCTAATCAACTAATAGATCTAGCGCGGTGTGCCATCAAGATCTGAACCATGAAATGATATTAGTGCTGTACTAGATCTCGCTGGACTAAAAAACCCCAACCTTATTTCAACACTAAAAGGCACTTATGCAGGTCATAGAAGCCCGGGTTTTGCTCGCTAGAAAAGCTAGGCCCAAAATTTCGAAGTCGAGAGTCACATAAGTCTCTGACTAGGAAAACGTCGATCATCCTCTGCCAAAAGTGTTGTGCAATTTGCTAGATTACCATCAATTGCACCAAAACCATACCAGACGAAATTCGTGGCCCTACAACCTGCTCACCCAGATACATAGTAACAATCAAACTGCCACATGGCAAAATTTACTCTGCTGTCAATCATGGTTTAAGGTTCACGAGCCTCACTGATGTGGCAAATGCAGAGAAAGTTTTGGGCTCTTGCCCTTTGGCATTGGTAAGGACTCTGCCTTAACATTTCTTTTCCATTGCATTGGTGCGACTGAGTTAGCGAGATGAAAAGTAATATATCTTCTCCTCATATTGGATTTAGTAGTGAATACCACCACATATGGCTAAAAATACTGCCTAGCTCGTCAATCATATAAGAGGGAGCAGTCTCTGCAAACTTTCCAATTTTCGATAACTCACAGTGTATAAACATCAGATCATTAAGCTACTGTAGACAATTCAAATCAAAAAATACTCTCACATCTCAAAATGTTGAAACCGCCGTATGATGCCGTGCCACAAACCTCACTGCCTCCAGAAATACCTTTAGCACCTTCGACACCTGGAACACCACAATATAACGAGTTATCCCCTTAAATTGGCGGAATCTAAATCATAAATTATCCAGCACCACCACCTCTAAACAATCATTATAGCCGATTGACTCAAGAGACTCACCCCGAGCCAGATAATTGCTACACTCCTGTAATCACAACCTACAAGTCACCTTCATCAGGATCAGATGAAACAAGACCAAACAAGCAAAAATAACTCGCAGTTTGAGTTCATAATTAACATCATTGATTAACAGAAACTCAAACACCGTATGCGTATCCTCCGATGTCTTACCTCCAGAATTCTCACAACCGGGCTCACCATATTAATCGCCGTAGAAGAAGAAGAAACACTCCTAAACTTCCTCAAGGCTCACAATGACATTCGAAGCCCACCTAGATCTTATTTCCATCAAAGCTGCGAGTTCTATCAGTAGCGCGAATACCAAAGTTCGTATCGCAACCGAAAGCATTCATAATGCGACTTGGATTGTAGTAGCAACGGCTTGTTGAGTGACGAAGAATGGAAAGGACCTTTGGGATGGGCTTGTAGTCCACTGGCTGGAAAGATACAGCTTATATTACAGGATGTCGTCAATTTTAAAAATGTTTGCGATAGGAGTGTAAGTTTGAGATTTTGTATGGCTATTCCCAAATAGATGATTAATGAACTCTCTGTAGTAAACTCGGGTTTGCAAGTTGCAAGTCTTGGGATGTGGATTCTAGTATACAAGATAATGAGAACTCCTCAATGATGAAACGTGCAGAATCTGAGCCCAAGTTTAGAAAGAAAGAGGGTCTGTCGAAAGCTAGATAGCTGGTTAACATGTACACATAGGCTTGTGAGACATTCGAGGGATAAGTGAAAGATCTAAAGATTTGATAATAGTGTCATCAAGATATTTTCAATATTCAAAAAGCTCATAACAATCATCACCTCGAGTTCCCTCACACAACTTCCCCCCAAAATTCCACACATCCCCTCCCTCATCATCCATGAAACTCAACGAGCAATACTCAACTCTCCCCAGATATCCCCTCCTCCCTCTCCCATCCCATAATTACAATTCTCAATCCTCAACCCTCTCTACAAAACTCTCATTCCCACCCAACCTCTACCTCAAACACCACCTCACCTCTACCAGCATCACAAGGGCAGATCCATCACACAGAAACATACCTAGTAAGAAGATCAGAGACATTCACGATTCAAGACCAGAACTTAAACCTAGTTCTAGCAAGCCAAAAGCGAAGCTCTAAAACATAGCTCCCAGGAAAATATATGGGAACATAGAACTTACAGAAAGTCGTCTAAAGACTATATTGTATATATGGCTATACAAGCATTGAAAATTGAAATTAGACATCACGTCCTTATTATGTAAACCCTCTTCTGTATTCCAGAAATATATAGACAATCTATAAATCCAGACTCCAGAAAAGATAATATTCCATGGATAGAATAAAATTTATAACTTCTTCTTTTACGAGTAGAAATATTCACTTCGAAAAAGCAGAGCCCTTCAAACTTCAATCTCCAAACTCAAAGATATCCAGCAAAAATATCCAGCAAAATCTCCTCCGACCCCCCTTCTTCCCCAGAAAGAAAGACAGGAAAAGACAAGACATGACAAGACAAGAAAAGAAAAGATCAATCACACATCACAAATCTCTACTTACCACCAAACCACAATAGGCACATCCACCCATCCACCCATCCACCCACCCAACCACCCAACTATCTTCCTCAAACAACCAGCCCGTACAACCCACCCAAGCAACTTCTAATCTCCAATCTCCAATCCCCAAACCCACAGAACCCTAAATCTCCCACCCCATCGCATCTCCTAAGCCAACGTACAACCCAACCCAACCCATCCCCTACCCTAACCCCTTCCCCGAACCCCGCACTCAGATTCCCCATTCCCCATTCCCCACACCCAACTTACCCCAAGCTACCCCAAACCAAACCCAGCGCACCCACCACCCTCTACCGAGCAAATACCGAGGATAGCGTTACCGGGGGCCGAGTACGTACCGTGCCGTGCCGCACAGCGAGCAAATGAATATATTTTGAGCACAGATACCTGGGTACCCGAGGATAAAGCGTGCGTATATCTATCTATCTATCTATATACTCGAGTACATACAATGCATCTCCCTCTCTCTTCACTTCCCCCATTTCTCAAAACTCCACCTCATCCTCATCGTACAACGTCGAGACACAAAAATTCATCATTCCAATATTAAAATCATAATAGTATGCTGGTATCCAATCTATTCATTCATTCTTTCATAAGACCTGCTAACTGAGCAACTCTTGTAACACAAAATACAACGCCTCAAACCCATTCATAACGTTGACTGGCTGTCTATCTCCAATTCCTCTTCATTATGATCTATCCCAGATTCTCAGTCGCCGCCTGAGCGCAAACCATATACCACAGACCCATCAATCTCGTCCAACGTTCAAAACAAAAAAATTGAATACAGAGATCCAATCATTTATCCAGCACCATCCAAGCCCACCCCAATCCAACCATATATAAGAAGCGACGCCATTTTTTGATGTCAAGACATAATTCCCAAGAATTTAGCCTATCATCACGATTCAGACCTTCGTCCATGTCTAACCTCAAATTTTGCATAACGAGACTAGTGTCCATCGATAATACCTCAAAATCTCAGACCCGAACGCCAGTTACCTCCCCATCCCATGCGAATTGGCGCCAAAATTGCCCATTTCGGGTTTCATCAATAGCTACCCGACCGAACCATTTCCCAGTACACCATATGCCAAATCTTACTTATAGGATTGCTAGCTTCGACCGACCAAATATGAGGATAATCGAACGAGGAAAGCTCCACATCTGAAGCCATCAAACGAGCTTAAATGCCCAGAACATCCATGTAAGGCTGATCAAACAGCGTAAGATTATCTCCAGGTTGAGGACTAGGCATTCTGCTACCGAATCCCGGAATCTCTCTACTGAATAAATCCATATCATAAAATCCCCCCGATTCACCACCATCGTTATAGTTTATGTCCACAAATTCGAATAAGTCATTTGGATCGTGAGAGACTTTCGAGCCGTTTCCACCAAGTATAGCATCACTATCTGGAGGCGAATGAGCGAAGTGGCCATTGTACATGGCAGTTGAACTATCAACAAGAGTTCCCAAAGACTCGAAACCATTTAATTGAGTGTCGACTGGTGGTGTAATCCTTTCATCGATACACCGTTGTGCGCGTTCGAGCTGTGCCCGCTTCCTCTCATATTCCAAAACCGCTTTGCGCTTAGCATCTTCACGTCTCGCCGCTTCTCTAGCACGGCCTATGATCTCCTCCATGCCTGCTTTTCGAACGGCTGCCTCTAAGAATTGAGTAGCGTAATCCGCTGAAGAGTAATTTTCGCGCAAACTCTCAAGAACAGTCATACATAGACAGAAACCTTCTAGAGCAGGCTGTCTCTCATTCTCCTGTGGAGACCTGACCAACAACAAATGAATAATGATGGCTGGAAGTAAAGCAGTCACGCCTGTCGTAGGAAGGTATCTTTCCAGATCATAATTGTGCATGTCGTGGACAATGTTCGTAGTTCCAATAGCAGCGTTGGTCACCACCTCACGTGAAAGCGCGAATAGCGTTTGTGGTTCCGGTTGATTTGGCCCTGCAGGTAAAACTCGTGGTCTGTGCAAGGCAGAGGTCGCAGTGAAATAAATCATATGCAACAACGAAGATGCCACAAATAAGGGTTTCCCACTGTTTCCTTTTCTCAACTGATTCGAGTAGACACATGCTTGGGGAAGATTTTTCTTCCATAAATCGAGTGCCAAATCGCATTGCTCGACCTCTTCTGACGACGCCGACTTCTTGGGAAACAGCATAGTTTGTGATGTAGTATTTTCAGATTGACTGGAAGCACTTTGATGTCTTCCAAGAACCGAGTACTGCGCCACCAAAATTTGGCTGATACATAGACACAATTCAGCTTTTGAGATACACATGAGAGCCAACTCTCGTTGAGCCTCAACATCTCTTATCAAAGAACATTTCGAAGAAACTATAGAAATACGGGGATCGAGCGCCTTGATCTCGAAATCACCTTCAACCAACATTGGTACATCACAATCTTCATCCTTGACCCTAGTCGGACGTCTCATTCCCAATGCGATGAGTCGATCTCTCATAAAACATGACCACCATACTCGTTTTCTTAGGTTATGGTCAGCGTCCATTGCCTTCGGATCCCGATGCAATGCAAGCGTATACGCATGGTCAATCGCTCTGCCCATCCAATGCCAAGTGTCTTTGTGATCCTCGGGTGTTTCGTACCAGTACGTCATGAGAAGGAGTGATTGCACTACATTTAGCATGTCGTTCTCGTAGTCTAGATCATACAGAACCTAGATATTGTCAGTATTGCTCAAAGTAGGCCCCTGCTAGCTTGTGACATACTCTGGCCCTCTGGAAGAACGCTTTCCTCGCTGCTTTCCTCGTACGATGCCCAGCGCGTTTCAAGCTTTCCATGTCCACAAAGGCCGTCCCAGAAAACATTATTGATTGAAAAAGCAAGAGACTCATTGTGCCAGATCTCCCTTCATCATTGATAATCTGTAAAACTTTGTGTAATTCTAGAAGTGGCATATATGGATAAATGTATTCGATGAAGGCTTGAAGCAAAGCGTTTCGTAATGAAGGTTCGGGAATAAATAATGCGCTTTTCGCCCACAGATAGTCTATATCGACAGAGGTCATTTTCGAAGGGAGGGGGTTGATGTATGCCGGAAGTGAATGCTTCAATAAAGGAGGTGGAGAGGATGCCAGACGTGTGCGAACCAGATCGCCGGTGATAGAAGCTCGATTCGCAAGCTGTGCTAGCTGTTGCCCATCAATACTGGTGTCTTCTTTCGGATGAAGGGCTGACTGGTCTGGTGTTATTAGTATGTTATCCAGCACAAGTCGTGTTCTGAAAGAGCCCCTGCTTACAGATTGAATGAGGCACATGCTCATGTGAATGCTGAGGTTGGGATGTGACGCTGGGCCCAGATGCCCGTCTTATCTCATTATTTGGCCCTTGTTGGGGATATACAATACCGTCCGTGTAGGCTTGGAGGGGAACTGCTTCGGCGATATCGCTACCACCTCGTTTGGTTCTGCTCGTTGCATATGTCAATAAAACATACGATTTTGAGAATTATGGCTTAACCGTCTGTATAACCAACCTTCTCCGTTTACTTCCAGGGACTAAGCATTGTATTCCATCAATTGCGCAGTTGTTACATAGTCTTTCTCCAGCGTCATTGACGCGCTCACTACGCTCCACATCACACCGTACTTTTCGACTTCTACAATTTGTGCATGCGAATGAGGAACGTTTTTTCTTTTCCGAAACCGCGGCTTCTCCTCCATCTACCGACTTCCTCTTTTTCGACTTAGCACTGGGAGATTGTGGGTGGGATAATTGGGTTCCGGAAGGTTCTCCCGTTGCCAAATCTCGTAGCTCCTCCTCGTGCACAGCGGATTGCAATAAGCTCAAAGATGCAGGATCCATTGTGTTACTGGTAGAATTGTGTGAGACAAGAAAGGTTTATAGACCAAGTACTTTTGAGGAGTACAGGAAGCATGCGGAAATCGACCAGGTGTAGAAAAGCCAATAATTATGTAGACGAGAATGAAGGGGTCGGTTTGGCATGTGATCTGAAGATGATAATACTGAGATTGTATATTTCAATTTGGTTGCTTCTGATTGCACAGTAGTAATATCCCCAACTAGAATTAATGATAATGATATATATGACCGAGGGGAAAATGAAAAACGATCGGAAGGGGTGGAAAAGGGAGCTCCCAACTATATAAGGTTGTAGAAATTGTACAGGACACTACTCGTAAAGAAATAATATACCTAGCATCTGGTATTTATATTTATTGAACTCTGTTTTTGTGGAGGACAGAGCAAGGATAAAAAGCTTCTACCGTGAGGGGAGTTGGGAGATCGCAGGCATATGAGATATGAGACTAAGTGGAAACAGAAAATTGAATCGCGTGGATCAAAGTCTTATTGATATCTAATAAATATTCTGCACTCAAACGTTGGTCTTGACTTATTATGTTATAATGAAGGGCATTCCTTAATACACCTCCTGCACCTGCACCTGCGAGTAGGCCGCGTACCGGTGTGTACCACAGGCAGATAGATGATAGTGTGAGGGAATTGACATTTTTGCCAAGCTCATATACCCATCTACGATGTAGTATCTATATAAAGCCTACCGTATTTCGTGTCCAGAGCATAGAAATGTATTCTTCCTCGCTCGTCTGAAACTCATCTAACAACTTAGACGATCTGAAAAGAATCGGATAGCATTTCGTACTTCCTTCATTTATTGTATCAATAACGTCTCCCCACCAAAGCTAAAATCCCCTCGATCCCCTCCTACTCCGCACAGTTCTTCTTCAGAGCTAAGGTACTTAATAGTATCCAATTAGATTGAAGGCATTGTTATTCTGGCCTAGATTTGAAGCCTCATATCAAACAAAATCCATGGACGATAGCGCGAATAGTGAGTGACCTTTCCTGGAATCCCCCCCCTTGAAAAGGACGGCACAAGAGTCAAGGTTTCATTTACTGGGCATCCCACCTCCCACATCTCCGCAAAAAGATGGAAAATATCGAGATTGAGGTTACGAGTTAGTGTAAGAAAAGAAAAGGTACCTCGACGCCTTTTTCGCACAGCAATGGCTTATGTCGATCAGCGGCAATGTAGGATGCAACGGGTTTATGACCATGTGGCATTGGAAATGTTAATCGTAATCGGCATTAAAAATCAATCGACAATGCGTGCGATTGAGGTGCGAGCAGTTAGTTACCTCTGTCTCAACCTCAGTCTCTAGAAATAGAAAGGGAAAGTGTTTGCTAGATATCCTTATCGGTATTAGTTTCCTGACTAGTGTTGGGCGGATTATATATTTTAAGAAATTATTATATAGTCATATAATATACGGTAATAACCCCATATAGCATCATTCCATGTATTAATACCTCAAATGTCAGGAATATAACCAAAATAACCTCAACTAGTATTTTTGATATTTCAGTCTCGACTTTTTTTTGGTAATGTTGTTATTCTAGTTTCGATTTAACTTAAATAAAAAATTAATATTCTAATCTCAAAAATATATGATATTCTAGTCTCGATTTGATTTGAATAAAAAATTAATATTCTAATCTCAAAAATATATAATATTCTGATCTCAAATTGATTTAATATTCTAATCTCAAACTGATTTAATATTCTAATTTCAAATTGATTTGATATTTTAATTTTAAAAATCATATGTTATTTTGATCTCAAAAATCATATATTATTTTAATTTTAAAAGTTATATTCTGATTATAATATAATATAAAGTATATTAAATAATTATAAACTACAAATCTATAGACTTAAGATCTCTTTTTAAATTTTTTAGATTTATAAATATCTTTCTTTCCCTTTTTTTTTGTATTTTCTTTTCTTATTTTTCTTATTTTTCTTAGTCTTTTTCTTCTTCTTCTTCTTCTTCTTCTTTTTCTTCTTCTTATTCTTATTTATACTCTTAATTAAAACCAGAATATGAATATTCTTATGAATTTGAATTAAATTAACACTTTTCAAATTGAGATTAGAATAGTAATATTTTGAAAATCAAAACGATCTGAAATAGTATATACTAGACTCCAACTAGTACTTTTGATATTTGAGGTATCAATATATGAAATAATACTATATAAGGTTATTACTATATAATATAATAGTTTTTAATTGTTATATATTATTATACTAAGATTATAGTACGTGATTTTCATGTGAATTATATTCTTATTCAGGTTTTATATATCTTCAAAATTCATTTAAAATCTTTTAATTTTTCTTTAAGATCTCTACTTTATAACAAGAGATATAATTAATTTAATTTTTATTATTTAATCTTTCGTATAATACAGACGTCTTAATTCGTAGTAGTATATATACTAGTCGTCGGGGAAAAAGAATTTTCAGATTACGAATTCGTAGAATTTCTTTTTTCTTATTAATTATTATAGAATTTTAAAACCCTATAAATTCGTAGACTTTAAACTCTTTTTTTCCGACGATTAGTACTAATTCTAATTCTAATTCGATATATATATAATAAATATCATAGTGATAATATAGTATAATATATTATATATATAATGACTAGTCCTTAAATCCTCGACCTTCGCTACGCTTGAATCTAAATAATTAATTTAAATAATCAATTAAATTTATATAATTCATTTAATATTCTTATTATTTCTTTTTTATTAGGTTTATTAGGTTTATTAGGTTTACTAGATTTAATAGATTTATTCTAACTAATACATTTAATTTATTAGATTTATTAGATCGAATCTATCTCACATAAACAGGTGCACAGACCACCACCTCAAAAAGCATAAAATCTCTGAATAGCTTCAAGGTTCACATTCTCATTCAATCTAATGATTCTTTTCAACTTCATAATTCTAAAAGCTGCAACGTAGGTCCGGATGCCTAGAAAAATGATTTCACATTGCTGTCGCTCCCCTTATCATTTCTCCGGCAGCGAGGGGCCGGAGAATAAGCTCGTATATTATAATGAGCTGACGATGATTATACTTTCTAGAATTACAAATCGCCCAACACTATTCCTGACCCCAAGTAAGGACTTGCCCCACCATTGATGCTTTGAGCGGCTTTTAGCGGAAGTGGAACACTCACCTAGTGATCACTCAATCACTTGATCAGAACCATTGGAGCAAAATAAGAGGAAACCCTAACTAACATTTTGCCATGGCTTTCGTGTTCCTTCGGTTTCAATTTCGATACCTACGAGCCCTACCTAGAACCTTCATCTGCACATCTACAACACCTTCAAACATCAGTGAATATAATAAGACTCAATGATTCTCCGACGACGAGCTTCCCCATGAAGAAGGTTGAACAATATAATCGATCTAGCTGCACCTGTCCGAAAGAGAAGTGTGACACATCCCCAGATTCGGAAATATGCCGTTCTCAATTCCAATTTTCTAAGATTTGGCATAAAGCCATCAACAAATGGCTCACACGATTCGTTTCGGCGCAGTGGAGATTCCATTTTAAATAATACTTGGTCTTGGCTCCCAAGTAGGCCATGGTAGAATTTGTACTTGGTGATTACCGAGCTTAACCGGACAAAAGGGGCGTGCACAAGCACTGGGCATGTGTGCTTTCGTAATCTTGAGACAATTAATTTGTGATGAACAAAAAACAGATGCATGTGAGGATAGATGGACAGATGGACCGACGTTTGATGCAGAAGAGTTGTCTACGCCCGTAGGATTTGAGTTTCCATAGATAGACAGATAGATAGACGGACGTGAGAAGGAGAAGCAATGTATCTTGAATGTCTACGTCCGTAGGATTTGATAGATCTTCCTCAGGAGTCAGGGTTTAGAATAGGAGTAGGAATACGGTGTATCCGGGTATCGTTCTCGGGATTTCCGTGATGTGGATGAACATGGTTTCTGTTGGCTTTCCCTGCCAATGCTGTGAAAGTGCTGAATCTACATCGTACAATTGGTAGTGGTTCTGGACAGACCCGTCCTCGAGCCGTCCTCGCCATCTAAGAGCTGTCTTTAGAAAAGGGATGATGAATCCGGTTGACGAGTCACGCTAGTACTAGCTATCCGCACCTTGATAGATTAATGATGGACGTCAAGGCTGTTTCTGAACATTATATAAGAACTTATATGTGGACAGTGTATGCGGATGGAGCACATATGGCTGGATTATTCTAAAGGTTTCACTTCTCTGATGAGTGATGAGTCGCCATACGACATAGGAGTCACGGGTCACGGGTCACGGGTCATAACTGTTAAACACCATCGAAGTCTCTTTCCAAAAGATCATGGGGCAGAAATAGACACATCCAGCATTGCAGTCTCTACGGAAGAAGTGTAAGAGCAAATTGATTTACCAAGGGCCTTGGTCAATTGGAGTTCCAGCCAAGGTATCTACTCCAAATTGTAATTCCTTCCTAGAGCATTATTCACGCTCACTCAATCGATCAATCCTGTAGTACACAATGGGTACTATTTAGTTGTTTGATCAGACCTCGTGGACGTGCTTCTCCAAAAAAAGATATGAAACAGGACACAGGACACAGGACAACAGGATACATCCCTTCCCAACATATCTATTATCTAACCTTACACACGTGAAATCCAATTTTCACATCTCCGAGTTGAGAAAGCCGTCTTCTCTTATCTTTCTCTTTTCGGACGTAAAAACCGTTTGACTCCCCTCTTCATCCACCATTTCATGCACAGAGTTCTCAATCAGGTCAAAGAGATACTGTATCTCTCTGATGCCCGCTATGGTGTGCTTGCCTTGCCGTATTACCCTTTCACTCACGTCACCATTTTTAACCGCCATCCACTTTTTATCATGACGTCGATTATCGATTGTCGATTTCAACAAATATTCCGAGTTAACTTTTAATAAGTCCTCTCAGCTGTCAACCATCAACTCTATCGGCGATAATATCGATGATATCAATGATTGTTCGATGATATCGGTCAATTGTTTTTCTGTCTAAATGCCACGATCTTTTCTTGGCAAAGATTACTTGTTCGTTCTAGAATTCCATTCTCTACTACATGCTAATTCATCCTTTCCCGTCCCAATTGGCTCTTTCCCCATCAAAGGAATTCTCAAGACGAAAAGAATGACCTCATCCCTTTTCTTTGGCGGCTCATTGCTCCTGCCGCTTAGAATCAGCTGCAGATGAAGACTAGGTGGGATTTATCTTGTTTGTTGACTTGAATTGACGTGAAATTCGATATTACAAATCCCAAATTCGAAGCGATTATAATAACTCGAACTCCGTCTGTCTGTCTGTCTGATGTATGAAGAAGCAGAAGAAGCAGAAGAATCACAGCAAGAAAAAATTCTAGATTACCATCAAGCACTCCATCAACACTTTTCTACGCAATTAAACCAGTTTAATCAAGTCATTCAAAGCAGACTCTTCTCCAATATGTCTTCAAGCGTTCCTGACCAGATCGAGGGATTCACCATCTCCTCCACCAAGAACTGGAGTGATTTCAAGAAGGCTAAGGTATGTTTCCCCTCAATCATTCAAGTGCTTTGAAGAAAAACAACTCTTCTCGTGGGGCTTTCAGTCCCGGCTCATCAAGAGACGTGCCACACCATACTATTTACTAACAACTCTTTTAGTTCCCCGCCAAGACATTCGAAGCACATGATGTCGATATCGTCAATGAGGTTCGTATGTCTTTACATACTTTGCGCTCCCATTCACAACCCTAGTGTATTCTGATAATGGCTTACTGACTTTCCATCTGGATATAGTGCTGTGGAGTCTGCGGTTCTGATGTTCACACCATCACCGGTGGTTGGGGCGATCTAGCCACTACCCCTCTCTGTGTCGGCCACGAAATCATCGGAAAAGTCCTCCGAGTCGGCGAGAAAGTAACGCTCGTCAAGCCCGGTGACCGTGTTGGTGTTGGTGCTCAAGTCCAATCCTGCATGCAATGCCCACAATGCAAGAGCGACAATGAGAACTACTGTCCTAAGATGGTTGATACGTATATGGCACCTTACAATGAGGATGAGGGCCACAGTGATCAACCCATGAAGGATAGCAATGGAAACCAAATCTTCTCACAAGGAGGTTATTCCAGTCATTCGAGAGTGCACGAACAATTCGTTTTCAAGGTTCCAGACGGACTTGCATCGACTGATGCAGCACCAATGATGTGTGCTGGTCTCACCACATACTCACCTCTTGTCCGTGCGGGCACCGGACCCGGCAAGAAAGTTGCCATTCTTGGTATTGGTGGACTTGGACATTTTGGTATTCTCTGGGCCAAAGCCTTGGGAGCCGAAGTCTGGGCTCTATCCCACTCCCCAAACAAGAAAGAACAAGCTTTGAAATTGGGAGCTGATCATTTCGTTTCCACTCAAGACAAAGATTGGCAAAAGCCCCTTGCTTTTACCTTCAACTTCATCCTCAACTGTGCAGATATGACGAATGAGTTTAATCTCACTGCTTACATGTCTACTCTTGCCGTCAATGGAGAATTCCACAATGTCGGTCTTCCAGATAAGCCACTTCCCGAATTGATGGCGCAAGATTTCGTTAGCAATGGTTGCAAGATTGCTGCATCACATATTGGTTCGCGCAAGGAAGCTCAAGCTATGTTGCAATTGGCGGCTGATAAGAAGATCAAGCCTATGATTGAGACGATTGATATCAGTGAGGAGGGTTGCAAGAAGGCGGTTGAGAAGGTCAAGGTCAATGATGTTAGATATCGCATCACCTTGACTGGCTTTGAGAAGGCCTTTGGTACGAAGGTTGATTACAACAACTAATGAATGGTAATAACAGAATGCGGCATTGGGATGTTAAGAGATGAAGGAGCAGGTTTATGTCAATAATGGTTACACTGTACATTAGTTATGAAACGATAAAAGCAATGAAGATATTAATGAAGCATCAGTAAATTTTGTTGATGAGGTATAATTTGCTTCCAAGCCCTCAGCATTTTGCAGATATGTAACAGAACCTTATTTGGCTCTTCAAAGCTGAATAGAAGTGGTGATAGGATGGGAACAAAGACTCGCATTCGCGGTCAAGCGGAATGAGCTGAGATCAGATGGAATGGAATGAGACATCGGTACTCTCGCACAAATCCAACAACCGATATTTACCTATCTAGCTTCCTGTCCAGACTCAACGAGACAGATATTTCAATACCTAGGTAGGCAGTGGGATACACGAAGAGGAATAATCGTGAAGAAAGAAGGCAACTTGTAACTACCTATGTCAAAGGACAGAGAGAGAGAGAGATGTATATCGAACGAGTAATGGTTTTCTTTTCAAATATAGCCGGCACTCTTTCCGATTATATTAGATGATAGATATATAGTAGGTAGGGGATTCTGTGTGTTAACCTATAGATGTTTTTCCGTTGAGAATGGTCAACATGATTCAAAAATTACATCATCAAATGAGAAATAACGCCTAACAAGAGTAACTTGAACAGCTAGTTCCGTGTATAGATGGCATTATACACTATGATTATTGAAACCCCTAGATTGATGTAACTCCCATTTCCAGCGCTTGTGGAAGACCAAGGTGTTCTTTAACGCCTAATGAGAGTTCAATGCCCGAGAAATCTCCAAAATCAAGATGCCAAATGAGCCTGCGGAGTCCTTCGAAATTCCCCTTTCTGTCAAGTGAATTCGGGATCAAATCGTCCCGAAACACCCATCATCCCGAAAATCCATCATGTAATTTCCCCCCAAAACAAAGATCCGGTGCTAAAAAATTGGAAAAATTCTTTCGAGACAAAGTGCGCCATTTCGAATAAACACACGCGTTCGAATCCATCGTCAAATTTTGCGCATAGAAAAAGACGTTATGATACTGATCAACACTCCATATCGTCATTGAATCCATTCGCTCACCCATGCACTCGAGTCTCAAAGAAATTAGGTTGTATAGCATTCGAGAATTCGCCATGCGAGTCAATACAAATTGTCGTTCGGTGTCTTCCTTCGCGAGTAAAAGTTGTATCGAGGCTTGAATATATTTCGTTGAGAAAATTTATTTTCGATTCGGTTCAGGGCCATGGATTTTCTTCCTTTTACCAAGGGGCTCCTTCTGAGGAACCACTTTGCTTACGATTTGAATAAATCAAATTCCTCTCTACCCTTACTGACCCATTCATCTTCTAAACTAGCCTGAGAACCTCGACGGGGACAAGTTATATGCCAGTGTATTATCATCTTTGGAATCATCGGTTCATCATATCCAACTTCTGGGTTTCGATACTCTTTTTCGACCTCAGGACCAGACATTTGTAGCCAATGTTTTCTTCTCAAACACCATTCTTGTGCTATGTCCCAAACCATTCCCATTCTAAGACCATCAGGACATGGCAGAATGACTGTTTGTTGCATAATTCCACTTCGATCATACTTAATTCTCTCTATCGCAAATTGATAACAAGGAGGTTGAAATACGAGCATATTGCGCCAGCTTGCATCGGCTCTCTGCTGTAATTAATGTTAGTAAGTCGCCGAAATGGTAGCTTTCGATGATAGATTGATTGGGACTGAGACAAGAAATCAAGCCATGGCACAGCATCAAAAGCTGAAGTAAAAAACCAACAAAAAAACCAGGACGGAGCAGTCCAGAAACTGTAGACTTACAAAAGCGTCGAGATTTCTCTTCCATGGTAAAGTGTCGAATGCGGTTGAGTCAAGTACATTACGATTCGATATAAGATTGAAATCAAAAAATATACCGAATTGTTTTTCTAAAAGATCTGACCATGTCGACGGTCCATTATGTATCGCAGGTCGAAACCATTGAGCTCTTTCAAGTGACGGTGAGGTAAGGGCTACCCCCCAACTTCTGCACACAAGTGGAATTGTGGATAAAAGACAAGTCTGGGGAAGATAAGATAAGACTTCGTGGAGAAGCTCTGGTATTGAGAATACCCTTGATGCTGCTGAGGTTTCAGTCATGATGAATGAAATGTATGTGCTTTGATGCGATTTGAAAGAGTGAAGAGTTGAAGTGAAGCTTTTAAAAGTATATAGGAGGATATGAAAGAAAGAAAGAAAATGCGAAAATACCAGCCAGTGTCAGCATGCCATAGGTGTTGTCTTACGCTAGATCATCGCATGTTCTGTACGGGACCAATATTCCCTTGTTCCATTCATGCGGGGGTTGGTGCGGGAAACCTTGATGGGCAGCTGAATGTGAACAAACGATTCGAGCACCACACAACACACGTCACTAACTCAATATATTGAGAGGGAAAGGGATCCATCTTGGCAGTGATGTCGAATGTGTCAATTTGGATTGTCAACTAGGTATTCTGCGAGATGATGATATTCGTAACTCCTAACGCCGCCTTCCTGGGTATCTTGATCTTGGTATCTTATAACGGTTGGAAAAGGTTGGAAAAGCGACTCATCATTTGGTCTTTGTGCGACCTTTTCCATTTTCATTGGTAGATTTCGCTTTCTCTTGGTCGACAAAATCCTTGATTATATCGTGTAACGCATCATTCCTTCTTGTAACGAGTAACACATCGTCGGTTGTGATGGTTGATCGTCCAGCGTGTCGGGAGAAACTTTCGAGATCCATCGTTACGTTCTCTAAGACGTATCTCAATGAGAAGGGATTGCTTGATAGATGAAGATGGGTTGAACACACCTATTTGATGCCATACCATCTCAGTCAATGCTCCTATGAATTGATTCGTAGCATTTGAATTGAGTCGCACGGCTTCTTCTTCCACAATCTTTCCAATTGAAAACCAAAGTGCTGCTTTGAGTCGCTGCGAAGGACATTGTCAGTAAGATGAGAGATATGAGAGACTCGATATACGATTACTCACTTCATGGAGCTCATCATCGATCTGAGGCATCTTTGCAGAGATAATGCGGTATCGTAGGTGGTAAAGTCAAGTAACGAGGTCAAAATGTCAATAGCTCGAGAATCACCTTTCTATCTTCTGTCTCCCGATCAATTGAAAAATCACTTGTCGCGTTAACTTATCTGAGATAACGCGTTTACCGCAGTCAAGCCGGGACCCTTAGTACCTCGACGGCCCCTGGAACTAAAAATTCTAGAATCCACATTAATATTCCCATTTCCCTCAATTTCACTGCGCTGTCATTAATTTCTTCAAAAAGACACATTTTACATTCTCTTCCCTTCTCGTTCAGGGATCTCCAAATCTATCTCAAGGTTACACCGTGTCTCAAGTTTTACATCATTCTACTGTATGATATAATCCAATTCGTCTTAAATAATCTCCCATACACACCCACCGACTTTCCTTGAAACCCCATTATTTACTGACCGCATCATTCATCTCTCCAAATTCAGTCCTCAAACAACACCGTACTAGATCATTCGAATCACCGTCAATCCTCAAGAAACATGGCGGAATTTATCACCAATCTCATAGAAATGGGAGCTGCCAATTTCTACCGAAACACAACAGGAGCTTTCGCACAAATGAAAGATATGGAACTTCAAAAATGGATTCGAATCGTCGCAGTGGTTGGAGCATACCTTCTCATTCGGCCATATTTCATCAACCTTGGCGCGAAGAAACAAGAGACAGAATATGCCAAAGCCAGAGCTGAACATGCGGAACAGAAGGAAAAGGAAAAGCATGTTGGCGCAAATTCCTTTAGAGGTTCGGCCAAGTGTACCGAGGATACCGACAGCGAGGGGGATGCCAAGGCCACCTCGAGTGATGTCAAATGGGGCGGCAAGGCACGCAAGAAGCAAAGACAGGCAATCAGGAAGATTTTGGAACAGGAGGAGATGTTAAGAAAACAACAACAAGAGGACGATGAGGATAAGGATATTCAAGAATTCTTGCACGATTAGGGCCAGAGATGCGAATAGCTTGCTTGGGTAATGCATAGGGATGTATACTATAAAGGGGGGATTATATATTGTCAATCTTAATATCGAACTTGTACACACTTCCCTTCATGTGTTTTTAGGAGGAGGATTTACTCGCTTTCAAATTTCTACTCGCCCTATCATGAAATCATCATGGAATCATCATTTCCTCCCTAAAGAGAGTTAGCCAGTGATAGAGGAGAATGAGACGAACAATCGGAAGTCTCCAAGGACCTGCGGCAACTAAACTGTCAAAAGTCTGGGGTGGAGGGGGGTAAACTTGGGACTGTATTCTTACTGGACAGATGTTCGAAATGGAGGATCGATAAAGCTGTTCTATGGTCCCAATTCTTGGGGCAAAATATCCAGAGCACCATTCAAATGTAGCCTCTCAACGATGCCATTTCCTACATTGCGTACATTGCTTACTTAGATCCACCACTCTTTAGCACGACGTCACCAGATCGCTTTATTAGTAGTAGTAGTATTCTATATTATATACAACTTTCCAACGCCTTCTTTTATATGTAGGATCTTTATGCAGTGAATATAATCTGAATGGTCGAATGAGGGGTTATGGAATATGAAGAATTTTAGCCGCATGGAAAGAAAATGTCTGTGTGCAATTGATGTCTCAGACAGAAAGGGAAGGAATCCAGTCATCACTCGTAATTAGTTCCATCATATCCTACTTCAAACCCTCAATTCACCCCAAATAAACTTCTACTACCAGGACCACTACCACTACCACTGCCAACATTGCTAATAATACCTAGGTATTTATGCGAATTGATAGTGGTGAGCTATTACGAGAGACAATAAAATTAATATTCCTGAATATCCACATCTCTTTCATCTCATCTAATAATTCTCACTCAAATCGCATGGACACAAGCTTCATAGCTGATAAGTCCTCTTGATCAACAAACCCCCCCTCCCCCCCCTCAATAAATTTAACCACCTCAAAATCTACACATACCGGCATGGAAAGGCCTGACAAACGACAAGAAAGGGATGTCAATGAATTGTTGGCAAATGGATTCTTCCGAACCTCTAGAGCAAGAAGTCCTTCGCCGTATGTTTTCTCCCCACCAAGTTTCCCCGAAGGGTTTGATGGTCCGCTAAATCATTATTTAGCTATAGCTATAGAAGAAGAACTCCCAGCCCTCCTCCACAAAACAATTATACATCTAGCTTTTTGAGTACCTCCGATCGTGATGCTGGACGTGCAAGAAGCAAAAGTCGTGTTCGACATAGAGGACCACCTCCACCACGACCAACAGTAGAAGATGAGGCCATTTCACTATCGCGAGAATCCGCGCCATCTTCTGTTTCCTCATACGACCCTCCCTGTCGTGGGGTTATCGATCAATACCCTATCATACTTGAGTCTGATGTCAGTGAGAGTGAGGCTGAGAGATTACATGCTGCGCCAAGACCAAAAGAATCAAAAGACTGTGATGACAATTTTGAACGGCGTTTTGTTCTTGTACCAGGAACCGATACAAGCTCGAACAATGAATCTACCAGTCAATATAGAAATGAAGATAGGCAACCCAGAGGCAGACCGGAACAAGCTAGATCAGAACGCCGATCCGCACCACACAGGGACGAGTATGGGAGGAACAAAATCAACAACGAGCCGGTGCTAAAGCCCCCTCCGTTGGAAAGGAGAAAAAGTAGACAAGACTTGCCAAATATACAGACAAAAGTCCCTCGAGATATTCCGTCTAAATACCGAAGGAGTGCGTCTGCATATGGTTCTAGGGATAATGACGAAACTCCAAAAGCTCAAGATGTTCCTCATACTTCGACTGGCGAATACTTCCTCTCTCCTAATATGATGCATACTCCCCGGGGCCAGAAAGAGTCTTTCGAATCCGTTGCGCAGCCTATTTCTCGACACCATTCGTTACAAGAGAACTCGAGAAAACGCGGCAATTCTATAAATGAGAAAAGGAATGGTGAAAGCAATTTTCCTAACAGTATATCGCGATCGGGAACACCACTCGCAGCAAAGAGGAACAGTGGGAATTTTGAGGTTCCTTCGAGATCAAGGCGGAATTCAAACGACAAAACTGCACAATCACAACCCACACCCGAAGATGCAAAACGATTCGAGAGACTAAGATCTGGCAAGTCGGAGCGAGGATCTGGATCAGAACGTGCACGCTCTCCTAAAAGAACGGCTACCTCCAACTTGCAGTATTATAGCAGCAGTGAAGACGATCTTGCAGACAGTGGTTCTGAACGAGATTCTCAACGAGGTTCTGGACGTAGGCGGCATGAACATCGCAGGACTAAAGATTTACGACCAGAAGATGACTATGAGCGTCGGGTAGACTCACCAAGATCTAATATGTCATCAAATCACTCAAAAATTCCTTCTCCACTTCCTTCTCCAAAGCTTTCTCCCAACCAATTACCTAGGACAGAGCCATTTGAAAGAGCGGAGACGTTTCCACAAGGTCGCAGGCCTAGTTCGAGACCTATTTCGCCATTGTATGGCACACAAGAGATTCCTCGTTCGGAGAGACTTGGTCCTTTGAGCCCAGGTTCAATCTCAAGACCATCTTCTCGTCAGTCAAGTGTCCCAGTGCCAATATCAATGCCACAGATGCAACAGATTCCGGCCCCGTTCCCTCTTCCAATTCCTCTTAAAATTCCTGTTCCAACTAGGATTGACTTACACTCCCCAGGCGAGACTCGACGCACACCAACTGTGCCTCAGTATCAGGAGGATCGACCCCCTAGCACACGACCAGCCCCCAATGATAAGCCCTTTTGGCAACCTCCTCCTTTTCAACCTCCTCAGCTCCCTTCAAAAAAAATAGAAAGACCTGTCGGTAGCTATCGTCGTTATTCGGAAGATGTAGGGCGAGGTGGCGTTGCGCCACTTCCATCGTGCCCGAGAATGAATCCTACCACTGGTTATCAGGATTGGTTGACGCTCCCTCAGTGTCCCAACTTCGACATTTGTCCAAGTTGCTTCAACTCGATCATAGCACCAACAGGATTTCGAGACCACTTTATGCCCGCTGCTCGCAGACCAGACATTGCAATCATATGCGATTTTGGCAGTTCGCCCTGGTATCGAATAGCATGGCTTTTAACGCTTAAGGAGCGAAGAAACGATCTCGGTCTCTTCTATGGTCTCGCAAATGTGGGGGCGATTGAGGCACCCTGTCCTGGAAAACGCGAAGCGTTTAACAGATCATGGAACTCAATCATCGACCCCAAGACAGGCCTGCCGATCAAGAACTTTGATGTTTGTCACTCATGCGTTAGATCGGTCGAAATACTCCTTCCTCCTATCCGTGGAGCATTTGTCCGTACCATTGAAACAGATTATTCTAGCTCCATCCCCCGCATATGCGACCTTCGTTATGACAGTAAACGCTTTGTTCAATACTTCGATGCTCTAGAAACTACTGCAGATGATGCTGCTTACCACAACTCTTCCCCCGACACCCGCACTCTCGCCAAACTCGCCCGCAAATTTTCCATTCTAGAAGAATGTCAACAAGCTACCGATCTCCCTGATCGACGCTGGTACATGATTACTCAACTTCCCGAATTTACCGTCTGCGAAGAATGTTTTGACGATGTCATCCTCCCGGAACTAGAAGATGGAAAGGCAATCCCACTCATGTTCAATAAAACTCCACAGCGAATACAAAAGGCTAGTTGTCAATTATATTCTCCAAGAATGAGAGCGATTTTCCAAAAAGCCTGTAACTCGGATGATTATATGCTAATGGCGACTAAGGCGAGAGAGAGAAGAAATGCAGAGTTGGCCTGGAAAGTTAATGTAGCGGCTACCAAGAGGCAGAGTAGGGAGAGTATGGTTGCGAATCCAGGAATAGGGAGAGAGATTCAGAGATTTAATGATGAGTGGAGGAAATGGGAATGAAGTGATGTGAAATAACTCAAATCTGAGTCAGCAATGGATTGATGAACGGCACTCGGTAGACATCGAATCTATGGGGCATTGAATCCGATGGAATTTATCTGCAATGTTTAAATTGTCAACTTCGCATTGATTTAGATATTGGAAAGGCGCCCGGACGGCTAAATATGAGCGAGATGGATATGGAATTCTGGAAGATTTATGAGATGATGACGACGCGGACTCAAATGCCATGAACAGATGAGTAGATGAATGATGAACAATGAACAATGAATGGACGAATAAATGCATTCATGATAAAATTGGATTGGATTGAGTTGGATACCAATTATGTATGGGAATTTAGTTTACAACGCGAAATGATACCAAGACTTTTACTCTGCCCAATTGGGATCAGTGAGATGAAGAAGGGATATGAATACCATTTAGTGCTAAATGTTCACATCTCTTGATAATACCACGCAATATCAAACTTCATGATCGTCTCGATTAAGAATATGCATTGGGATATCGTTTCAAGCAATGAGATAAAACTAGTCTAATCAACAATCTTTGTTTACAACTGTGATACCTTATGGAATCAAACCCTTCGACGAAAGTGAACTCTGATAAGCCCAGTCCACGTATTAAACCTATTTCCTCTGACAGACCCAGTTCCTCCTCCCTCTATCCCCTCATTACCGTGTACTATACACCTCAATGCCGAACCAACCTCAATCTCGTAATCAATAACCTAGTTCAGTTAGCATTAGATTCATCAAGTTATGAAGGCCTACATACCATCACTCAATTCCAATTCGTCCAAGAGAAAGTCAACGACCTCTGCTCTCATCTTCTTAGTTGGACTGGTTGAACCACTCGCCGTTCCAGAGACAACTCTCTTCTTCTTTCTTCTCTCCATCTCATATTTTATCTTCTTGACTTTCTCTATCTCGTGTCTCTCTCTCTGAACCTTTGTTGAGGCTTTTCTCAAAAGTTCGGGTTTGAACACGCCCATATCTGCGGATTTCTTGGTACGCAAGGGGACTTTGATTTCGAGGGGCTTGGCTTCAGGAGCCGTGTTTTGCTCACATGAGTGGTTGCTGAGATTGATGACTTTTTGCTCACGACGACGGCTAGTGATCTTAGCGGCTTCTACCTCACGACGATCTGATTCGCAGGAAGCAGCCCAGTCGGTGTGAAGTTGTGGATCATTGACCCATGACTTTCCAGCCATATGCTTGGGATCATTCAAATCAAACAATCGCTTAGTGTGCTCCCATTCTGCGATCATCTTGCTTCCTAGGCCTGTGGAAGGAGCATCATTCTTATTCTGTTCGAGGACTTGTTCATGATATTTGTTGAGGAATTTGCAAATAATCTTTCTTTCCTCGTCGATGACTTCGGGTGAATCACAAAGTTTGAAGAGAATTTTCTCGATGCTCCATGCGGAATCGCCGGTGAGGACCCAGGGGATAGATTCTCGAAAGATGCCATTCTTAAAAGCACGCTTGTGAATGCTGTGAAGAACATACCAGCGGTAGAATCTGGCGAAAGGAAGCTCCTGTTGTTGGTCGATTTCTTTGAATGCTGACTTCTGTGATGAATTAGATCAAGTCGGAGCTCTTGGGGTTGGATTGTGTGTTGGAGTTGAAGCTGCCGGTATATGACTTCACGAGACGAGACTTCTCAGTGCTCATGTTTGTATCCATGTTAGAGATTTTGAAATGAGAACTTTAATAGATGAGACTACTTAATCTCTATACATTTGTTGAACATATAAAGTACCGATATGGCAGGTGCAGAAACAATACTCTTGTACTGTATTTTGAAATTGACAATGTGGTATGGATTAAGTGAGGGAGATGAGACTTTCCAAACTTGTAATTTGTACTAAGATTGAGAAGTTTTGGAACCTTGGGTTGAGTGATGTGATTGAGGTCTCTCAGTATTCATCCGTATGTACCGGTATCGAAAGGATCGATACACTACGTATTGGGTTGTGTAGATGAGACTTCCCCAAACCCGGAACCTTTATCGAAGATTGAAAGTGTTGATGATAGGAAACGGAAGAAAGATCTTGGATCAACAGCGAAAGAAGAAAGACTTACGAGTCGTCTTGTCTCTGGGTCGGTCGATTGTGGAGGCATGTTTCTTGCGAATCGTGGATCTGTTGGTTCGACTATGTTAGAAGTGATATGAGCATGTGTGGTAGGAGATGATGGTATGAATCAAACATTTGGACCACCGAACTTACAACACATGTCCTGATTTGCTACCCAGTGCATTTAAGACTATTTAGGACGAGAGATGATGGACTCCAATTGATAGTAAAGCAAAGAAAAGGAATGCGAAGTGATGCGAAGTGATGCGAAGCAAAGTGTAGTGTTTTGTTAAGTAACGAGATTGTGTTGTAATGTTTAGGAAAATGAAAAAACAAAAACAAAATGGTCTTGATGACCCAGGAATGCAGAGTGTTCCTTCCTTCTCTGTGTGTTTCGTCAGGTACGAAGGATGTGTAAATAGGAAGGCACGACCGGCTACTGCACCTTCTCCCACAGTTCCCCGAATTCAAGCAGCATTTGAGAATGATCGAGCGACCACAATAACAAGTACAGAAAATCATATTGCTGCAACTGTCAATGATTCTAATTGCATCGGCACAACGTAGACATCACTAACCACCCTCACGTGTGGAAAGGAAAGATAGGAAGGCACAACTAAAGCTCCTTCGAAGTTCTTTGCCATACCTAGGTACAAATATATTCAAACAATCATAAAATAAGTGTATGTATGCTCCAAAACCCCATCAATACCAAAGGTCCTGTTCGTTCCCTTGTCTTCACAACTTTTGAAACTTCATTCGAAACTTCAATTTATCCCCGTCGACTATCTCTATCTCTCGGCTCATGATTTCCATCATATCTCAATTACTACTGAGGTACCTACCAGCGAGCCATTCTCTCTTTTGAGACGTCAAACATGGAATTGTGTTACCAGCAAGTTCGGGAGTATCTGTGAGAACTATGGCATGTAAATCGGTAACGTTCCTTGGAAAGCTGAAGCTGCAAATCATCCATGCAATCAATACTGCATGATTTCATTGGAGACTCATTTGAAAACTAAGAAGGAAAGATATTTGGCGTATCTTACTTTCATGGGATTTTTCTGGCAATCCTTTGGACAGGTCAGCCATCACACTTCCAGGATGCACCGAATATGCCAGTACTACAAGATTAAGCATTAGTATACCATCATAAGACTCAGTCATGCCAATAAAGGAAAGAGAAAATTGTAACTCCCAACCTTGATCCGCATACTCAATACACAATCTTTCCGTAAACTTCACAAGCGCGAATTTCGACATCTGACACCCACTCATTCCGGGGCTCATGAGTAAAGCCGCTACACTCGCCAAATTCACAATGGTCTTATCGCCACCATCTGTCTTCAGTAACAATGGCAATAAACACTTGGTAGCCCAGTACACTCCTCTGACGTTGACTTCCCAATTCATCCACCATTCATCGTGATCTCCATTTGCTACATTCGCTGTACCAGAAAGATACGCCGCATTATTAATCAGAATATCCAATCGACCGAACGTCGTCTCAATGGATTTAGCAGCATCTGCGACGCTTGCACAATCGAGCACGTCAAGCTTCAAAGCAAGAACGCTTGGAACGGGAATGTTTGCTGATTTACAAACTTCTTTAATTTCTTTCTCCACAGAAGCCAAAGAAGATCGTGCACTGATTGACAAGGCCGGATACTCCAGATTTGGCATATGAGATGGCAATTGCACGACCGATCTCTTTCGATGCTCCGTTTACAAATACTACTTTGCCACTATGGGTTGGAGTGGAAGTATCAGGAGTAATTGGGGAGTAGGTATCATTATAGGACTTTTTGGTGAAATTGAAACCTAGGGTTGAACGAGATCAGTTATCTTGAATTTGGTATGGAATCCTTGGTATCTTACCGCTCTCGGGGGAAAATGGTGAACTGTGAGACATCTTGACCGAAGAGATGATTGATAAAAGATACTATATTCAGCTCGAATATAAGTATTGGGAAAATATCGAGAAAGTGATTTAGTGACTCTGTTGAAGCTGATTGTTGAAGTCTCGGAGCTACTGTGTTGAACAATAGGAGGTTATCAGTTTAAATAAATACACTTCTCAACACCACTACACTTCGAACATGATCATCACGGGAAAAATAACATCGCATTATCGAAAACAAAAACTACCTCCATACTATAGACGAAACGACGGTCGGCAATTAGCCGAAAACGAGACCTCAAATCACCCAAATCGTCGGCTCATCTTCGCACTGCGTTGGAGTGCAAGTCTCTCACTACAATCAAAGCCTCGTCAGAATTAGATTATCGAGCAATGAAAATACGGGACATATCGCAATCATCGACATCGCCCCAGAAATAATCCACTTGATCCATGTATTATGCAGGTATACACGGCATTAAGTAGGCACGCCGAATGCCAAGACTTCTAGAATATCGTTAGATGAGTTATTTAATTTTTTTAATTTTTTTTTCGTCAGAGGCTATTCGCCAATCAAACGACGACTATTATGAGGTGTATTGATGACACACTAGACTATTCGTCTAAAAATGTCACATCGACTTCAAGATGAAGTGGAGTGCTAGATCATGCGCGGAGTTCCGAATACCGCAAGGGACATACGATAGTAGGTGCATCGCGGAAAGAGTTTTCTATGCAGTGAAACCTCTCTATAAGGATACCGAAGTATATTCTGACTGAGGGGTTTCAAGGGTATAGATCATTTCTAAACCTTAAAAATTTGAACTCAAAAATGTATCCTTATAAAGAGACTATCCTTCTAGAGAGATGATGCTTGAAAATAGATCATGCTTAGAAAGAGACCATGCTTATAGAGAGGTCTTGAAATACTACCAAACAAGGAAATGAAACCATAACAACTCCCCTTCGAACTCTAAAAATCGTACAAAACCTGGAGTAGAGATGCATATAACCAATCCAAATCAGTAAAACGAAGATACAGACTCACTCACTGTGCATCTATTCATCCCCACCTCTCACGATCCATACCCCATACCCATCACCCATCTCATCTGATCGTAACAGAGAACCCAACCCAGCCATCCACTACATTCACAAGCCCAAGCCCAAGCCCACTCCGACCGCAATATCCACATCCAAGAATCTCCACACCTCCTCTCCACCCATATCTACCGCGCGGATTCGGCACCAGGAACAAACCGCACAGCGACGTCAAGAATGGCCGACAACTCCATTCCGTTTCACTTTCCGACAAGATGATGGATTTTTGTCATTTACTCAGCATGGAGATTGATGCGGGGTTAGATTTTTGATTCGCAGAAGCTTCCTGGCTGTGGGTTTCGAGATCTCGACTCACGAGTGAGTATATGTACTCTATCTTTCGTCCTGTCGTTCCGTTGCAACTCATTCCATTGATTCCAGTTTCCCATAGAGAAGCACCACTACTCAGCATTTCCTTCCTTTTCTTTCCTGCAATGAAAGCAAGATTCTCTTCCACGACAAAAAGCGCATTCATCACCAGAAGACCTAGAATCCATCCACTGATATTCAATAATTTCCAATCATAGTATAAACCACTAATTAGGCTAAAATTCATTTCTTTCAGTTATTATTTTAGAAACTGAGGCCATCAAAACTCATGATGCATCTAGCAAGCAGCAATCAACAAACTTCATAAGTCCATTATATCATGGGTATCTCCAAGTGCCTCACTATACAACTCGACCATATTAAAACGCCCCGCATATGCGATTAGCCACTCCACCATTTCGCCTTCATTTTTAGACCCCTAAATCCATGCCACTCACAGAATACTCCTCCGCTTATTACTTAGCATACTATAACTGCTCGCCGTTCTCGATCTCAGCTTCGTAACCGAGCCTGTTCTGCTTTTCAGCTCGAAACTCGAAGGTTCAAAGACACTACTACTATTTCCCTCTTTCAGATAGAAGTGACTTGAGTTTTCCTCATGATGAACATGGAAATCAACATTCAACTGATCACCTTGTGGACCAGCCCCACAGCTTCCACCCAAGCGTTGAGAAGGAGGACTATTAACCGCTAAAGCGAATAAATTTTGTGTTTCGGTGAAATCGGTGACGAGACCGCGTTGACGGATGAAATAACCGAGACAGAAGACATTGGTGAGGAAGACGAGGAGGAGAACGACGTAAAACATGTTTTGCCAGTGAACAGCCGGGCCGGAGGTGTAGGATTGACTGGAGATTGATGCGTTAAATGGTTCGTAGACGCCGGGACTTATGATTCCTTTTGTAGCGTTGTATCCCATATAGTGTCTATATGTAGCGCCTTGGGCACTGATCAATAAGGTACAGCCAGAGAGTGAAGCGAGGGCTTCTGCGAGACTGGGTAGTTTAGTATTTAGACTAGGAGCTGTCGCAACGAACTGTGTAAGTAATCGAGAAATAGAAGCATTGTCATTTGAAATTCCAGTATTGAGAGACAATGTAAGTGCCCATTCCGAGATGATGTTTCGAAAATCTTGTTGTCGAGCTGGAGGAGGTGGTGGTGGGTCGTAGGATTTGTCATAAGCGATGTCATCATTGGGATCTTCGCAAGTGTTTTCCAGAACTCCACCTACTCCAGAAGCTGAGTATGAAGTGCTACAGTCGGTTGCAAGAAAGGAGCCTAGAAAATGATAGTTAGCATCTCAACTATCGCAATTTTCACCTGCTCATAACATTTTTTATTTTTCAACGACTCGCTTTGAGATCGAAAATCGAGTCACGAGGATGAAGAACTAAAGAAATAAGGAATGAGGAGTACTTACTCATTTCGCATACAGTATAGTCGGCTGTGGCACTTGATTTCGCAAGAATGTATATATAGTCGCTCATGTACACCGATATATTGGTAATAGTATTGTAGTCAATAGGCAACTACAGAGGTTAGCCGACACCGACACACAAAGTTTTACAACGTAAGCTTACCATTGGGAACACTGGAGGCTGTTTTCCATCTACACCCCACCCAAATATATCATCCACCGCAGTGCTATTGAGATACTCCTGGCCTGGCTGTAACTTGATTTCCAATGTGTAACCACTCGAAGCTATTTTCTGGCCTGGAATAATCGGAGAGTCAGTTGTGTTTGCATTAGGCCAGTCAACATAAATGATTGGCGAGAGTTCTGTTTTGTTCATGTTGACACATAAAACATTGATAGTGGGGCTCACTACCGATGCTTTAACTTTGTATTCTCCGACGCCTTCAAGATCAGAAGGTTGTAAGATTCCATTGATCGTATCAGTCGCAGCGGAAATAACACCAGCGTGCGGCATAGCAAGAGTAACGTTGTTAACAACACGATTGTACTTTTCATGACTGGCAGCCATATCGCTAGTCTCGGTACGAATCCATGATGCTTTAACAGTGGTATTGTCATAAAGGTTGGCTGTCACGGTCGGGCGCTCTGCCAGCTTAGATGAGTTACCTTTTTCTCCATCAGCAGCAATATCGGCCCAAGTACGAATATACTCAAGGAAATTATGATAGGCTAAAAAGTCAGCGTATTCCAAAAATAGCCTGCTTGGGGATTCACACACCTTCTCCAGCGTGATCAATATCCACACATGTGGAAGCGGAGTAGTTTGCATCCATTTCTGTTGTAATTGGAGTTTCACAATTCTGTGCAACATAAAAAGGATTCCCATAGCTTGTTTGAACCAATCCTTTCATTACTGCATGCTCCCACTTCCCAAATTGGAGACTAGGACTAACGATGGCATCTGATGCTGTGGTATAGAACATGGCTACAAATGCTGCCGTCAATGTAATTGCTCCTAAGATTGACCATGCGGCTCTTCGCAAAATTTTAGGATTTGTGATCATGAATCCTGGTTGGATGACCTAAAAGTGGCAGTTAATATCAGACGAGCATTCCACATAATAAGAATGTCAAGGTTTCAGGGAAGAAACCCAACATCAAACAAAGTAAAAGGAAACCTACCCAAGTTCGCATTGTCAACTCTGCAACAGTGACACCATCAGAATTCCTAACAAGAGACCTCCGACTTAAGACTTGGCCGAGGAAATTAACAAATATAGTGACGAAAGATAACTCAATACTTTTCGCAAAACCGGCAAACAAAATCGAAGCAGTTGACGGTGTCAACGATCCGTTAGTTTTGATATGTTCACCATATCGCGGCCGAAGAACAGCTATGAAAAACCAAATGCCAGAAAATATGGTAGAATATATGCAGAGGCATAAAACGGATACTGACGTCCAACTTCTGACATGCGAATGAATATCGTTATTCGCTGCGCACCCGCATCCAATATGTTTCTCGTCGTGTGCATGATCTTCATGGATACTGCTCAGCCTCGACATATTCGGAGTGTCAAAAGCATGGTCCAGACTCTCTGTAAAAGCTGAAATCCTTCCCCGAGAAATATCTTGTTCATCCAGAGACTCACTGTTGCGTCTTTGCCCTTGATCCACGTCCAAAAAGTCCCCTCCTCCACCGTATGTATTATTTTCCGTCCAGGTTGGAGACGCCAGTAAACGATTTGTCGAAGTTGCAGGAGAGGTCATCAAAGATGCAGACCCAATTGGTGGGCTATAAAATTCGCTCGAGGGACTGGGCGGACTTGGCGATTTGCGACTCGCAGAGGTAGGCATTCGAGATATTCCTAATCCTTGAGACATATTCGCAGATTCAGACGATTCGCCCTCCACTATTAAGGGAATTGTAGAGTAAGGAGTATTTTCTTGAACATATTCGAGATTTGGAGAAAATTGAACTGAACCTTGGGAGTCCATTCTGCGATATCCGTGTCGTTGATGGGTCAATCTCGGTGGACTGGTTGATATCGAAGAGGATGCGACGCCGGTTGCATTATCTGAGAGATCAACGTCCCTTGATTTTAATATACTTTTTCGCTCAGCCGGATTGGCACTCATATTGAGTGAATGTGGATTGTTTCAAATTTTAGTCGTGAATCTAAATTCTCCTTTCTCTGTCTGTGTCTCTTTCTTTTGCTTTTTGTTCGCCAGTTTGAATGTATCTTGCAAATTGTTTGCGGATCGATATCTCGTATCGTATCAGTAGTGTAACGGAAGATCGACAGAGAATGTCACATCAACCATTATGGAATAACGAGACGTCAAGTTGATACTGGTACCACCACGATAGCAAGCAATGCTGCTTAAAAGGTCTGCGCCACAACGATAGTAGAACAGAAAAACAAAGCATAGCAGAGCAAGGCAATAGCCTACCTCACCTACCTATTTTTCTTACTTACTTTATTCGTCAACCTTGAACCAACAAATAGATGATGGATGTGGGGTCTGATATTCTGCATCTATAGTCTCTTTTCCAGGTCTGGAACCGATATAGAGATCGCTGTATTTTACCACGACAATCCGGAACTGTTGGTTGAAGACGATGAAGGATTGGTTGAAGAACGGGAAAGTTTTCTGAGTGCGTTCTCCTCTCCTCTCAATATCAGATCAGGACTAAAATCGGTACCGGACTAACTACGTGCAGTTTGATTCCCTGCGCCTTTTTGTCATAACCTGGTCGCTCTTCGTCAGACTTTGGTGGGTGATATCAGTACCTGGCTCGCTGGGTACGTTTGTCATTATCATTGATGGATGCACTTCTAGAGATCAAACACAGCCTCTGGATTTCTGTACTCGATTGGTTTCTTCTTAAGGCTGAATGATGAGTGAATACTTGATTGATCATTATTTACTCGAGAGCTATATATAGCCTTGATTTGATTGGCTACCTAGGTATGCATCGACATGAAATAGACGTTGTCCCTCCATCTTACGTTTACATTGCCGTTGAGAGAATGTTTCCTGCTTGTTTGCTTGCTCTCTACTCTGTCCGTTCATCTTGGTTCTCTTGGCTTTCCCGTATTCTGTCTAACTTTCAAAGCTTGTTATCGGTGGTTGCTCCCGATCTGCAAACAGCCGCTGGTATCACACTGGTCACTGGTGTTCTGTGCTCTGTGCTGTGCTGTGCTGTGCCGCTGATGGAACCGGGGTGTATTCGCAATGCCCCGCTTTATTTGCATTTTTTTAGAGCATCAAGTTGTCCATTTACTCTTATTTTCATGATGGGCATTTATCATTTGTCTGTTTTACGAGCAAATACAAGATTCGTGAAGGGTTTCACGAACAGCACGAAACAGAGGCCAGAGCGACAGAGTATGCGAGTATGATATAACATTATTACTTGTCAAGAAGGTCTAGAAATTTAGCTGGTAGTGACAGCGAGCAGCCGCGCGCATGCCTAGTCATTTTGACGTTAAGAAGTACTTGGAGTCACAAGAGTCAACTAAGCACAATGAGGAATGAACAACAACTGGTATCATTAAGAATTCACTGGGTACTATCCAGCCTCTTCTCCATTCCCCCATTCCCGAGCTTCCCTATGAAAAGCCTTACAATTTGACATATTAGCTTTCTCTCCACAATGCTCTCCATTAAAGTTTTCAGGAGCCTAGACATTCATTAACAATTTCGATTATCTCCGTCCATCGACACGTCAATGTTAGAGTACGCCCCCACCAAAACTACCCAATAGTATGCTCCCCGCCTACACATTATTAAATCCAGCCTTCCAATTTAGGCTTCGTCTTCCGACCCCAACTTCGACTTTTTTTCCAAAAAACATCATGCTCTCGCGATTGTTCCTTACGTCCAGCGTTAGAAGACATACTCGTGAGCCAATTCGACACTACAGTTCTCGGTGTACGGGATTCTGGTTCAAATGATGCTCCTTTTTCTTCACTCTGGTCTCGATGAATTGGTGCCATGATAGGTGGACTGTTTCTCCGAGGTGGTGGTATGATAGGTGAAGTTTGAGAGCGTGTTGATTCTGTACTGGTTTGACGAGGACGAGTTGTGTGTATGCCCTTTGTGTAACTCTTTGAATATTCGGTATTGTAATTCGGTAATTCAATCTCGCCGAGCCTTCTATTTGTCGACTTGGATATTTTCCGAGGAGCTTGGCTAGCAGATGAGAACATCGAAGGTGACTCTAAGGCACCAAGAGTACCCATAGCACATTCTTCTTGAAGACGGAACTTCCAATCTTTTTCCAATGGCTTTGGAGGCTTGTCGAACATTGGACTATGAAAATCTTGACTTGATAATGTTTCACATCTACTCAATCTCTCGTTGCGTGTCTCTTCAAACTCGTCACCGCTTTCGATATCTGTGATTTCCGAATCGTCAAAATCAAATCCTGGACTAGGCGTCCTTGAAATGGTTCCGCTGGCCGCTAATGTTGGCTCTAGCAGATTATTTTGGCTACGAGCATTCCTTGTGTCCGGAGATGGCGAGCCCGTCTGTTTCCGCCCTGACATGTGCCTTGGTGCCACGAGATATGCCTCAGGCGGATTGTCAGTCATACGACGTTGAGTTTGTCCAAAATCTACAGACTTCTCAGTTGAAGTTTCCCGTCTAGAAAGTTTCAGACGAGCTCCTAGTATATTTTTTTCAATTACTTCCGGCGAAGGAAGAGTATCAATATCAGGCTCCACGATCGAAGGCCAAGCTTTAGGGGTTTTGGGCGATGGAAGCCCAACTTTGGATGAATTTTTCTTCTTATTTGCATTTCGAGAGACGGGCATATCTCGTGACTTTTCTGAAGTAATTCGCACCGCTCGTGACCCTGGGTAGGTCGCTCTGCAAATGAAAAATATAAGTATCAAGAACTCTAAACATACGCTTCATAATGACAGGTGATAACGTACGCCTGGAAAAACTCCATAACATTCAAATCACCATTCTCAGCCCCATACGCCGGACTCAATAATACCGTCACACCAGGAGAGATAGGTGTTTCCTCTGATTTCCAATTCACTGGTGGTTTTTCGAGAAAAAAGTTCCGGGGTGATGAGGCCTCATTATCTGGAGTTCGGGGAAATGTGGTGTTTTCTCTTTCATCAACTTCACAAAGGAGTTCGGGTGTTGGCATGACGCCTTCCATGTTGGCGTATGAAAATATATGACTATGAGCATTTTGGATATATATCTCATCTGGTCTTTTTCGATGAAAATACCCCTGACTCCTCGATTTTCTAACATGTTTTCTGTCGACCATGATGGATATTTCAACGTCAAGAAGACGGCGGTTTTCGTGATATTTTAATGAAACAATAGGATCTAATATCCAGGAGTATGCTATTGTGCAAAGATAGCAACAGAACCAGATAAATGAAATAGCGTAAGAAATACAAACAAGCAATCGATCAAAATCAATGATACCTAAGAAATAGTGCCTGCACTGTATGTATATCAATCCTCAATTGCGAAAGAAAAGGCAAAGGAAACTCGAAGTATTAAATGAATCAGCAAAATCAATGGAATGAATGAATGAGCGAGTAAAGGATGTATAGGTAGTTCCAACTAAAAAATCGAGATCAAGAGCGATCACAACGGTATAAGTACAGCATCAAACACGACGTAGTATCAAATTGCAATAAAACATGCCACCGCATGCGACTCAACCTCCAATCCTCATCTTAAATCCGTTTACCTGATCTGCTAAAATTATTCATGAAAATCAAAATACACATCGACATTGGTCCTCGAAAATATACCCGCCCACACCATCGTTTTTTAGTGTATCGAAAATGATTGAGTGCTACGATTTACCGTTTGACAGTAGAGGCTGAGGACCTATGGATAGATGTTTATGCGCTGTGGGCGCTTAACTTTTCTTGATGGAGGGACGGATCGCTTGGGGATTGGCTGGCGAGAATTGGGGTTTTGAGGCGGGGTTTTTGGTGCGTTGTACAGGTAGGAGGATATGGAGTGTATAAAACTAGGGAGTTGCCATGTTATGTTAACTTGTGTTTTATGCGTATTTTTATGCGTTCTGGTGAAAATTTTGGAACTTGCTATTGGGATTCTTCCAGTTGGGGATTTTAGCTTGAAAGTCCAAGGATTGCTACTTTTAAGACTCAAGCACGAACGGCAGCAACAACAACTGTAGGTTTCTCACAAAGCATCTGATTCAGAAGTTTCGTCTATCGATCTGAAGCACAATTGTCTTGCGAAAGAAATGTTGCAAGGGATGAGATCTGTTAGTCGGGACACCCAACAATAGCGCTTCCTTTCATACCTTATCATTTCAACTACTTCGTCTGTCAACTTCCCAATTGGTGTATATAATTCTTTCGCCGAGTTGGATTTCCACGAATCGAAAAGTTTCTGGTTTATATCGTTGAAGTTCTCTGGATACGCGTGTCGTCACATCATACCTTCCACGACCGGTCTGTGGTGCGATGTTTGGGGAATATACAAGCTACCCCGCTGAGTTGTATCTCAAGGCGAAGATTTTTGTTCACGACATCTTGTAGTTGTGATTTTTTTTACCTAATTTTCCTTGATATTGAAGTCTTTGGTCGAATCTAAATCATTGGTGATTATCAGAAACGGTATGTTACGTCTAATATTTTCTGTGACAGAGACTGTCGGGATATCAATCATGTGATCATAAAGTGCACTGTATTAGCTAGCGAGGCGCTCGCGTTTAGCTATATAAGTTACTAGCTTCTCATAGAAAATAATGATAAAAATTGATTACAACCATAATAGACCAAAGTACATTACACTTATCAGCCAAGTTGATACCCACAGAGACCATTCCCAAGCACTTCTGGACTCTCTAGCGAAAAGCTCTCGAGAAGAATTTGTACCGTTATGAAACAATATTGTTTTTGTGGATGATTGAATGGTCTACCAGCTGCCTATCGAACAATGTCAAGTGAGTTGCAGATTATTTTAAGTGTACGAGCAATTAGAGGACATGTATAAACAGTCTTGGAGGCTATTTCGCTATGTGAATCGACTTATTAGTGGTTGAACTTTCATTGTATTCACATATGCTGTGTTTGAGATGCTTTTATATACCTCAAAGTATGAAGTCTGTGAAGTGCCAATTTACGGAAAATAATCTTACATAATTTCAGAGCACTGCCTACGAACTTCGACAGGAAAGACAGTCAAGAAGAACAGTAGCGTTTGAAAAGCCTGTAGGCAGATTGTTTCTATGGATAGCATGTGCGAAGCCCGGAGTAGCAGTTGATCCACAAAGCTGCACTTCCATCACGGATAGCACTTTGGCAGAGACTGCTCGAAGATTGAAAACTCAGGGTGAGGGGTGCTCGACTGGATACACGCCCTTGCAAATTCAGAACGATACAAACTTGAACTCTAGATACAGCACGAGAGGGATGAAGTGGTAGGGATGCGTTCCAATATTAGCAAAGATTCAGATGGAATATCATGATTTCCCTAGAACGAAGATAATCCGCGAAAAGCTGAACAATTAGAAGAAGAGCTCCTGGAAGCTAGCTGCCACGTATTGACCTATCCATTCAATCGTGTGTAAAGCCATGATAAACATGGTTAACTCACCTACCCAACGTTGTGCTAAATTGCAAGTAAAAAATACATGAGTCAAGCTGGGTAGAGATGTCCATCCAAAGTAACTTCACTCATAGTGATGCACATTAGAGAGGAAAGTTCTTGCATTCCCGCCTGATCCTTCCGAGGTTTGATATCGAGAACAATTCTGGGAATCTCATATCAAAATAAACATGTCGGCCCGTGTACAATATTTTTGAGACAAAATATTTGGGACTGATAAATGAATATAGATGTTTTAAGAATTCGGGTAAAACGGTAATATTTTCATTCGATTAAGCTTAGCTTTAGGTTTAATCTAATACCAATTCGTCATTCATAACCCGCAGTAGTGTCTTTCTCACTTGTCTATAAACCTCGATCGATCATATTCCTTTGAGCTTCCCCTCTTCCAGTTTTACATAGTACTCCCACATCCATCAACTCGCAAAATCAAATAACGATGTCAAGAAGCCTTTCATGAAAAGATTCTCGGTAAATATAGCAGCAAGGATTATGACGGAGACTCATCCGTCTCTTCTCCACTAGATTCTAGTTTCACCTGAGAACTTCAGTCATCGTAGAACAACCTTTTATGTTTCAAGATACGAAATCCTGGTAGCACTACATCATGGTGCCATTTTATAGTCCTGCTAGATCACTGCGTACTTCTTCAAGATCTGAGCTCTTAACATTGGGCGAATCAATTAGGCTGCGGAAATATTACCTGTACCCGCGGGTAATCAACAGATAACCAACCGCTTCGTAGGTTACCCGCTAAAGGTGTTACCTGCTCTGCGGGGTATTTATCAAGGCATTTACCCGTCTTGGTAGATTGTCAGTAGATTATCTACAGATACTCTATAAATAATCTACAGATAACTTGTGGATTATTTGTATTCATATCAAACCTATACCAATCATAAAACTACAACAGTATTATATTGTTGTTATTCAATCTATATGTAGAAGAGCATCTATAAATGATCTACAAATAGATACCTAGGTACTCGACAGAGAGTTTGTTTCAGATTTTGAATAATCTACCCCGCTAGAGATGATGATTCTCGGATTGATTAATGAGGCTACTATTCGCTCTGCGGGTACCCATTGTGTAGCCTAAAATCGATATACGAACAAAATTTGTTTGAAGTTTTGGATGATGATAATTAAGTGTGTTGTGGCTAGTTTATAATTTATCAAACCGTGAATCATCAATTGCTAAGAACAAAAATACTCTCGTTTAATCAATTACTTTTTGAATAGTAGAAAGTTCTCTGCAAGCTAAGAGCCTGGATTTCTCTTCGTTGAAGCCGGCTCGTTGATCGAGTACCAAGTGAATCACATTACCTCAGATGCAAATGCGAGATTTTTTGAGCTTCTGCAGGTCGTCGCTTCAGGACACCGCTAAGCGAAAGCGCGCATAAATGCTACCCTCGCTTCATTAGACTAGCCTCTTCAATCAACAACGACATCCATTATCAATCGCGAAGTAGAAATTGTTCTGTATCAAGTCTAGGCAAAGGGCTGAGATCAATCTCCTTTTTCTGCTGTTCTAGGGCTATGAAATGATCATCATATCAAGTTACACAGTGATATTATAGTAAATCACATCAATTTTCCAATTTCATGCATCGCACCAAGATCAAGTAAAAACGTGTGGGGATTTGCATCATAACACATCAATTGTGTAGTTTGCTGTGCTCAAAATCATTTGAGAAAACAGACTATGCTCGATGGGATATTATACAATCATTGTCGCAAGAAGGTAGTTCCTGCTTTTCCGATATTTGGCATGATGGCATCACAAAGTCTCACTTGGAATGACCGTTAAAACAAAGTTTAAAACCGTATGCTGCATGCATGACGCGTAATTGATCAAGGCCTACTTATTGATCATTACAAATGACGAGCAAGGAATATGTTTTTAATCAAAAACCTTCCTCGGCCGTTCCAGGAAGATAGCTCATCGGAGCTCCAGTAACCACCCATTAAATAGCTGGAAGAATTCCTTCAAATCACTATGGATCTACAAAGTGGCTTGGTCAGATATATTGCAAGACTTCGAATCAGTGGACCCACAAATTGCATTAAAATAGGATAAAACTATTGGAGGTGTACTTATTTGACAGTATCTGGTGGTATATTCAATCTGTCCAACCTACCTGCCGCCAGCACTGAGACTGATACCGACTGAATGATTAAGCTACAGTCTTGATGATGACTTCGCAGGCAACATTCAGAATATGTCTATCCAGTGTCACAATTATGTTATTTCAGGAACGTGAATTTTAGAATGCAAGAAGTTCACACGAATCTGAATCTCCCGATCAAACTCCTCTTCCTAAGTACTGTATTCATCGTGCCGCACATGTCTCCATATGTAGGAACGAGAGTCATGTAGTATAGCTGTATTAATTGATGGTATTAGTGTGAAGAGCTGTTTCGGTAGATTATTGCCCCTAAGATATAGGAGGGGGTTCAACATACATTAGCGGCAGTGCCTATCGTGTATATATATAAGAGGGCTTCCTGCAATTTTCAGGCCAGCCAGTCTATCCTCCCGAAGATTTAATTGCACTCATTGATCAATCCCTAATCATCTCTCAAACACCAACAGCTTTATTCATCTTTCATTCTTGCTTTCAGTAAATATTGCAGACCGAACTCGCATCTACGGTGACCTCAAAGTCCCTCTGATCTCTGAATATGAATGGCTCTGGTCGGACAATGGTACTGGTGCAGCTAGAGATGACACCTTTTGGCATCCGAAGGCCCAGTCTGGAGAGTTTGGGGGTATGCGCCCCTTGGGATCTGTTGGCACCGCCAACTACAACAACATCAACAAGAAACAAGCTACCCTCCTCGTAGGGGCAACCAGCAATTCAAGCCCCACAGTTAAATCTCCGACTGGCTACACGCAAATCTGGATTTCTAAAGGTATGGGTGGAAAGTACGATAACTCTACATGGAGACCCATTCCTCCCCTGGGATATGTGTCAATGGGTGACGTTGTCTTTGATTGCTCAGAGACAGGATGGAATACACAGCCGAGTACGGATAAAGTCTGGTGTTTGCGAGCGGATCTCGCTAAGCGTGCTGTCTACGATACCGCTTCGTTCTGGGACGACAAGAAAGGCGCCGGTAACTACGACCTTAGTGTGTGGCAGATACTTCCGGAACCAATTGTAGGCAAGGGCGACAAGAATATTCCCATCACTGCTGGTACTTTCCGAGCAAATCAAAGCTACTCTAAGCCTGACTCAACCTATGCTATGGTTCCGATACTGTCTTGCGGGAATTAATTCAAGAGGTTCGACGCATCGGTTCCTAAGATTTGACCGGATTTGATTTCCACCACGGGAGATCAAAATTCACTTAAAGAGCAGTGTCGCGTTACTCTGCCCTTCATTTCCCACTTCAAAAGTACAAATGAAAGAAGCCTCGACTTTACCCAAAACCCCTTTATTGAATTGAGCCGATCCATCGCATGGAAAGTCGAGGGTTTATGGGTGAATGGAGGCGAGGGCACGTACTCGCGCCAGAAAGAAATAAAATATGGCGTCAGTTCGGAAGAAACCAAGTCAATGACACACTGCAGATGTTGAAAGTTAGTATAATCCGACCAAATTCCCCGGTTTTGCCCTCCCGATAATCGATTTCGTTCCAATATTCAATATGAATATCCCTTCATTTTCATCCAAGATAGGTTATCGCTGACTGACAATCTTTTAGTCTCTGCTTCTGGTGGCATTGGACGCGCAGAGTTCAGCGTCAGTCTCAATTATCATTTACCTACGAAAGCAGTTCTTCATTCACCTAGTACAGCGACTTGACGGTGACAGAAAGTTTTGAAGTCCTAGGAAAAAATGCATAAGTTTTGTTTAGCAAGCATATTTGGATCACTGCCGAACGTGCAGATGGAGGTCCGATACTGAAACAGCTCGAGTTGGTCGCGAACGATGATGTCTATTTTTCTGGGTGACTGATTAATTCCGCATAGTCATAAGCCGTAGAAGTTGAAGGATGTTTTGGGTAACTTCGATTGCTAGTAGTTCTTACGATGGATTGATAATCTTTCATATTTCAATTCTCTCTTTTTGGTGGCAAGAACATCAAGAAGAAAATTTCGCTCGTTCTGATTTTATTACGCGTTATTTGAAAGTTCAAGTTTATTGAGAAATGTTAGAGGGAAATGTTACGTATATATGTGTCAGACGTAATATCTTCATGTTCCTTCCACCAGTGGGTGTATGGATTGATGGGGACACTTCCAAACTTCCGAAATTTTCAATAAATCTATACTTCGATCGTTTGATATTAGAATTAGCGTTTTGATTGTCCTACTTCTAATGAATCATTGTTACAATTCCTAAAATATACAATGAGATGGATTGAGAGATATTCGCAAGTCCACTTTTACAGTGTCTTGTCAGCATACACTCACTAGTGCTCCATTACATGGTCGTATAATAAGTGCTCAACTCCACTACCTGGCAGATATCGTAGAACAATTGGCCTATTCAGAATATGAGAGGGTGAGCAATGTAACAGTGTATACAGACACTGAAACCATGCTTGATATAATTGTCGCTTTTTTGCACAGCGCCAGTAGCAACTCTCACAGCAGACTTCTATAAGCGCCCGTACGTCAGGAAGTGCCACAACATAACATAGTTTCAGAGACTAATTAAAGCCTGAACACAATTGAAGACGATCAAAAATTATTACCAATGACCTTCAAATTTCCTAACACATAGTGTCGGTTACAATCTGAGTCCCCAAAGAGACAAATAAACCTCCGAATAGACCGAAACCTTTATTTGAGTTACATACTATTAGGCGACAGTCAGCAGAGGGGCCTCTCACTCAAGACCCCCTTTGAAGATATGACTTAGAAGCCTTGTGCGATAGTACTGCGGGTTTCACGCATCGCTTTCACTGCGAAGCTTCGTTCTAAAGATTAAACTTTTCACATATTTTACTACTAAGTACAAGGATAATGTTGATAGTTATCAATCTACTTAATATCAGAAACAATTCCAGGGTTTCGCCCATGTGTCTGTATATTTGACGAGTCAACTACCCATTTAATCATCTGCACATAAGAAACGCCCACGAGATCTCTTTAATATCACGTTTTGCATTCATACAGACTCAGACTCAGGCTCAGATCCAAGCCTTGTTTTCTCAACACTTTCTCCATTAGCATGGGCGCCTTTAGCCATTTGCGGAAAGCACCATCCAGGATGAAAGATCGCAAGGGATGATACAGCGACGACAATCATACTGTTCTCGTTAGTTTCTCACAACACAAAGCTGGAAAGAGAACCTACAATCCCTCCATAAAAACAAAGCCCGCCTCATCCCGCATAATTGGATTTGCCCAACCCTGAACCATCTCCGCAATCCTATACACGCATCTCGCAAAAATGGTGGCGAAAGCCACACTGATTCCAACACAAAACAATCTAAAGGGTCTTTTTGCAGCCATGATTCTCGTTTCTTCGGGCACTCGTTCCCATGATCTTCTCGTTCGAAGAACGTAGTCAATAACCAAGGCGGCGAAAACGATTAAAGTGAAGACCTGCCACACGATACCCGCAATCATGAGATTCGTGCCCAGATCTCTCGTCTTTTGATCTTCACCAGCACTGGCAGCGATACCTCCACCGATAGCTTGTAGTAACAACGAGAGAATATCAAAGGTAATAAATACCCAAGTATAAAATTTTGCGGGAATCCTCGATTTTTCTGTGCCAAAAGTTTGCACAATATGTTGAAGCGTAATATACACACTAGCGACAACAAAACTAGGCGAGAAGATAAGACAGGAGATTTGGATCTCGAATCCGATGTCTGACCAGGCATTATTGTGCAAGAGAATTCGTCCAATATATCCAGTTACTTCACCCAAACAGCCAATTGTTATGGCTATACCGAAGAAATATGTTTTATAACGGATACTAGCAGCTAGGTGATAGGTAGCTGCTAGCATAAAAAAGGCAAGGAAAAATGCATTGAAACCCAGGGAGGGTGTGTAGCCGTAGATAGTGGCTTCAACGGGGCACTCTGGGGATACAGAGGTACAATTTAGTGATTCAGGCATTTTGAATTATGTAGAAAGAAATTCCGTAAATAAACGAAGTGTTGAAAGAGAATCAAAGTTATGTTGTAAACAGCAAAAATGTCTGCTTATTTAATAGCTATACCGAAGCAACAGATGAAGAGATGAGATCCCATCTGAAGAGAACTTTCTTCAGTTCTATATATCCATCCATTCTGATGAGATTACAAAAAGTAAGCACCATAGTGTATTTCGCGCAGCCGCATTCGCATTCATTCCTACGGACGATACTATCAACAATGGAAAAGTGTGTCAAATCGGGCCAAATATTGACCGTCCATCGTTTACCCGCGAATCTTGTTGGCGGATGTTGCAATAGCCAAGTGTGTCCGTGTCAGCCTCTGTCAAAATGATTTCCTAGAATATGTTTGACATAAAACTCAGATGAGCCGAGCCTTGACAACGGCCGTAAGTTTGAGGGAGCATAAAATTAAACGAATCCGAAAGCGGCTGTGTGGGTCAACGACCAATCACAATTTGACAACGTATCCCACATTTTTATTTCAAAGAGGCTATGTATAAATTCATGTACGATTGATATCGATGATACGTCGTCCACATACGTCGTTTTTAAGCAATCGAATTCTTAGCAGTCACAGTAAGATCTTGATGTAAAAAGATATCGCAATGGCCTCATGTACTTTCGATCCTTTGTCTGCGTCGAGGAAGACCTATCCCTTCCCAGCCTAAGTCTTGGTAAGGCAACATTCATATAAGGTCGTCCGGTACGTGCCCAGACGCAACTGCTGGCATAAATTTCTATGCACCTCAGTTTGAGACATTTAATAAATGCAGACAAATGACTGAGCGTTATTGCATATACTTATCGACAACAGAATACGGGGAACGCCACTCTTCTTCAGCAACTCTCCTAGCCCTGACGCGTTCACGATAAGCTCTATCTGCCTCTTCCATCACAGCCGCATCCGTTGAATCTTGTACTGCGGTTGTATCGATGTAACGAGTTGGTGTATACGGGACAAGACTTGTGAATTCTGGATATATTGATGAGCGATCTCGTATGTAGTTCCCAACAATATACAATTTCACATCTCCACCACAATTGCAAGTGGATTCAAAGCCAACAGTTGAACAATTAGTGCAGATGGTTCGAAGGCATGGATCGATGCGGGTAAATTGGAAATGGGAAGTCTCAAAGTGGATTTGTAGAGATTCTTCATCCCTGAATGTTTCCTTGCAGTAGTCATCAAGAAAAGAACATTTGTAGGCCGTATGGTCCCAGAAAGCGAGGGCAAATTGAGAATGATTCTGGAAAACGGAATAGTAACGCTCGACAAGAGATTGGAAGTTATGCTCGTCGCTCATAAACATATCAGGCACCTCATCAGCCATAGAGTATGACTGCTTTCCATCAATAATTGGACTGGTTTCTATTCCATCGGGGTCATAGAGAACGATAGGAGGAATTCTATCGATTTTCCATCGCCGAAACATCTCGTCGCGTCTGGCTCTTTTTACAAAGTTTTGTAGCGTGGGATCCCGGGCCGGCCCCGGATTCTGCCTCGACTTCACTTGGTCATCTTCAAGGATGTAATTCCAATCGCCACTGGATGTATACTCCGAGCTTGTGGGCCCTATTGAATGATGAGCATGATCTGGACTTATCTCGTCTTCGTCGTTCTCAATAATGGATTCTATTGGTGGTAAATCCACGGCATCTTGGTCGAGACTATGATATGTGTTCTCTGATTGCCGTTCATTAGTGTTCGCATCATCGAGATCGTCGCGTTCTGGTAATGAGAGGAGAGCAATGGCTTCCATATGGGCAGCTATATGGTTGCAAAGCTTTTTGGATGCAGGGGGTGATGCTTTTGCTATTTCCAAATTGTCTGGTAATAGATCATGTTCTGAATTATCCACCGAAAATGGGCAGAGTGGACAAGCTCCTACTGTGTGGGACTCGTTTTCATTGCCATCATATGTGAGAGCAGAAGAGCCGAAAAGATCCGGAACGGGCTGCGAAGCTTTTTTCACAATCATGGATAACTGAGTCTCGTTGAAAGCATCTTTATGCTCCTCACTTAAGTGATGCTTAAATTCTTCTTCAGAACGGTAGACTGTTGATTCGTGACCGGGCACTTGGCAGCACCACACCACGGCATGTTGCCATTGCATATGATTGATCCAGTCTTCTACCGTTGCAAAATATTCTGTTGACTTGTTACATCCATCAAAAAGGCATACGTATGGCTCTATATCCCGAAGTACGTGTCGCCTATGAATAATCAGCTGATCTTTCTCTCTTCCATATAAAGGGATTGCATACTTCCAACGAGCTTGAACCATATCTTTCTTATCAATAATACGAAAACAATAAGGACAGACTACTTCCTTGGCTTCATTCTCTGCCTTCGAGGGTGGGGCGGGAATATCTAGCTGTTCTCGACGTGCAACAGCTGAATTTGTTATCCTAGAAATTGCGACTGATTTTGGATAAGAGGCAAACTTAAGGCGGTTGACAGATGAAGCTTCAGTAGCAGAATACTGCATGGTACTAACAGAATCTCTGGCTGAGCTTGTCTGTCGTCTAAGAATCGGTGTTGCATACTGAGCTCCTGCTGGCCGAACTACTATGTCTTTGGGTATGAGTGGAAGAACCAAGTCTGACGCGAACGAACGCTCAACACCTTGCTTTAGCTTCTCTTTATGTCGCTCCCGATATTCTAGCTTTCTTCTTCGAAACACTGTAGCTTCTACCAGTCTATTCAGTAAGGTTGGTGGGGCATCAGGGAGTCGGAATTCTATTTGCCAGCGGACAGAGGTTTGGAACTCGCAGAGTTCTGCAGAAGCTTCATCTTTTGCTATGAAGTTTGCTACTTTCACGTTTTCGTTAGCTGAGCTAGGCTTTTTTAGAATAGTAGAAAGCCTGTAAAGACGAGTAATTGTGTCTTTGATCGTATTTAGAGCTGTCGCTCCAACATCAGCACTATGAAGACTGGGCAAATCATCCTTTTCGGACCCCGCATCTGTTTCATTGTCCAAACTAATGGCCATAGAGTCTTCCGATGATGAATCTGAGCTATCATCCTTTTCACTTTCCTCTTCCGCTTCCTCTAGTATTACCGGTGGATCCATAGCTTGTTTCGTGCTTTGTCTTAGGCGATCCAACATTTGAGTCAGAATTTCTTTAACATCAGCATCATCACGAAGTCGGTAATCTACCGATGCTCGACCTGGAGCAAAAACACCTAAGTTGCCTGCCCAAATCTTGAATCTTCCAAGTTCGTTTTCCAACTCTGATCGTAAATGGGGTTCGAGCTGTTTAGCCCGCCCACGTGCGAATACCGTAGCCACATTTCTAGCAATTTCGGCGATAGAATCTCCAGGGGCTTGTCGCGGTTCTGCATTTAGCGACATTACCAATGTATCTCCTGGTAGTAAACCATATACCCTATTTTTTTTGCAATCGCCATCCTTTAAACAAATTGTTGGAAAAAAGCAGGATGTTGGCGCTGCGGAAAAAAGTGGGTTCGTAACATGTCTGTAGTGCAACATCGGGATAAACTCCCAAGCCGTAAGGTTAGATATGCCTGTTCACGTTCACCAATCATTTGGCCCTTGGTCTTGTCTTCCGGGATCTTCGCCACAAAAGGAAATCTTCCAAGGCCGCTTACTCAATATCATGATTTTTGATTGTAGACGCAGAAGTTTGCCTCATAATCATCAGAATGTGTTCTGGAACAAATATATTTTTCCTATTCCCTTGAACGACGTAGATAACTATGAGTGGCATTGAAGTAACTGGGCTAGTCCTAGCCGTGCTTCCGCTATTCATTGAGGGTGCAAAAGCATACTCACATGGTGTCGAGACCATTCGAAAGACAGTCTCTCGTCGAGAACGCGATGAAAAGCTCATGAATTTCTATGACGAATTTTATTGGGAAATCGTGCAGTTAGATCGTCAAACTTTAGAGGTCATCAAATCACTGCCCCATTTATCTGATAAACGGAAAGCTGAGCTGACGATGGAAATTCATTTGGAGGCCTGGAAAACTGACGCAGATATTGCTCAAGCACTCTTTGATTATCTTGGATCCCAGGAGGATTTGGATGCTTTTTTACACGTGATGGGCAAGATTGCTCAGTTACTTTCTCAGTTGATAAAAGATTCTACTATCCATGTATTGTCGGGCGATATTGTAAGTATAGATATCAATATGTAGAACATTCACAGCTGATGGAGTGTAGGGGCAATCCAAGATGTTCAACAAATTGACGGAATTTGCTGCTGATAGAGAATCGGGTAAGACAGCTAGTACTTTCAAGGAAAGAATACGTTTTTGGAAGAAAGAAAAAGACCGGGAAATATGCCTGAAGAACTTGTCGACGTGGAATAAGAGACTTTTCCGTTTGACAGAGCAAGCACAAAAGGAGCCTGCTACCAAAAAATCATCTCCTGGAGCAAAAGATTTTCCGTCATCTAATCTGCGGACTCTTTCGCAAAAGCTTTACAAGGCGCTTGCAAAATGTTGGGGTTGCAACTGTCCAGCTCAACACGAAGCACAGTTTTGTCTAAAAGCTCGAGGAAATTCGGTGAAAACAACGATAACAGAGATCGATTTTGATTTCTTATTTTCCGTTCAGGAAGACATGCAATTGGGAAGATGGCAAGAAGGGACTGTGGTTGTGAGATCCAACGGGTTAGTTTATAGTACCTAAAAAAGATTGAGATAGATCATCACTAACATATGCTTACTCTACTGTAGCGGATCTGTTAATGATGACCGCTCACTCCTACAGAAAATATGTGATACCGTCGGATGTAGAGGACCCGTTGATCAATGCCTCCAACTGTTAGTAGAAGATACCGGGAGCGATGAAATGCTCTGGCAGCTGCGCTCAACTCCCAAGAGACTACCCAAATCAGCAGTCTCGCAAACCGAGTCTTTGCAAGCAGTGCTAGAAAAATCGACAAAATTATCCCTCATCATAAAACGGAGATTAGCAGTCATTTTTGCGCATTCACTGTTGCAACTGCACGAAAGTTTCTGGAAGAACCAGGAGTGGAGTAAAAATCACATATTCTTCTTTTATGGCACCGCCGGAGCCTTAGATTTCGAACGACCTTATCTATCAACAATCTTCGATCCTGCCATAGACGAGAAGCACACACCTGTGGACCTAAATCGCTTTCATCGCAATCCGAGTATCTTAGCCCTAGGAATTCTCCTCATAGAGATACACACCGGAAGACTGATCGAAAGTTTTCGCACCGAGACTGAGCGACAACAAGTGAACACGAATACGGACTTGGCTGTCGCGAGCCGCGTGGTGATAAGTCTTGAGGATTGTTCCCTTGGATATCGTGATGTGATTCAGTCGTGTTTGGATACGCCATGGGCACCAGCAGGTCAAAGGGTAAACTTGGAAGATGTAGCGACGAGAGCTGGAGTATATCAGGATGTGATCAAACCGTTGGAAGAAGAACTTTCGTATTTGTTCCGTGAAAGAATATAAGTTCTATTTATCAGTGCAATAAGATTTGTGACGATGAAGTCAGTAAGCGGTCTATGGTTGTACATCACAACAGGCTTACGCTCACTATTCAACTTTCTCCTCTTCATATAACTAGGATAAGGGTCGATCTCAAGATATATAAGATGTAAAATTTAAACTCAAAAACGAAACTTGACAGCTGAAACTGGGTCGAGGTAGATTATTATGAGTGCGGTAGCTTTAGTATTGAAGTAACAGCCCTAGCGGCAAGCAAAAATCACTTTCCGTCAGGAATTGAGTACTCCAAAACCTCCAGTACACAGTCTTAGTTTACTACTCCCCTTGCATCCAATAGGGAGTCTTGAATTGTCTCCGTCATACGTTCAGTCAACGCCTTCTCCTCAAACCTTAGGAGCTCGAGCATAGTGTTCCCTAAGCGCATCCCTTCACCACTTTTCTGGGTCTTCAAAGTGTTACGAACAACTTCTATCGTACTGCTTAACAGAGAATGAGTGGCCTGCGCCGTCTCGTAAATCAGTGAGCGTTCGCTCCGGCTTGTCATAGTCCTTGGCACTACGAACTCCCCAACCTTTGTCAAGGGAAGGGTAAACTTAGGATCAGGACTCCCTGGGCTGGCTGAAGTATCAGAGAAGAATTTGTCGAACATCTTTAACAAGTTGAGGTAGCAAGCTAGGATGAGTAGGACCGCTGCGTCATCTAGAACAGCTAAAGGTTCGGTCGAGATCAAATTGTCTCTTTCCTGTATAGAGATCAAAGACGTAATATCTTGTATTATACGAACCAGACGGTAAGAAATCTTGAGTACCTCATCGATTGGAAATATTAACAATTGTTGAGATTTGAGAAATAGATGACCCGAATTTCTGTCAATTGGAGTGTTGTTGATGCTCCTATTTTGCCGAGTAAATTGGTCAGTGCTCATTTCGGCGAGTCGATGTCGCTGCTTTTCGATGGCTATGTTCACCCTTGAAATCTCTTGCAACAATTCTGAGAGAGAATAGCTCTGAACTAAATTTTCATCCGAGGGAATGAGATTTGGGTCAAGTGGGACGTATGAACTTTCTCCCATGTCTTTCGAACCGATATCGAAGCCTCTCTCTTTGACATCTTTCTGCGTTGGCATCAGCCAGTTGTCACTACCACGTACAGATGAGCTCTGTAGATCGTTTCCAGCAATGATAGAATGGTCCTCGGAAGTCTCGTTTATATTCATTCGTATTCCATTCCACGGGTCAGTTTCGAAAGATTCCACGCTGTAGACACCACAATCGGAGGATCCGAAATCCCAGTCATTGCTTCGAGTTTCTAAACCGCCATCGAATTTTTGAGCTGTTACTTTCTGCTGCTCTTCTGGGGAGGCAACTGAAGTGCTCGTTAGCAGGTATGCTTGTAAGATAGGAGGAGTTTAGAGCCTCACTTTCCAAAGCGATATCTTCAGGCGATAATGTGGACGTCAGCCGACTATCCTTTCCTGTTGCCATCGGAGATTCATCTTGTCTTGAAACGTTCTTACGTCTTCTTCGGTATCCAGCGGAGCTCCGTGGGCTGAAATTACAACTGATCTCCCCTTGTAGGCATTTACGACAAACATTCAATCCTTCAACCCTTTCACATTTCAACTTCTTCACGTGACAGTTGTCACAAGCCTCACGTATCGTTTCACGTCGATTGGTCATTTTTGGGGAGTCAGTAGTATGGGAATGATAACTGTTGGTTGAATAAATGCAAAACGCAACCTTTACGGCCTCAGCATTTGTATACTTTAGTAATTCTTCAACTCCTATATCAGCATATCCTAAGGCAAAAGAATATGTTGGATTGTCGCGCCGCACTCATACTTCGATATGAGTACAAGGTGCCTTACATCAGAAATTAGCTAAATTTCGGTATGCTGGCTGCAGGTATTGTGTGGATTCGATTTGTGATGTGACTGAAGATGCGAAGCGGAATACTGAATATCGCATCCTCTATGCTTGAGCGTGGCGCACCTCGTTGCTAAATCAACCAACCAATTGTTTTGATCGCCGGCATACACGAAGGTAGGAAAGATAAGCTGAGGTAAGGAATTTTTCTTTTCTAACGGCTGAGGAATTTGGCAGTTAAAGAACCCGACAAAATGGTACGGATTTCTGATCTCGCTTCCCATTGGGCCTATCTTCTTGCACCATGTATGACAACATGAACTTTCGGCCTAATTAGCCTAGGCTTGCCTGAGCACACCTCGGTATTTTGGTCAACAATAGACCAATCACACCTACACGACTTCTGTTACTGTTTTAAAAGAAAGCGACTTTGGATTTATCTGCATACATCGTTAACGTTGTGTAATGTTGGTGATGGGGTTAGTGCAGATTCTTCAGCACGTTTGGGGATACCACCACTCAAAAAGGGTCTTCATTTAAACGAAGACTGTACCATACACAGGGCAATCATTATTTTGATTCAATTGGTAATATAATTAACCGCCCCCCATTCGTTTCCCATCAAATCGAGCACTAGTAATTGTTTTGAACGCAATGTTCTTAATCCCAACAACTTAAGATGGGTGTGTTTTTACGGAGGGGTGCGATGCAATGCATGCAGTAAGCCTAGCTTTTCCCAGAACTGCGTTGAATGCTACTGAGAATGTTGAAAACAATTTATACAGCATTCACTCACCATAAGCAGATGTAACAGTGTTTAACGAGATTCAATGCTTCGCAATCATCTACCAGTAATGATCGGCGAAATTGTCACTCGCCTATAATGACTGCTTATATGCTTGATTAAGTATACCAGTTGAGATATTTAAGGTTAAAACAGCAAGTCTCGTGAAGAATTATGTATGGACGAGGCACCTTGATGTAACCCAAAATGAAGAGATTGTGAGAAGATGAGCGGCACTACGCCCTCAGGAACTGTGCCACCGTCAAATATACTTGTATGATGCACCTCATTTGCCAGATCGTCTGATTGGAATGAGATACTGACGTGGCATAGTGCAGATGCAACATGCGATTGTGCGAAGTCCGAGACCCCTGGACTGTCACTTTCACTGTGCTGCAAAACATACTCCTCGTTTATGATTCTATCTCTATTCAGGGCGCCAGTCATTGCAAGGCCTGAGTAAGATTAGGTAAAATGTTGTAGGCAGTTATGTTTCGTAAAGCGTTTGAGAGGTGCATGTGGTATAGATTCAGAAAGCCAGCTTACTATATGTTCCGCAGAATTCTCCCGGTCTTCAGTTTGCCCACTTAATTCGCTTACCCGCGTCTTAGAATGCCGTTTTTATCCAGAAGTACCCCTTAGCGCCTTACTTCGCGATTGCCATGAGGGGAATCTATCCTTATCTAAAGTTTACAGGAGGAAACCAGTCACTCAGGCGGCTCCGGGATGGCTATTAATAAGATCTGGGCTTAAATTTGCCGAATTCCGTCGCCAGAGTTAGCTATGACTCGTCTAATGTCAAATTCGATACGAATTTGATCATTTGAGATGATCATTAGAAATCTCTTTCACAAGAAAAATTTCGGCTGAAAGCCGAGTAGTCTTTTGATGATCCCTTTTTTTTAAACGCCTGAAAGGATATGTGAAAACTTCGAAAACACTTTAATATAGTAATTTCGAGGAGATCACGTCAGCTCGCCCGGCCCTAATTGCGTATCCAATTGAGTAGAGCAGAATCGCGACATGCCGGCAGCATTAGGGCCCGTCAAGCCCCCCCTGATAATTCATGTACCTCGGGGTCCTTGTCTTTACAGGCCAAAAGATGACAGCAGGACTGTCATTTTCCAGGCCCACTCCGCGACCGTAAGACGGAGACATAGGGTATAGATGGCTCATACATACCAGTTGAGAACATTACTTGAGCATCACCCAAACTGCTATTTTTAAAACAATTTTTCGAGTGAGATTCATGTTCCTGTACTCCGAGCCTTCAGCTGAAAAATATGAGGATTAGAAATCCATCTACACTGCTCTACTCTCTACTCTTGATACTATATGACTAACGCGATCAACATAACTGATATGACTAGTATAACTTCTATGCGATTCTCTATCCGAAAGAGGGTGAGAGATCCGATAAGTATTCAACATGTAGAGCGTAGAGTGAGGGCACATCTAAATATCTCTAACCTGTATAGAAGCCTAATTCAATTCTGAATCAATCCGTCTTTAACCCCTTCTCAATCCTTATCCAATCATCAACATGGGTGTTTAGCTGACAGTCAGACCAACCATTCGTTGGGCGTGAGTTTATATATACACTTCTCCCTCCCCACCCATAAGCTTTTTGTTTGGTGCAAAACATAACAATCATGTCCAACGCCACTCAAAGCCAGATAGACTCTGCTGCATCAGCACTGGCATATCAAACTGCTCATTACAATGAAGACAGAGGGGGTATGATCGTTGGAATATGTGTTCTGAATCTCATAGTCATCTTCACAACTGTAGTTGTTCGCTTGTATGCTCAGAACACTATTGGCAAGATCCGGAGTCTGGATTCATGGTTGATTTGCATTGCTGCTGTAAGAGTCCCCCCGACATAACAATACCTCTTTCTGACTTTGTACGAAGATCATCGCAATTGGCGTGAATGTATGTGAGCTTGTCGCAGTGCATAATGGGCTCGGAAAACACTTTGTCAGCACCCCATCATGACCGTCGATCATGGTATAGATCGCTAACCAACAATCCATGAGCAGCTCAGAGTAATGACTGAAGACCCTCATCCACCCGATAACTATGTCACAGTCTTCAAAGTAAGTCGTCCCTAAGATAATTGATTGCAGAAAGCGTTGGTTATAGACTAACACGCCTCTAGATGGGATATGCAATGTACCTCCAACAAACCCTCGCCTTGATGACAACAAAGCTTTCAATTTTAGCCTTCTATCACCGCATCTTCACCATCAGACATATAACTTTCAAGTGGTCAATCTATGCTACATCAGTGGTGTCACTATGCGCGGGCATAGCGACATTCATTGTCTTTGTATTCCAGTGCGTTCCTGTTGAACTATTTTGGAACCGTATCTACGAGTCACTTCCACCACCATACCCAGTATCTCTTGAGGGCCACTGTATGTCTGCTACAATTCATGTCGTGGTTCCCCTCTTCTTTGACTTGGGGACAGAAGTCGTCATTTTGATCTTACCAGTCATTGGCGTCTGGAAATTAAAACTTCCAATGAACAAGAAGCTCGGTCTCCTTACCGCTTTTTCCTTGGGAATTTTCGTCACAGTAATAAGTATAGTGCGCCTTATTTACACATTCCCACTCGCTCAAGGCCCCGACATGTCTTGGGACGACGTTGATGTTTTTCTTTGGACCGCGATACAATGTTCTTTCAGTATCGCAAGTGCATGCGTACCTACTATGGCGCCACTCTATCGAGTTCTCAGCGCGAAATCAAAGTCAAATTCGTACGGCAACCTCGATTCGAGTAACGCTCGACGACGAACTGCACAAAAAAGTGCTCCATTGGAATCTCACGGCGATACCTGGATTGATGGCTTCGATAGAGACGATGGCAATGCGAGTAAGGATCAGTTTGTTAATGCCCATGAAGCTATGTGCTCATCTGATGTGGTTCCGAAGTCCTGCGGTCGGAGCTCCGAATTATCTGTTGCGGGACCTCAATTCGAGATGAAGAAGATAAGTGTTCGTAAGGACATAACTATTCAAAGATCTAGTCTGGTATGATTGTAAGAAGCGGATGTCATTGGAATAGGGTGGTGCCGACTTTAGTTTCGTGTTGTTATACATTTACTACTTAATAAAACGATGCTACTATCTTGAAAAACCACATGAACTGACATGATTGCATCAGACTAATAATGCTCCCAAAAAGTGAGGCCATTCAAGTGAATTTTTCAGAATAATCATAATGATAAGAACCTAATATAGCATAATTCCATGTATTGATACCTCCAGCTCCACTCGACTAGCGGATATGATATTTGACGTCTAATACGTGCTAGCTCAGATCATATTTTTTTTAAAGTGTTACTATTCTGGTTCTAATAAATATTCAATAGAAACTGTCGAGTAGCCGTTTATAAGTATTTGAAGGAAAGTACCTAGGTATAGCGAGAAAAGAGCGTAATGTCTGTCCGCGTGTGTTTGACTAGTGTTTTTGAAACAACATTCAAAATCTTCTAGTACTCGATCATAATATCCCATAATAGTGAGTTTACAATCAGATAGAACCCTCAAGATTGTAATGAGATACGCTGTGCTCTGAGATTATTTGATACTTGTTCTAGCCTCATTACAATCTGATTAGTTATTGTGTAATTATTACCCTATTAGCGATCTGATACATGAGCGCTAGGATCCTTAGAAATATACAATGCAACATTTTCATGGGTAGAATGCGTATTTATTCGACGTTCGCCGTGAAAATCACCGAGTAGATTTGTCCTTCGCTTAACCACCGGCGATTTGCAAGGTTTAATTAGTAGGTAAGTCTTACGTGCCGCACCGCCGCATCGCCGCACCATATTTGACTACCCTGGTCTTCGTAATACCTCTCTGCAACTCCCCCCAGAAGCAAATCAAAGAATGAACGCAAAATAAACATTCGTGAGAAAAGTTGATACATCTTCTGTTTCCGTTGTTTTGCGAGCCATTTGAAGACCAAGACAGCCATGGCAGATCCCGGAATCAAAACTGCCACAACTTCAACCATAGATGCAGATACAGGACCATATCCAACGATGACATCCCCCAGCGAAAAGAAGGCATCTTCAGACATAGTCGAATTGCCTAGTGTTGATGAAGCCATCGTAACTGGAGGAAAAGTCTTTACACCTGATTGGCGTTTTTGGGTCATACTCACCTCCCTTGGAATCACTTCTCTCCTCACTGCTATTGAAGCGTCCGTAACATCTACTGCGCTACCGTCCGTCGCGAAAGCCTTGGATGCCAAGGAGCTATATGTCTGGTTTGCTAGTGCTTTTTTCCTCACTAGGTAAGTAAAATCCACTTTGCGTTGAGTAATTATGTACTAATCTAGTGATACAAAGTACTATCTCACAACCTCTCTTTGGTCAGTTTGCCAATGTATTTGGTAGAAGGTGGCCGATAATTGTCGCCGTCGCTCTATTTGCTTTAGGAAGCGGTATTTGTGGGGGTGCGACTTCCTCCGCAATGCTGATTGCCGGTAGAGGAATACAAGGAATTGGAGTTGGTGGTGTCAATGTTATGATCGACTGCATTGTCTGCGACTTGGTACCGTTGAGAGAGCGACCCAACTACATGGCTTTTATCTTTTTGATATTCGCTGTTGGAAGTTCCCTTGGCCCCTTCGTGGGCGGAGTGCTTGTCGATCGGGTCACTTGGCGCTGGATATTTTACATCAGTCTCCCAGTTGCAGGTACTTCGCTCTTCTTGATGCTCATATTCCTCCAGGTTGAGTATCGAAAGCAGACTACTTTCGAACAGAAGATGAAGAGAATAGACTGGGTCGGTAATTTTCTCCTGAGTGGGGGCGTTATATCGATCCTGTATGCATTAACATATGCTGGTGCGCTTTCGCCTTGGTCCTCGTGGAGAGTCATATTTCCTCTTGTTCTCGGCATTGTCGTATACATCCTTTTCCATTTATACGAAGCCTCGAGTTACTGCGTCGAACCTACCATCCCACCTCGAATGTTCGGAAATCGCACGTCTGCGATTGCCTTCATCGCCACATTCATCCATGGAATGCTTACTTACTGGACACTTTACTTCTTACCGGTTTATTTTCAAGGAGTCCTTCAAAGTACCCCAACACGATCTGGAGTTCAGTTGTTACCAACTGTCATCGTTCTGGTTCCGTTCGCAATATTTGCAGCTCTCTGGACAACAAAAACAGGGCGATATAAACCACCTCAGTTGGTGGGATGGGGGTTCATGGTTGCAGGGCTAGGGGCACTGTCGAATTTGGACCAAAACTCAAGCATGGCAAAATGGGCAATTTTTCAGATTTTGATAGCCATGGGATCCGGAATGATCAACACCCCACTGCTACCTGCTATCCAAGCTGATCTTCCAGAAAGTGATGTGGCCGCTTCCGCTGCTACTTGGTCATTCATGAGAGCTTTTGGATCAATCTGGGGAGTCTCTATTCCAGGAGCTATTCTTGACAACCAATTCAATAGTATTGTTGCAGGTCTGAGCGACAAGACTATTGCGGATAGGTTGGTTGGAGGTTCGGCTTATCAGCAAGCGTCAAAAGATTTCATCAATTCCTTTTCCCCGAATGTCAGAATTGAGCTTATTGACGCATATTCTCGCTCTCTGAAGATAGTTTGGTACGCAGCTCTTGGTTTTGGGATTTTAGGCTTTATTACAACATGGGGGGAGAAAGAGATTGCCTTGAGAGAAACTCTGGAGACTGATTACGGAATGAAAGAGCGAAAAGCGAAGAATCTCAATGTTGCTGATAGCCCATAGAGTGGAGTTAGTCTGCTGACTTACCAAGTCATTGGAGACAATATTAGATTGTTTGGTTTGGTAGAGGGAGCTCAAGACTGGTCTAGATTGAAATTCTTTGTTATATTAATCTTCTGCGCCATGATATTCAACAGCCTATGTAAGGAATAATAAGTTTTGGATGGTTATAACTACAAAAATTAGACCCACTCATTCCGCAGTATGAAATTTTGCTATTTGACTACGTTGACTGGTAGACGTATAGAATAGGATTCAAGAAACCTAACCCGTCGCCAAAACAAGGATATTTAGACAAAATTCAATCACCAATACAATACTTTCGAGAATCAACAGATAAGACAATAGAAAGAACGGTCATAGTTCTCGGCGAAATGGGTCGGAGATATATTAGCTTATCCAATCATGGATAGTATAAATCTGATGTTAAATAGTACCTGCTGGATGCAACGTAAGGATGTGCGTTCAACAGTCGATCTTCGAGTCTTTGCTTGATCTTTGCTTGATCTTTGCTTGATCTTTACGAAATTTTACTTTATGATCATTAACCGATAAAATGCACAAGTTCTTCGCATCGGAATGGTTCAATTTCGAATTCCTGCGGCTTCTAAGTATGGCTCCAACGGGGGGCTGTGAAGCCGCCGAAGCTCTCACAGCAGTGAGTCGCATAAAAGATGGAAACGTAGAATCATGGGCTTCTGCTTGGTCCGAATGTTCCCGTAAAGCAGAGATGATTGCAGAAGAAGCGCTACGTTTAGGCGACAAGCCAGCGGCTAGAGCTGCATACCTTAGAGCTTCAAACTACGCCCGTGCAAGTCAGTATATGTGGAGCGATCGGGGTAACGCACCAAGTCCACGACTTCTCCCTGTTGCGGAGAGATACGAAAGTCTTTTCAGAAAGGGGGCGATGTTGTTTGATGATACAGAGGCTCGGTTCCTGAAGATACCGTTCGAGAAGACGAGCGAACTACCGGCAATATTATATCTACCTCACTCTGCGCACATTCATTCGAACAGAAGAACTCCGATTATTGTGAACGTCAATGGGGGAGACTCTGTCCAAGAAGAGTTGTTTTTTCTTGCCCCAAGCGTAGGACCACGACTTGGATACGCAATTCTTACCTTTGATGGACCGGGGCAAGGGATGAGTTTGAGACGTGATAAGCTGTTCATGAGATACGACTATGAGGAGGTCATTAAGTATGTTCTTGACTTTCTTTTCGAATATTCGAATGAACATCCTGAACTACAGCTGGACTTGGACCGAATCGGAATTCTCGGTGCATCACTTGGAGGCTACAATGCTTTGAGAGCCGCAATCGATCCCAGAATTCATTCTTGTGTGAGTATTGATCCGCCATATGACATGTGGGAAATTGTAGCTTCTAAGATGCCGCTTTGGTTTTTGAGTGGATGGCTATCTGGCTGGATATCCAACAATTTCATCGATCGTGTAGTAATGTTACTCGCGAAGGCTAATAGTCAATTCAGTTTTGAAATTGGCCATATGATGTGGGCATTCGGTCAAGATACTCCTTCTGCAGCACTTCTTTCTTTAAGAAAATTTACGCTGTGCTCAGAAGAAGGCGAGCTGTATCTTCATGGCATCCAATGCCCTGTCCTTGTTTCGGGAGCTGGAGGATCTCTTTATTTTAGACCAGAGACGAGTACAGTCCGGATTTTGAACGAATTAACAAACGTGGATGATACGGAGAAAGAGAAATGGATCCCAGTAGAGCCTTGCGATGGAGGGTTACAGGCAAAAATTGGAGCCTTTGGGCTTTCCAATATGAAGACTTTCGCATTTTTTGATAAGCATTTTAAGGTGGAAAGAGAACAATTGGCTGTATGATCTGGGATACCAAAAGGAGGGAGAGGTAGGAGCTACAAATATTCTATCCAAAGATTTTGATTGTATGGAAACTTCATTCTGCCCTCCAGAGTCTGGATAATAAACACAAATGTTAATGTACTAAAGATGATCTGCCCCGAATATTCTCATGCAAAGTTTCAAACAAGTTTTGATCTTACAAACACCTTCTCAAGCACTCTGTCTCACCCCCTTTCAGATAACTTATTCCAGTATGTGATAATTTTCCCCGACTTTATTGCCCCTGAGCTATTCTCTCACTACACTTCACAGAAAGCAAGCCATTAGAAAACATTCCCCTTACACTTAGAATTCGGGCCTATTGAAAACATCCCAATGTTGTTCATGGTGCACAGCAAAGTCGGCGTTCTACTTCAACATGCCACTTTCCGTTCGGCATTCTGCACCAACGCGGCGCTTTTTGTTCGGCGGTTTGCTCAACGCGGCGCTTCCGGCGATTTTACAATACAGATCCTGTGCCGCAATTATCAAGACTTCAATTTGCCGAGTGAATCACCTTAAAACAGATGGTATAAGGCTAGGTAGGTTGATGGAATCTTTCACGTTCAACAACCGCCATCTAGTTTGTATCGATAATCGACCATTACTCACGCCATGGCACCTCAACTCGAAAAGGTCTTGAAACTTACCTCATTCCGTTACAAGCGACCTGAGTATTCAGACAAGGAATTCCACGATTTCTGTACAGATCATGGATTGAAAGCTGCCAAAATCCAGCAAAGACACGGGGCTTTGAAGATTGCTCAGGTTACTTCCCTCGATATTCAAAAATATTGCAACCATTCTAACTATACTTGAAAAAAGTACCATACACCACCAGCGTGCAAGAAACTCCTCACAGACATGATTCCTTTCGCACTTCAACCAGGTTGGGCCTTGGAGGAACACGATCTCATGGTCCAGGTGTGGGTACGCACGACAAATGATATGGCAGCTATCTTCACGGATCCAGAATTCCAAATGTTGGTTGGAGGAAGTACCCCAGAGGTACAAGACAAGGCACATATTACAGCAGGTTGGGAGGAAGTTTTCGTGGAAGACAACAAAATTGTAGAGTGTCCATTTCCTCCATATGAGGAGCGTTCTGCCGTGGGCGCTGGTAGCACACTTTTTGGATTGGATCAGATCGCACAGGGGACCAAGATTTGAACATTCACTATGTAGAAACCATTAATCTTCCGTACATCACGAGGGTGCGAATAGTTCTAAATTCGATATTCAAGAACGGTCAATACCAATACAACTCTTACTACCTATGTAGTCAGTGTTTTCCTATACATCGTGCCTCTAGATACCCAAGAAAAAGATGGTCGAATCTAATCGTGATATTTGAGACGAGAAGAGAGTTCGGCCTAAATCTCCATGTCTGCGATCCAACTAGATTTCTTGGATTGCACTATGATATGTTCTAATTACTCGTTGTGTTTCGAGTGACGTGATACATCCGACATCGTTGTAAGCCATTGGTGCACCAGGAAGTAGCAAAGTTGCAATTGGTAAAGAGTTGTTCTAGATATAATCCTGACATAGCGTGTGGGGGGGTTGACTAAGCACGACTTCTCAACGTGGGGCACCCTTTCGACAGACATCAAACACCCAATAAATACACTTCTTTACAACCTGATACTTCTCCTTTGCGTAACCTATCCAAACCAGCTACAATTCCTTTCAAGCCAGTTCGATATGTTCTCATGGGATGTGGGATGAGCTTCTTGTGCTCTAGTAGTTCTTCGACCTTTTGTGTCCAAGCTGCCGCAAAGTCATGATCGTCAATGGCTGCTTCACGATAATAATCGCCTGCCAGGTGCACCGGTTCACCGAATACACTTAGTGCTAAAATCCAGTCCGGCTTCACATCTGCCCTTCTGCGGTTTAGACGTACCGGGATATATTCTAATGCCGTATAGCGACCTCCGCGACGCCCGATGGCTCCGTAACACATGGTAGTCGACTTCGAAGTTGTAATACAATCGAAAGCGATGCTCAACTCCCCCTTTGTCAACTCCCGAATATCTTCCCGACTCCGCGGTTCCGCATAATCGAACACTGCGAATGCCCCTCTTCCTTTTACGAGTTCGAAGTTCCGAGGAGAGCATACAGCAATTGGGCGGTAGCCCAGTTGACTAAGACACTGCACCGCTAGTGTGCCAGTAGCTGTTGACGCGCCGTATACCATTGCGAAAGGTTGTTCATCTGCTACTGAGTGGGTTATTCTCTGGGACAGAAAATCCAGTGACTCAAGATTGGATGGGAGTATTCCGAGTGATCGGAGTGCCAGACCAACGGTCATTGTTCCTATTCCCAGGGAAGCAGCACTAGCAAAGGGCATGGAGTTTGGAATTAGCATGCAAAGATCCCCTTCCGCTGCAAGATATTCTGCAAATGCTCCATTTGACGGGCACAAAGGGTTTGAACCGAAAACAGCGCCGCAAACCCGATCACCAACATGTAGGTCTTTGGTCATTCGATTCCCAACTTTGCATACAATTCCTGCAAAGTCAGCACCGGCGATAGCCCCAGACGTGTATGATCTGTCTAGAATTTTCCAATCAGACGGGTTCAATGCGACTGCTTTAACTTGCACTAGCACCTGATCCTCCTTAATATCCGGGACTTTGATAGATTTTGATACAACTAATTTCCCAGGGCCGCTTGCAACTAGCGCATTTTGTATTTTAGGTACTGTGAGCGATGATATCCCTTTGCGAGGTGTAATCTGTGCCATTATTAGATTGGAAAACACTTCAATTTCAGTATCCTCAAATATCGGTAGACCTTCAAGGCGTTGTAAGATACTTCGAGTAATATGTTTCCCGGCGTTGTTGCACCGCCGGCGGTTTCGGTGATCGACTCTCTGCCCTTTAAATGGTCATTTCGCCGAGGCTTCTATCCAACGGTCAGAACATATTTGATAATGGTCTATGATATGCTCCTAGTGGGGGATAAGCATAAGCTCGTTTATCTTATGCGGTATTCTCGGTTTTCAGCAGGAATCTTTTTAAAACCTTGAAGCGACCTCAGTCCCCCTTCCCTTATTCAGGCATAGCTATTTCTAAGTCCATATTGAAGTAGTGCAAGTTTAGTAGAAGATAAAAGATCCGTAAGACTTCATTACTAAGAAGATAAATTACAGCTTACTTTACCATATTTTAAATCCACTTTTTTTGTGTTTCTTTCCATCATCGCAATGGTGAACAAGCCGGTTGCCATAATCGGGAGCAGTTGTCGGTTTCCAGGAGCATCCAATACATCCAAGCTTTGGGAGTTGCTCAAGGAACCTCGCGATATACTCTCTGAGATTCCGGAGGAGCGATTTCTGGCAAAAGGATTTTATCACATGGATGGCCAACACCATGGAACCAGCAACGTCTTGCATTCATATCTGTTAGACGAGAGCCCACTTGCTTTTGATGCCGCATTTTTCCACATTCATAACCGAGAGGCGGAATGCATTGACCCACAACAACGCTTGCTTCTTGAGAATGTATACGAAACTATCGAATCTGCTTGTTACCCAATGGAAACCATTCGGGGCTCTGATACAGGCGTTTTTGTCGGGCTGATGTGTGCAGATTATTATGATGTCCAGATGCGAGATCCGGAGACGCTCCCACAATACTTTTCGACTGGTACCGCGAGGAGCATCGTATCAAACCGAGTCTCTTATTTCTTTGATTGGAAGGGTCCCAGTTTGACCATAGATACTGCTTGTAGTTCTAGTTTGGTCGCCGTCCATCAAGCTGTAAGTGCGCTACGTAATGGAGAATGTCGCTCTGCTATAGCGGCAGGTGTCAATTTGATCTTTGGGCCCGAGATGTTCAATGGGGAAGCCAATCTGAAGATGCTGTCGCCTACTGGGACATGCAAGATGTGGGATGCTTCAGCTGACGGATACGCGCGAGGAGAAGGCTGTGGGTCTGTTATGCTTAAATTATTAGAGGATGCAATTCAAGATGGAGATCGAATTGAGTCTGTTATCCGCGAGACTGGAGTCAATTCGGATGGTAGAACAATGGGAATCACCATGCCTTCAGCTTCAAGTCAAGAAAAGTTGATCAAAGAGACTTATCGCAGAGCGGGTCTCGATCCTACCAAAGAGTCAGACAGGTACGTTCTCTATTTGTGCCATCTATCTATCTACGAGGATCTAATGAACATAGGTGTCAATTCTTCGAAGCGCATGGGACGGGAACCTTGGCTGGTGACCGACAGGAAGCAGAGGCCATTAGCCGGGCGTTTGGTTTCTACCAAACATCACATATGAGGCAGGACAACCTTCCACTGAGTGTTGGATCAATAAAGACAATTGTAGGCCATCTTGAAGGATGTGCAGGTATTGCGGGTCTCCTGAAGGCATCACTGGCGCTACAGTATTCTTTAATACCCCCAAATATGCATTTTCACCAGCTAAATCCAAAGATCGAGCCATTCTATCAGAATCTGAAAGTCGTTACATCACTACAACCATGGCCCTTGATTCCAGATAATATTCCTCGCCGTGCTTCAATCAACAGCTTCGGATTTGGCGGAACAAATGCACATGCCATCCTGGAAAGTTATCCCACAGCTCTGAACACCACTGAATCACAACTCAGTCCAGGGAAAGACGAAATCATTCAAATCAATACTGCGGTGCCTCTTCTTCTTTCTGCCTCATCTGAACACTCTCTTATTGAATTGGCAAAGAAATACCTTGACCACTTGAAAGCTCACCCATTCCAGAATATCCAAGACATATGTTGGACTGCTGCAGCTCGCAGATCTTTACTTTCAGTCAGAGCAGCCTTTGTTGGAGAATCTAGAGATTCTATGATCGCACAAATAGAACAGAGACTGAACCGTCTCTCGATTGAATCATCAGCCACTCTTGGTGTGGCATCTACTGAAGATTGTCGCGATAAAACACTTGGTATATTTACCGGGCAGGGTGCGCAATGGGCAACTATGGGAAGTGAGTTGATTCGAAGCTCGCCGATCTTTAGACAATCTATGCAGGATCTTGATCGCGTCCTCCAGTCCCTTCCAGATGGTCCTAAGTGGCTTCTCTCTGACGAGGTTCTTCAGGCACCAGCGGAATCACGTCTTAATGATGCTCAGATCTCTCAGCCTGCCTGTACTGCGATTCAAATTGGACTTGTGGATGTTCTCCGTGCTATGGGTATAAAACTAGACGTTGTCATAGGCCACAGTAGTGGGGAAATTGCCGCAGTGTGTAACCACAGTCAAAACCCGCTGAATTCTGCTAATTTTTGTTCTCTAGGCCTACCAAGGTGGCTGCTTGAGCGCTCGAGACGGCATAATCATCGCGTATTATCGTGGTCTATTTGCAAGATTGGCCTGCGGCACCGATAAATGTGCAGGTTTGATGATGGCTGTTGGTCTCGGGCACGCAAAAGCCTCCAACTTCTGCTCACGAAAGCAATTTAGAGACCGTTTGTTCGTTGCCGCAAGTAATGCGCCACAGTCTGCGACGTTATCTGGTGATTGTGCAGCTGTTGAGGATGCTTTCAAGATTCTAAAGGAAGAAGGGGTATTTGCTCGCATTCTCAAGGTCGACACCGCATACCACTCACCTCATATGAATCCTTGCGCAGAGCCATATCTAGATGCCATTCGAAAACAGAACATCGAGTATACCCCTTGCAAGAGCTCTTGTGTATGGATTTCAACTGTCCATGGATTTGAAATGGATATCAGTTCAGATCCAGTTAGCGACAAATACTGGCTGGAGAATCTTTTGAATCCTGTATTGTTCACAGATGCATTGCAGATTGCATGCGCGGACTATGGCCCGTTCAAGGTAGTTTTAGAAATTGGGCCTCATGCGGCCTTGAAAGGGCCGACGTTGCAGACGTTGAAAGAATATTCAAGTGGAAAAACGACACCATATATCGGACTACTCAGCCGTGGCGAAAATGATCTATCTGCCTTTATTAGCGCAATAGGGTCGCTATGGACGGCAATGCCATCAGCAGTTCTAGGCTTCCCTGTGGGGCTAGCAACGGGCAATTTACGGCAGCCCAGACTGCTTGGGAATCTACCGAATTATTCATGGGATCATCGGCAGACATTCTGGCACGAGTCTCGCTTGTCAAGCGAGTATCGTTTGCGTCCTCCGCCACAGGAGCTCCTTGGCGCACGTATCTATACAACAGCTGAAGAATATCGTTGGAGAAACGTCGTTCGCTCAACTGAGATTGCTTGGTTAGAAGGCCACAAATTCCAGGGCTCAGTTTTGCTCCCAGCCGCCGCGTATTGCGCTATGGCAATAGAAGCCTCAAAGGTTCTCTGGGATAATGAAACACCTCGACTCATTCACATCAAAGATTTTCATATCGTTAAGGGCATTACTATGGACGAACAGTCAAATGGCGTTGAACTACTATTTTCTCTGAATACCACCGCGGACCACAAGAAGGGAGCACACAAGGACAACGCTACCAAATCTGCCAAATTCAAATGCAGTTCGTGTAATATTGATGGAGCTCGAATGATCGAGACAACATTTTACGGCACGATTGAAGTCTCCATTGCTTCTGATAATGCTAACGCTCTCCCGACAAGGCCATCTAGCTATCTTCTTCTCGACCCCGTTGATATGGAAAGATTTTACACTTCTTTACTGAATGTTGGATTGTCATATAGTGGCCCCTTCAAGGGCTTACTGTCAGGCAACAGGAGGCTTTGGAGAGCAATCACAACAGCACAGCAAACCAAAAGCTCATATGTGATTCATCCGACTTTGTTAGATCTTTGTTTTCAATCAACAATTCTAGCATTTTCCTCGCCAGGCGACGGGTAAGTGGCACGATCTTCTTCAAATGAAGAAATCAAAACTGACTATTGTAGGGAATTTGATATCCCTTATCTACCGAGGTCTATCAAAAGCCTAATGATCGACCCTTTAGCTCTGGAGGGAACAGCAATGTCCATCATAGAATCCTTCGTCACCAGCCACGATCTTCCATATGAAGATAACCCACCCTCTATTGTTGCGGACATGGACATGTATAAAGATGGTGGTATTCAGAAACAACTTCAAATAGAGGGGATGAAGTTCGTAGCCATGGCTACTGATATGGGCCAGGATCGAGAAATGTTTTTCCAAGACGTTTGGGTAGAGGATATGTCCACTGGTCTCGTCGCTTCCCATATCGTACAAAATGAAACTGCCCTCGATCTTGAATGTCTCGAACTTTGCGAACGACTATCCTATGTCTACCTCAAAGCTATTCGGCAGCAGTTCAATAATGACAACATACCCAAAGAACATATACACTTCTTCAACTCACTTGACCGCTCAATATCTCGCGTAACCAATCTCAAACAGCCTAACTTTCAATCCGAGTGGCTAAATGATACTCACGATAGCCTTTCCAGCCTGATCCAAGTGCACGCCGATTCCACAGATGTTGCTGCGATAAATGCTGTAGGCAACATGCTTCCTAAAGTTATCCGTGGAGAATTCAAGCTTGCAGACGCTCTAGGAGATGAATTTCTGGCGAAGTATTACAGTGAAGGTGTCAAAAATCCATTACTTGAAGAATGTCTTGCCACGACGGTGAAGCAGATTTCTCATCGATATCCTCGAGTACGTATTCTGGAAATCGGAGCACATTCTGCAGAAAATGCAAAAAACGTTCTTCTAGGCTTGGGTAGCTCTTTCAGGTCCTACACATACAGTAGTCTTTCAACAGGGTCCTTCCATGCCGCTCGTGGCGTATTGGCACGCTGGGCAGATAAGACAACATTCGACACTCTTGATGTTGAAAGTACTCCACATACGCAGGGCTTCAAAGACCATTCATTTGATATTATAATTGCTCCAAACGGTCTCCAAATCATTCAGAATGTTCATCAAACTTTACTAAATGTTCGCCAGTTATTAAGACCAGGTGGTTACCTTTTATCTATCGAGATCACGGACCAGACGATGAGGAATGATCTGGTCTTAGGTGGTATATCGCACTGGTGGTCTGACGTTAACGACCATCGCTATTCATCTGTTGCAACATCATTAGAGAATTGGCACGATTTACTTGACGCTACGGGGTTCTCTGGCATACAACATCATATCGATAATTTCCAGGATTCAAAACACAGATCATCTTCCTTGATTGTGTCTCAAGTTCCAAACACAACTTTAGATAAAGATCTTGACGTTTCGATTGTTGGCCCAAATCCGGTACGATTACTAATCGTCGGAGGCACCTCTAGACATACATCTGATTTCGGAACAAAGATCTTAGGGCTCTTACCTAATACCCCACAGCTTGATTTCGTGGATTCTTTCTCGGTACTAGATCTGAATGTTCTCCAAGCAGCTTCAGTAGTGCTCTGCATGACCGAACTCGATGAACCGCTCTTTCAAAATCTCTCACCTTCCGAATTTGCAGGTTTACAAACCCTCTTTCATAATTCACGGAAAATACTATGGGTTACTGAAGGACGTTGCAATGCTGAGAACGCGTTCTCCAATATGACTGTGGGGCTAGGTCGTACAATTGCCCTCGAATATCCAGAACTTTTGCTCCAGTTTTTGGACGTTGACGATTTCTCCCTGTTGAATCCTGCTATTATAGCTCAGAAATTGATGCAGCTAGATGTTTCTGACTCTTTTGATTCCTATGCTGGAGATCTCTGGAGTTTCGAGCCTGAATTACAGGTCAAGGAAGGCAGACTTCTTGTACCACGAGTCCTTCCCATCGCTGAAATGAATGACCGCTTCCGGTCAAGATTTCATCCCACCTTTAATACTCTTGGAAACCACAATTCAGAGATTTATGTTACTTCGCAAAATTCAAGTTCGCCTTCCACTGCATTCGTTTGCGTTCAGGCCATCCAATTCTCTCAATACCCTATCAGGATTGCCGAAAACTTGTTTCTGTATATCTGCTTTGGGCACATTTTGGAGGACAAATCACAAACAGTCATTGCTCTATCTTCATCCAATGAGCGCAAAATCTGGGTCGACCGTTCCCGGGTGATTCACAGTAGTCACCATGCCAATGATTCTAAATATGCTCTTGATTTAGTCATTGGCTATTTGTTCGGTTGCTTTCTTGCGGAACTGCATCCTGCAGAACATGTGGTTATTCATGGGGACAACAACGTACTTTGCGAGGCAGTGGGCTTGAGACTTTCGAATTTAGGTTGGCGTGTTCATCGAATCATGACTCAAAAGGTCGCTTCCACTTTACCGATACTATTCGTACATGATAAAACACCTGCTCGTGTTTTACGATCTCAGATTCCAACCACTGCATCACTAGTTGTCGATATCTCTGAATCACAAGATCATATCACCCAGGTACTTGCAGAGCTCAACACAATCAAAAATAGTTATGGCTGGTCAACGTTCTTTCACACAGCAGCAACTTCATTTCAATTGGCCACAAGCGCTTCAGATATTGGAAAATCACTTCAAATAATAAGACAATGGATTAAAGAAACGCAATTCATCTCTAGTTCATTGTCCATCGACAATTTGGCATCTGAATCACCAACAAGTACTCAATTCAGAGTGAAGCCTTTGGACCCGAGCTGTCTCATCCGATCAGACAGAACGTATATATTGGCTGGTATGACGGGCAGTCTTGGTCAAAGTCTTTGCCGGTGGATGGCCAGTAATGGTGCATGCTATCTAGTTCTTTGGAGTCGAAGCCCTCCTATTGACCAGCCTTGGCACCATGAATTACAAGAAAGAGGAGTACGGATTCTTCTTGAATCTGTGGATATCACTGATAGTACCGCCGTTTCAAATAGTGTTCAGTCTTTACGTGAGCAATGGCCCAGAATCGCCGGTGTAGTCAATGGAGCCATGGTAATTTCCGACTCCATGTTTGTTGACATGAGTTTTGAAAGTTTCAACCGCGCCGTCAAACCTAAAGTCGATGGTAGTGCGATTTTAGACTCTATTTTCCGCGACGAAAGCCTTGATTTCTTTATTATGCTTTCGTCTCTTTCCTCTGTCGTTGGTAACATCGGTCAAGCGAATTATTCGGCAGCTAATATGGTACCAAATCCACCCCCTCTCTCTATCTGTCCAAATTTTTATTGTTTACTAATGAAATCAATTATCTAGTTCATGGCATCACTAGCGAAACAGCGAAGATTGAGGGGCTTGGCGGCATGCTGTTTAGATGTCGGCATGATACTTGGTGTAGGATATGTCTCCAGGAGCGCCAGATCTACAGAAGTTTCCCTTCGTAGGCAAGGATTCACAGCAATATCGGAAGCCCAGTTCCACCAGATCTTTGCGGAGGCTATTCTCAATAGCGCTCCCAGCTCCCGTTATTCTTCGGAAATTATAACAGGACTTCAGGATCGGCAATGTGAAGATATAATCCCATATGCCAGCAATCCCCGCTTTTCACACCATTTCAACGGTGCTACAAAGAATGAAGCAGTGTTGCAAGCTCAACACATACCGCTGAAGGAGCGTTTATCCTTGATCAGCAATGTCAGAGAACAAGAACAGATGGTGCAGACATCATTCCTCGACCACTTACAAAATATATTGCAATTACCCTCCGGTACCATTAATCCTGACAAGTCACTAGTAGAGTTGGGCATCGATTCTCTGATGGCTGTCGAGATAAGATCCTGGTGGCTAAAAGAACTAGACCACAATTTTCCAGTTTTGAAGCTTCTTGGGGGCATATCTCCATCATCTCGTAAGTAATTGTACTTTTTGTCTGACCAATCTCTCATCTAGTCCAGATTAACTAATATAATTCAATATGCAGTCTGTGGTCAATATGTAGCCGGAATGTCCCTGCTTTCGTCCCAGTCAACATCAGATGAAGAATATTTGACTATCCCTGGAACTACAACTGCTTCTGATGAGACTTCTTTTAGCACTACGGAAGAACAGGCTTCGACATTTGCCACCAGTGATGAAGAATTGTCAGCGACGATGTATTCTAGCCAAAGTCCCCTTCGAATGACCAATTTCACGGTAGACATACCCACTCATGATATGCAATTTACCATGCCGACGTCAGATGCACAGTCTGGCCTTCTTTTTATCATGGGCTGTACCGATGATCCAACAATCTACAACTGCACGTTGCGCTACAGTATCGTGGGAGATATTGATCACAATCGTCTCAAACTTTCATTTGTCAGAACTATAGAGCAGCATCAATCCTTACGAACGGCATTCCGCAAAGATAAGGTATCTGGAGACATCATTCAAGTTATTTCCACCACACCCCGTCTAGATTGGACCTATAGAGCTGCAGTTAGTGAGGAAGAAGCTCTCCGAGAATTCTCTGACATGAAAGAGCGGAATTATGACATTGAGAGTGGGCGAACCATAGCTGCAACGCTTCTTTCCTTTGGACACGATTCACATCAACTGATTTTAGGATATCATCATCTTATCATGGACTTTGTAAGCTTGCGAGTATTTTTCGAGCAGGCCAGAAACCACTACAACAATGTAATTCCGGCCACTGCGTTCACTCAATATTCAGAGTTCGTCATGCATCAGGCAAAGTTCTTGTCTACATCAACAGCTATCGGCGATAAAAATTACTATCTCCAAGAGTTCGCTGATCCTCCAAGTCCAGTTCCACTACTGCCCATGGCTCGCTCTCAATTTCGGCGCAATTTATCACAGTACAAAATCTGTACAAGTGAAATCATGTTAACACATAGACTGAAATTACAAATCAAGGAAGCAGGCTCTAGCTCAAAATGCACACCATTTCATTTCTATCTTGCTTCACTGCAGGTACTACTCGCACGCACAACCGGAGTGCAGGACTTTTGCATAGGCATTGGAGACGCAAATCGGGCTAATCCCAAGTTCGCTGATACCATTGGTCTCGTCATGGAGTTGGTACCCTTGCGCTTTCGATATGGGTCCCTTGACACATTTTCCAAAGTTATGAGCGATACCCGCCAAAAGGTCCTGGCAGCACTGAGTCACGCATCTACCCCCTACCACGTAGCATTGAGTGGTTCACAGAGATCAACCAATCCTACTCTTAGCCCGCTCTTTCAGGTCGTCCTAAATTATGTCGCTGGTGGGGCATCAAAAATGAAAATGGGAGAATCTAGATTTCAATACATTGAATCTGAAGAGGCAAAACATCTCCAGGATCTAGTTTTCACGATCCGCGAGATCGATGGTGTTACCCACGTATCCCTTGCTGCTCACGAATACTTATACAGTGAAGATGATACAAAAGGGATAATCGAACTTTTTGTTGATCTCTTAGAGACTCTATCTTCCTCTCCAAGCAAGGAAGTTTCACAATACCCACTAACCACTACCGGTGATGTTCGGGCTTTGGCGCTAGGGCGTGGAAGTCCGATAACAACACACTGGCCATCTACTCTGTCACAGAAAGTCGCCGAGATAATATCAGAGAACCCTAATCGTGTTTCGTTGAAAGACCAGCTGGGGTCTCGAATGACTTACGCTGAATTGGACAACAGAATCAACGCCATTGCAAGTGTTCTAATCACTGCAGGTGCCACTGAAGGAACTTTGATTGGAGTGTTGTCCAGTTCCTGCACAGATATTGTATGCACTATTCTTACTATTTGGAGAATTGGTGGAGTTTATTTGCCCCTTGTCGTTTCTCATGGTGCCGAGCGCCTCTCTACTGTCACTTCCGATTGCTGTCCCGAAATAATTATGTGTTCAGACTCAGTGAATCTTGAGCTAGCACATCAGCTCAACGCCAGACATGTTGTGGATCTAACAGAAGTTCACAATCCTCAAAATGTCTTCACCGTGTCGGATCGAAGCAGTACTTCACAAACTGCAGTCATCATATATACAAGTGGCTCCAGTGGGTTGCCTAAAGGTGTTGTGCTCACTCACGCCAATTTGATGTCTCAGATCACGGCTGTACAATCCCGCATGGATTTTGGGCGTGAGGTTGTCCTGCAGCAGAGCTCAATTGGCTTTGACGCATCACTGTTCCAAATGTTCATCGCCCTGACAAGTGGTGGGTGCCTCATTCTTGCTGACGGAAGAGCTGATCTGGCAGAAATACCTGCTATAATGGAGGATGAAAGCGTTACGGTGACTCTAGCAGTCCCAACTGAATATACCTCATGGTGTGACTCGAAGAAAGAGGTTCTCAAAAGATGTTCCTCTTGGCGGTATGCATTCTCAGGTGGCGAGATGCTTACACCAAGGCTTCTGCGTGGTCTAAAGGAATTGTCTCTGCCAAGCCTCGAGGTTTATAATGCATATGGACCTACCGAATGTTCTATATCTTGTGCCATTCATCAAGTGCCATATCTCGAGTATGAAGACGGCATGGAATGGACGCTTAGTCTTGTGGGAACCGTGCTACCTGGTTATGAAGTATACATCCTGGATGAAATGCTTCAACCTACTCGTACTGGATGGCCAGGAGAGATATTTATTGGGGGACCCGGAGTTGGGTCTGGCTACGTGAATGACAAACAAAAGACGGATGCACACTTTCTTCTTAATCCTTTTCAGCAACCTGGAACGACTAGCACAACTCTTTATCGAACTTCTGACCTTGGCCGAATGCTGCACAATGGAACGATCAGTATTATTGGCCGTGCGAATGGTGATAGACAAGTAAAACTCAGAGGAATGCGAATCGAGCTCGATGAGATTTCTCACACTATTTTGTCTTGTTCTAATGGTATCATTAAAGACGCGGTTATCATCAAGAAGGGTGACGTAGATCCATTTCTAGTCTCATTTGTTGTTCTGGATCCCAACAGAATGCCTCTAGATACACAAGGATATTTGCGGGATCTTTCGAATTCCCTTCCTCTGCCACCCCATATGCGACCCGCCGTATCTGTCAGTGTCGAAGAAATCCCCCTTTTAGCCAGCTGCAAGGTCGACTATGGAAGATTACAAGTCATGCCACTTTCTCAACAAGTAGGGGACCACGAAGGAGAGGATTTGAATCCCATTGAGAAGAAAATGGCAGAAATCTGGAGAAAGGTTCTTCCTAGAACGAGTGATGAATTTTTCATTGGAAAATCGACGGATCTGTTTGCAATTGGAGGCAATTCTATTCTCCTTCTGAGAATTCAAAATGAGATAAAAGAGAGGTCCGGTATCAAAATACCTCTCTACAAACTGTTTCAGTCTACCGTGCTGGTGGATATGTCTCTACAGATGGTTATGGGCGGTAATCACCTTCTGCGTAATGCATCAATTTCTTGGGAGCAAGAGCTTTCCCTTGAAGATGTATTACAAGATGTTCAGAAGCAAGACCCAGCTATTGCAGCGCCCCAGGTAGTCCTTCTCACTGGGTCAACCGGGTTCCTTGGTCAAGCCATTCTCCGTCTCCTTCTTACAAGTCCTCAAGTCCGATTTGTACATTGTGTCGCCGTAAGAGCAGGGTCTCGTTCCAACATTCCCTCTTCGCCAAAAGTCATCGTTCATGATGGTGATCTTTCTCATCCATTCCTCGGACTCAGCCACGCAACCATAACGACTTTGGCTAACACTGTTGACGCAATTATCCACAACGGGGCTGATGTGTCTTTCCTAAAGCCATATTCAGTATTGCGAGCACCAAATGTGCTTGCAACAAAACTCTTGTGCCAGATCGCCATACCTCGCAAAATACATATGCATTATGTGTCGTCGGCAGGTGTCACCAGATTCTCCGGCCTTGAGACATATCCGGAAGACTCCGTTGCCGAGTATCCTCCTCCTGAGGCAACAAACAGCAGCTCAAACTCAGGGCAAGACTTCGACTCATATTCAATCACCAAGTGGGCTAGTGAGATTATTGTTGAGCGCTCAAACAGATCTTTCAAGACACCTGCAACTATTTATAGGCCAAGTAGCATCACCGGGAAAGGCGCGCCAAAGCATGATCTCCTCACAAATATTCTCGAATACAGTAAAATCCTCAATTCTGTGCCAATCCTGGATGGGTGGACAGGTGTGTTTGACATGATCTCTGTTGATATTTTGGCAGAGATGATTGTGTCGAACGTGCTGAACACAAGTTCTGGGGAGACAGATGACGAGCCAATGACAGTCTATCGGCATGCATGTGGAGAGGTGAGGTTCACAGCTGCTGGAAATGGACTCCTAGAGTTTGTCCAGGCCCAATTGAACAATTGCGGCTCTGCTGGGCTTGATAAAACAGTGACTCGGGTTAGTCTGGAGAGCTGGGTTGGAAATGCGAGACGGGCTGGGATGGATACTCTGGTCGCTGAATACTTGGAGGGCATTAGTACGTTAAAATCGGTACCGATGCTTCCCATATTGAAGGGTGGATTGAGTCATGATTAGCGTAGATGAAGAGATGTTGAGGAGGTCAAGGTTGATGGGGCATGATAGTTTTCTTTATGTCAAATAATTCCACTAGATACATCGCGATCTGAAATTTTACTTTGAAGAACACACCAAGACGCCCGAAGCTGCTTGTCAGTGTCTGTCACCTTCACAACTGCATGACATAAATTGAAGCATTCAAAGACTTTTTTGTGCAACCCGATTACTATTGCCACTGCTACAATACACAAGATCATTGGAGCCAGAGTGCACAATAACTACACAGTTGGATAAATAAACGCCTTCCCCCATAATACTAACAGTATTCGATGTAGATCTTTGTCAATACATCGTAGGTATCAATTCCACTTTGTGATCCCATCTCCTAAGCTCTAAAACCCAATTCGCCTCACTTGTCTCATTTCGTCTCGTGCCATATACTCGTTAATAACCACTCGCGATAGGGATTGTAGTATCATTATCATAACTACACACAGCCTCGCTCTCATCATCAACGACCGCATGACCCGTCGCCTGAATCCCAGATGTAGCATTATCCATTCTAGGAAAAGGAAACCGGACATGTTCGTCCAGCAAGCGAGGGCGAAAAATTGATGCATCAGTAGGGCTTCCATGACCCTTCTCGATACAGTCATCGCTTACTCTCTGACTGCAAGTTTTGAATTCACAACCTGTGATGCATCGTCCGCATCTTCTAGTAATGCGAGTGCGCATGCTGGAAGTAGGGAACTGGTGCATGTATGTTCCTAGATGCGGGGTCGTGGTGTAGGGAGCGACGGCTGCTATGCTGTCGAAGAAATCGGGTGGGGAGGGTAACAAAGGAGTGGTGTGACTAGATGTTAGGGATGATAGTGTCGATAAGGAAGGAGCCGTTTGTTGAGTAGCTGACTCTGTGTTGCGAGAGAAAGGGGTTTCGGGCGGAGGTGTCATGGTTTTCCCGCTGGTCTTTGTTTTGTCCGAAGAGCGTTGAGTCGCAGCGATACTGGCGGTGGGAGTAGCGATCTGCGTTTCGTGATTGGATGAGGTCGCGGGTGAAGTCTTCAGAATTTCACCGTCAATTGTCGCTTTATCCAAAGGACTTTGAGACGGTTTGGGAGTTTGGTCCATCTTAGCTGGGACTTTTGGAGGGTTTTGGGGATGGAAAGGGTGTGGGAAAAAAAATTTATAGCCTTGAAAATAAAATAAATATGTAGATCTGTTCAAGAAACGAGGAATAGAATAGAAATATAAGCTTGAGAAGTGAAGAAAGATTCAGATGCAAGTATATTGTTAAGGGAACGGTGTCTATACCTACAAGAATTTTTTTATGATAATTAATGAGTTCGAGAAGCGAGATCGACATGTCATTATGGCGCACGCTAGACAGGTAACTAAATGGAGTGACCTGGAGATCAATATATACTAATCAGAACTCAATTCTCGCGATACTGTATCTGGAATAAAGTTCATGATTCTATCAAACTTAGCACAGTGTCAATCGAGTAAATGAGCTAAAAGTGCTACTGATGAGTACAAGCTAAGTCAGCTGTTCAATACGATGGAGAAGTTTGTGGAGACTACGATTTTGAAAGGTTCTGATAGGTTTTAAAGGGCTCTGGTAGGCTCTGATCGGGTCTGAACAGTCTAACCTGATAATTCGAGAATCGGGAAAGAGGAAGGTACGAGTGAGCTAATCAGAAGCATAAGTATCTACAGCTGTTTTTCAAGAAAGGTAGGTGCGACCGATCATATTATGATATAGCTAGTGACAAAGTAGCTGCGGTTAAGAGATCCATCTAATCGGTTTATTGAGGAGACTTGAAAGAATGGAATCTATAGCGATGACGCATCGACGATGAAGTCCAGAACCCAACATAGCTAGAGAGATTCGATGATTACGTGATTCTGACATATGAACATATCTCTGAAACCTTATGTTCCAGTCTAGGTTGGTAGATCCCATGATTTTAAGTTTAGTTCTATAGTGTATATTCGAACATCAGGCTCAGAACTCTAGTAGTATGGGGCTGATCGTTTGAACTTGGCATGTCATGTGATTCATTAGCTCATTGCATATCTTGATTAGAGAGGAGATGGTTATAGTCAGAGGTTTTCCAGATGCTTATTTCCTAATGGGCTTTATACGGAGAAGAGTAATAAAGGAGAGGTGCAAAACTACATGTTAGGGTATCGACGTAACGAACCAAGAGGCTGTCAAAAACCTTAAACTTGTGCTGAAATTTCAGTCTCCACTCTAATATCTCGATCATACTAGTACTACTATTACGCATTCCAAAATATAGGAAAATGTAAGCGCACTTTTAATAAATAGTTACAATCAGGGTATTAATCGGGGTGTTAATCAGGGTATTCATGCACGAAATCATAGACATCGCTAAACTAACGATAACGTGATTTTGTGGGATTGATACCATGCGTCAACACGGACTAATTTTCAGTAGCTGCTGCAACGAAGGTGGAGATCACTAAGGCAGACTAACCCCTACAGACTCGTCTAAATGCTGTATGACGATAGGTAGCTTTGTTTTCGTTCAACAATGTGGTTATATTTTTTTAAAAAAACTAACTATAATACTGGTAGGTGGTAATATATGACCCGTCAATTTTCCCCTTATAGATGAGGATCGATCCTACTGGTATGAAGCCTAGACATTCAAGAAGCTATGTGATTGAAAAGTTCGCGAACAGCTTCTAAGGTAATATCTTCCAGTAAATTTGGATTCAGCGGCCAACGGCCCATGTGGCTGCTGTGTGAAGAGGCTGAGAGGAAGTACAGGAAGTGGCTGAAAACACAATGAGAACGAGGTAGGTCCGCATATTATAAAGATAAAATCAGCTAATTCTGCATGATCTCCCAACTACATGTAATCACAATGAACTTTTATCATGACTGTGTGTACAAGCAAAATTCTCTTTGATTGCGTTGGAATGCAACAAAAGAGTAATTATGACTAGAATGTTCCGCATGCACTTCATTTGTATGACCACCATGCAAGAACCAGGTATATTTAAGAGCCAGGAAATTCATGACGCGTGTTACGAGCGGAATTTCCGGTTCCATGAGTGGTGGTAATTTGATCTTCTCGAGTATGCAAACTAGAGGTAAAGCAAAACTTAAAGTATACCGATTGAGGAAAGACAGAGTGGTGCCTAGTGAAAAGAAGAAGTTCGATCGTGAGACTATCACGTCGATAAGTTGCATTACCACAGATTCTATGCGAGAGTTATGATGAGAACTGCGATTAAGAGTCTCGCTCATGATAGTAAGGTTCATGAAGCCAGACGTCGAAAAATGTGGAGCATTGAGAGAGCATTGAAAAAAACCGCAAAAGCATACATGACTTGTGTTTAACATTGTCTAGATCTACTTATCTAGACTCACTCGAGACTCTGAAATGAGTTTCTTCTAATTCTTCATCTCACAGGTCATGATAAATGGTGCTGTGATTCCCCCAAGGTACAATTTTCCCTTCTTGACGTCATGGACAGCGGCTGTTGCTGCTGTCAAAATCGTTCCGTCATCTTCCACCATAGTTTCAACAATATAACCCTCCTCGCTCTTACCAAGATCCTTCCCTTCTCTTACTCCCTCTTTGATCAAACGATCGAAATCAGACCCTCTTCTTCGAATTCTTACGACTGCCGCAGGGACCTGGATTGATTGATCATCCAAATATTGAACCCATTTAAAAGCTTGTGGAATTGATGCAGCTATGATATCGCCATTCTCATCAACACTCATGTTATCAATTGGGTATGGTGCTTGCAACGTATCCTGTTTCAATAGAGTCTTCTCGTCGGTAAGCGAGAAGATGTGTATTTCGTGCAATGATGTATTTGGTACATATATCAGTCCATCGCGCCCTGTAACTAATCCATTTGGACCAGTAAGACCAGTAGAGATGAGTAAGTTGCAGTGATTCGAACGTGAATCACAGTGTCCAATACTTCCACCCCCAAGGAGAACATCTAAATGGCGCCGCTGCAGTTTTTGTGAGCTCATCGTCAAACCATTATGGAAAGTTTGGTGGAACTTACAAATCCGACCTTCGCGCTGTGATCATTGGTGAACAAAAAATCATCATCATTGACCCAGGCCACCTGGTTGGGAGTTTGGATTGCAGGGTCTGAGTATGTCTTTATGTGTTTCATTGAAACACTTCCAACTTGGGTATGAAATAGTTCTATGGTGGAATTTGCGCCCACGGTCACAGCATCAAGTGCGGCGCCGGTTAGAGGATCAATTGGAGGTCGATGGTTGATGAGCAGAATACGTAAAGTATCGGTCTTTGGATCTGGACGGATGTCAAAGCCATGTAGGTTGAAAGTACCATCTCCATTGTTGCCAGAGAAATTTTCGGTTGTCATCCACTGAAAACGAGATTCCAAAGATCCGTCTCCTCGGGTGTCCAGAATTCCAATTCTATCTGCTACACCTCGTCCAGAGATGTTGAGACGGTCGGCACTGTGGTAGGTTTGGTGAATCAGCTAAACGATTTCACGCGAGTGATGTGAAGAAAAAATCCATGGACAAAGTATGCAGCCTAGGAAAGTACGAACGCGGGAAGCCACTGCAAACGACTTTGGACATCGGAGCAGGCCATATATAGGTATCCAGTGTCATAATGGAGCCATAAATCTTCACAACCTTCAAGGCCGAGATTATCAATCCTTTCACAAGTTGCGTTGAATGCACCAATCGTCGAAACGGAACGTCCAACACCTAATACCTCAAATATAATGTGTTTGAAAAGGAATTGATATAAGATGGCGATGAGCGCAACAAAGATGCCGCCTCCGTAGGCTAGAGATCTCGCCATTCTTGTGGAAGATAGCTTCGTGAATCGCAGTAAAGAGAATAAGTTGAGCAATGAAGGGAGGGTGATATAGATTGATGCTACATCACTTATCATCCGAAGATGCCAGGAATTCTCCCTCCACTCCTGTTTAATTTTTGTTGTCATTGTCGTGTTCTATTTGTGGAACCTCGGCTTGGCAATAGCCATTCCATGTCTTCTGATTGCTAATCCCACCCGGTTACATCTATTGCCTAGGTATCTCTGCTATCTTTCCCCACGATTCTGAGAATTGAGTTGTCGAGTGGAGTCGGGAAGTAAAATCTTTGGGGACCTCGGAAAGACTCAAAGTTGCGCGATGAATTGCAGTAATATTCAACTGTTTGTGGAGGGCCAAGTTGATATTGAAGTGGCTTCATCTGCATTAACCTTCATGTCGTCTTGCAGCCACAATCGTGCAGGTTAGAAGGGAGGAAGAAAACAACATCACGAGCGGAACAAACCAGTGATTATTTGTTCCTGCCCTCCTTCCATCGTCGTCGTCGTCGTCGTTTCCTTTAACAGGTAGGTATTTAGGTTACCTACACATGCACGCTACGCAGGTCAAGTGGTCTGTGCGTAATAATTCTTATCACTTCCTTCTTCTCTCACTAACCTACCTACCTACCTACCTACCTACCTATCTACCTATTTATTTATCAGGAAATTGCAACTTCAAGTGAAATTCTTCTAAAAGTTCAAAGTTACACCTCACTCACTCTTCACATCTTCAACATTCACATCATCAGATTGGAATCAACTTCAATCTCAGCATCCTTATTTATATATTAAACATTAGTTACTCTCGAGTCTCAGACCACGATAACGCCATCTCCCATTAACACGCCTCGCAAATCATTCATCCTCCAGGGACGAAAAGGAAAAAGAATATACTTCATGCAAACTCAGAAATCAATACGGTAAAAACGGCCAAATGAAAGATATAATAAAACACCAGCCCACTCAAAGCAATCTCCTCATTCACACCCAGCATCTCCCCATTCAGCAAGCAAAAGAAACCGGAAAATCCAATCCATAATTACACCAATGATCAACATCGGTCATGTTGGACACCTCAACCCATTAATATTAACTCCATCCGGTAACTTTAAGACAGAAGAAGAAAAAAAACTCCCCATTCATACTTCTAGCATTCTCTCTCAGCGGCGACTTCCGTGAGCTTCAATTGACACAAATCTCGATATCTTGATTTTCCTTCCGCAGTAAAGTGAAACGAATTGGGTGGATAGTTAGCTGGGTTCACCGGTCTGTTCTCTTGAATTGCGGTCACAATGTTGCTCTTCCAAGTGATGGAGGTTTCACCGGAAGCAAACCGGTCGCTGATCCATCCCTCTCCAAGATATGGGCCTAGGCCTTTCATCTTGTGGAATTTGAGTATACGATGGTGATGTCCGCTAGGAAACTTGGCACTGTAGCGTATCTCATCAGACAATGCTTCATTCGTCAGAATCTCGATTTGTGTCGTGCGGCAGCACTCATTCTGAATTACACGCTGAAAGTGGTGATGTCCAGTCCAGACAATGGCGAGTTGCTGTAGTTTGGGCATTGCCGCCAAAACTTGGCAGTATTGCCAATTGTTGCGATCATTATTGAACCACTTCTCTGCTAGCAAGTAGTCCACGGCAAGCTTCTGAAGTCGATCACCAGCTGTGGAGAAGAAGAGGTCCTTCAAAAATTGGTAGCCAAAGTCTTCGCGCCAAGTGTTGTCACCAACCTCCAAAGCATCGCTGTAGATACGGAAATGGCTGGAGTTGATGAATACGGTGTCTCGATCGAAGTTGATGTAGCACTTGAAGTTTGTTGTTGCAGCTTCAGGACCAACAAAGTCTAACGGAAGACCCAGAAGAGCTTGTCTATCGTCATACATCTTCTTGTCTCGTTTCCAAGAATTCGCAACGGACAATGGACTGTAACGTTTCAATCCTCGTTCCCTAGCTACTTGGCAGATGCTAAGGATTGCTGGATTCTTAGCATCAGTAGACGCATAAACTATCATCCAATTTGCGCAACGCTTGGTGATGTGGACTTCAATGATACGATCTTCTTCCATAGAAAAATCCCATATCATACATTGAACTTCGAGGGGTAATTCTGAAAACTTTCGGAAGCGGCATCCATCTTCAGAAGAGGAGCCATTCTTTGTTGGATCCTCCAACATTAACTTTTCTTGATCGCGAGATGTACAGTGATGCTCGATGGATTCTAGGCTGTGCTTGCATGACTGTTCAGGGCTGGTTTCAAGTATCTCCTCCTCTGAAATGGACTTGATATATGGTGATGTCATGGTTGCTGCGTCAACTGGACCAAGAATCTTGTTGAGCAATATTGGGGATATCGTTTTGAAATCCAAAGTGACAACAATGTGATTGCTGACGGCTATCGTTGGCAGTTTCGCAGTTAATTCATCAAAGGTTTGGCGAGACAACTTTAAAGCTGAAACTTTCTTGGCTCTTGTGTTGATACTAGTATGTGAAAATGAAAGAGTAGTTCTCTTGGTGCAACTCTGTGGAGAATACGTCAGGAACGCACAGAGGAAGAGACTGTTAGATTATGCTTACCTTTTTTTCAACAAAAGAAATTGCTGGCTTGGTTTTCATGTCTGCGTGGATTGGAGAGCTTCTTAGCATTTTTGAGGCAAGCAACGGGGCCAGCCCGTTGTGTAGCTATGGGAATATATTAGTATGATATTCTGCAGGAGACTCAGTTCTAGAGTGTATTCTCTTACCATTCTTGTGCACGACATAGTGTCGGAGTTGTTAAAATTATGACTGTATGAAAGATTCGAAAGTGTATAAAAATTGGGGAAGAAGAATTCAAAAAGAGGAAGTTGGAGCTTAAGTACCTCTTTTAAAGCTATGAATATTTAATCTAGCTGGCAATTCACCTCGCGTCGGGTGTTCACGTGTCTTTGTTTTGATCTCATCTCAACTCGAGACTTTAGTGGTGAATTGGACCGATATGGGTTGTTTCATATTGGATGTGTCAAGGTCTTTTTCTTTGACATATCTATAGGCTTCCTGTCTTGTATACCTCATCCTTAGATTTATTTTCAACGAGTTGATCAACCAGAGGATCAAGTTGATCAAGCTCATATAATGGAGAGAAAGTCCTGCACTGATGAAACATATATTCAATATTTCTTTATATTTCATTTAAAGTTGACTCATTAATGAGCAGATATACATTTACTTCTGCTTAGCCTGAACAAAAGTTCTCTTTTCCAGGTTTGCAAGGAGTCTTACATTCGCCCTTTTGAAATAACAGCTTGAAGTTTTCCTGTAGCTTTACATAATTTTAGGCAGCAAGAGCATTGCCATGGTTACTATATCTACTTTATACTGTCAAGCTTTGCTGTTTATCTGTCTTTAACATCCTCACCATAGGCAACCAGGGCTCTCGGGTATTCATCGGTTATCGTCTATTGAGCTGACATTTGTATTTTCCGGTCACTGACATACATCAAACATAAATACAAAGATAAATGCTGAGAAGCTGATGTGAATGATTAACTACCAGGCACGAAGAGTAGCTTAACTTCCAATCTAAAGTCTCTCTGATCAAGTAAGCATTTTTGGTTGATTACTGTTAGACCAGACGTCAGAATTCAAAAGTTTAGAGTTCGTCTGTTTTTCGTGTCTCTTGAATACTGAACACTAAACACTGAAACTAAATTTCAAAAATATCTTGATGATAGACTACAAGAGATTCACTCCTCCTTTCTCGCTCAACCAGTTAAATGAAAGTAAAGCCAAAGAAGAAGCGAAAGCCGAAGCCCGAGATGAAATCAACAGTGAATCATCAGAATGAGCAGATTTGGTTCGTTTTCTGTTGATCTGAGTGGTCGAGAGACAACCTTGACGTCTACTTCACTTTCTTTACTTGTGGGAAATGATGCTCTCATGATACGTTACCAACGTCAAGATAGTGATTGGTAGGATTGGGGGCTTTTCTATTGTTATACAATACATAGCCTTCGGGAACCTTGGGTTTCATGACCAGCCACCATCTTTTTCTTAGGCTGTGCAATGAATTGGATTTATGAGGTCATGAGTGTGAATTCACTTTTTGAGGTTGGGGATTCTTTGGAGGCAGTGCTGAGATTTTAAACAATTCTTTGATTTTTGATGTCCTCATATTTCAGATCTATGACCTCAACTCTTTTTCCAACCTATTTCTCTATCTCTATTCAAATTTATTACGTTCTATCAACTTTATACTTTAGTCTTCCCTCTTTCCTCTCTCGTCTATTGTTTCTTTCTCCCCCACTTAACCCATCTATTTCTTTGTCCTCCCATAAGCCTCTCTTGGTAAGAACTGCACCGCAATAACCAATCCTATCGCAACCAATATTTCAAATACCCAGATGAAATATCCCCAGAGAATCTGATGCGTAACGCCATATGCGAAGATGATAGTGAAGAGAGCGGGGACAAAGGCGCGGGTACCGCTCGTGACGGCGAGTGCGATACTATTGAGGGTGCCGAGAGTTTCGGAAGAGGGTGCAATGTCATTCAGGGCTAGTTGGCCACATGCTAGAGGAGGGGGGTTGTTAGTTTGGATGGAGAGGATTGGGGGTGTAAGAGTGGGGAGATGGGTGGGAGATCTAGAAGTAGAGTAGTAGGTAAGAGAGGGGAAAGACATACTAAACGCCATACTGACTCCAACCCCCATCGACATACTGGTTGGATACACGACCCAAAACGTCGTTTCCCATCCCATGCGTAATAGAAAGTTTGCAAAAGGACAGAAAGCGAAGAGGAAAGGCCAAAAGAAAGCGCATGCGCGCAGGATACCAACGGTACCGACGCGTTTGTGCAAGGGAGGGAATACGACGATCATCCAGAAAGCTTGCGAGAAACCTGCAAGGGCTATGAAGAGAGAGATGCGGAAGGGTGAGAAACCTAGACCGCCGAGCGAGATAGGGGTGAACCAGAATACAGATAGTACTATTTGCGGGAGGAGGAGGTTAGCAATGGAGGGGGAAAGAGATAGGCGAGGAAATAAGTGACACGAACCGGATGTGTAAATTGTACTCATTAGATTTACATGGCACGAAATGTAGATACATCTCGCTACGCCGGGGAATTTTAAAAGTTCGCTCATAGTCATCCCATCGCGCGCTCCTACTTTCTGATACTTTTTCTTGCCTAAAGTCTGGATACTAATTAGTGACTTGGACTTTCTACCACAGTCTTGATGAACCGCTCACCTCTTTAATATAGAACGCCGCCACCAACGTTGAGCTCAACGCGAACAACCCCGTACAAATCGTCGGAAGCGCAAAGGGAAATTCCTCGAAAAACTTTACCCCGCCAAAAATAGACGGATACTGCTTTGCGGGTTCGGACATGGCGCCACCTGGATGGAGAATGTTAGTTTTTGGTTCGAATTCCCACGTATCTGTCTAGGCACTTTAGATACTTGAAATAGGTTAGCTTCACGTACCAATCAACGGACCCATCAGGATCCCCAGATTGCCCGCTACGGAAAAATAACTAAAGGCTCTCGCTTGGGTTTTCTTGGTGCTGTTTTCCGAGATCATGGTTCGGATTGTGCTTTTACCTATCGGTCAGTCAGGACTCCCAGATACATGACGAGATTTAATGAAAGGACGAAAACGAAAGACGAATGACAAAATCAAAGAAACTCACACGATGGTCCCCGCGAACAGTCCAGCAATACATCGAAAAATGATTAATTGTCCAATGCTCCTACCGAACCCAAAGATGCCTGTTGCGAAGGAGATACCGAGGAGCGAAGTGATCATGATGGGTTTGCGGCCGAATTTGTCGGAGGCCCGGCCCCAGTGGACCATGAGGATCATTTCGGTGATGGAGAAGAGGGATTCCTGGGTTGGGGGTTAGTTTTTTTTGGTTTGTTGTAGAGTATATGGTATATCCATGACGCTCTTCTCTCCGTTTTGCACCCATCCTAATTCTCTCTCCCTCCCCTTTTCCCCTTCCCATCCTCCCTACCTCTATCCCCCCCTCAAAAAACAACAGAACAAACCAAATCCAATTCCCCCCTCAAACAAACCAAAAAAAACTCACAATCAACCCCGAATAAAACCCCACCTCTCCCATCCCAATCCCCCCAATCTCCCACAACATCTGATTGAGAAAGGCAAAGACGGAAAAAAACGCCACCGGTTCGACTAATCGGATGTAGCAGAGTCCGAGAATCTGTCCCAGGGGGAGTGGTGTTTCGTCTTCTTCTTCTCCGTTATCTTCTCCATTTCCATTTTCCTCATTATTATCTTCTTCATTGACTTCTGCATCTCGACTCGAGTTCTCCGCACCATATGACCCAGTCCCAACATCTCGATAAACCTGCGATCCCGTGATCAACGCATCGCGAACCTTAGTCGGTTCGGTGGGAGGCGCGAGGAGGGGTTCGCGTTCATTTCGGAGGGGGGTGTGAGGGGACATGATGTGAGATGGATAAATGAATGAACGTCTCCTTATTGTCCTCGGTTTGTTTTACTACGAGGATAAATAGAGATGTAATTCAATTGTTGAATACCTAGGTGTATAGATTTAAATAAAAAAGAGAAAGGTCAAGATGTTCCACCCCTACTCCTCGCTTATGTAATACGATGCTTATCTGATCTGAAAGACATGGGATCTGGTGGATGGGTTAATTAGGATTGTGTTAGCGCTGATGTGGTGCTTGCTTTCTGCTAGGTAAGCGCTAGGTACTAGTAAGTTAGGGGTTTTCGCTGTTTACCTACGTATCACATTTTAATTCCGTCAGAGTCGATGAGAATAATTGCTTGTAAATATACTTACTCTGTCGTGTGTTTTCTTTTTGTTTTGATGGTGATATCATTGACCTAGGTAGATCTACGATAGATGTTTTCTAGAAAAAGATATTCATACTTCTATTGAAGGACAAGCAATTAAACTGGTTCTCTAGGAGTAACATCGATCGACAGTAGAGAGGTACAACAACCATGATATTGTGATGGAGACAGAGATCCAATCTTAATTGGTAACACAGAATCGTCTTCAAGCATAGTCTAGGTCAAAAGTCTTTGACATTTTCATTGTACTGGCTTATGGCCACTCCTAACATATTAATACTGCATTCAAAAAGGTCCGTCGCTATCGGGACAAGCATAACCCAATGTTGCACTTCCACTTCTCAAATAACAAACTTTCTGCTTCGCACAAGCTTCTGTACTACAGCTTTCCGTCATTGCGGAACTTTTGGTTTCCAGGAAATTATAGACTTCTACTAAAGTGTTGTTTGCTAACATATCCTCTGTCACTCCATGCCAGAAAGCGCCATCCAGAGGAGCATTAACGGGCCAAGTAGTATTTGGATCATATACTTGACGCGTATCGTACTCGAGTTCCCATGTTGGTGTTGTCCAGGAGTTAGCGTTGGACATATTGGCGAAGTAAGTTTGAGAATTAATAACTGAGAAAGTCGAAGCATCGACCTGAAGATCAACCCATCCAGCGTTGAGTCCGGTAAGAGGGGTAATAGAAGGCCCTATGTATGCAACTTGAATAGGGTTGTTGTAATCCACCAACGTGGTATTACGAATGACCGACGATGTGTTGCTGGAAATTGTCGAGTTGGGTAGGAAATCATAGTAGATCATGAGCTGATCCTCGTGTGTGTGACCAAAGAATATTCCCGCGATGGTCAATGGAGAGAACCGAGCAACGATACTGTAGAACAAGGCTGTGGGGTTGGGAAGCGCATTTGTACCATCATATCCCGGAAGAACATGTCCGATGATCCAGACGCGTTGATTAATATCCTCCGATTTTTGAAGCTCGTTGGCAAGGAATGTAAGAATTCCAGAAGTGTCTGGATTTGTCATGTTGAAGAAGTTGAAGATGTTGGCCGTATACCAGAAGTCTGTATTGATAGAGATAATCTTTAAACCTTGAGATGTGACCGTGGCATATGCACCATAGTGATTTGATGCATACTGGGCTGCTTCACTATCAATCCATCCATTGTTCAGCCACAAGCTGGACAATAAATTATAATTCCATGAAAACACATTGGATTGTCCCGTGGAGTTGTTGATAGAATTGGGAGTATTCAGAGCCTCCGGTAGAGAATCATGGTTTCCTAAGGTCGCATAGATGGGACTGTTCTTCATTTGAGCCTTAAAAGTTTGGTAGGTGACCGTCTCTTCATACTCTACATAGGCTCGACTTATTTGGTCGTCATTATCGTGGCTTACAATATCACCAGTAAATATTGTAAATGCTACATCAGACCTGTTGATAAATTGGTCCATAGTTGAAAAGGCAGAGAGAGCCAAGTCAGGAGGGGAATCGCAATAGAAGTATCCAAAACGAGACGCAGGCGTAGATGGGTTGTCACCCGTCGTATCGAGGTCAGTGTTAGTTGAATATGGTCTGCAGCACAAATACTGAGAGCAATTAGCCTCACTGCCAATATCATATCGTGAGTCTAAATGCCAATCAGAGAGATGTAGAACATCTATAGTTTGGTCTATTGTGACGTCAGAATTAGTTTACTCATAGTCAATTAAGGTGTTGGGACTTACTAGATGGCGAAGGAGCCGTTGTTTTGTTTGCTGGTTTAGGTTTAAAATATGCAGATTCATCGATAGGAATTGTCGCGGGTATACTGCAAGTATCCCATACATAAAAACAGTAACCTTGCATATCATCGGTCGCCATGCTCATTTTTGCAAATAGTTGAGCAAGATACGGACCAGTTCCACCAATTCCGGAGTACTCTTCATAACAGGTCTGGGCGTAGATACTGTCATGGACCTTCGGAAACGTTTCACAGGCACGAATAAGAAGATTCACAATCGTCTCAACAGGTTGCATGATAGCTGCAAGATGCATGACTTCTGTACTGGCAATGCATTTTGCGCAGTCGGTCGTGAGTCCATTTCCGTTAACAATTCCTTGAATCTCATTGAAGATGTTATCTTCAATTTCTTGCTTACTAGTGGTTGTTAGTTTTGCAACACGAGAGGAATGAATAATAATACCTTAAAATAGGCAATGGTACTGGGAGAGGAGACGTTTCATTGTAAGAAGGTACGGGACCAGTGCCATTGTAGTGAAGGATGGGACCTCCAGCATTTAGAATGGTATTTGTGAGCGTCTTGTTCAATGCTTGAGGACTCGACGGGACGGATCGTCGCTTGTGACCTTTGTGTGCTGATGTGACGGACAGTAGCGATAGCGCAGTCAAAGCTACCGGGAAATGCATTTTTAGATGCAAAACAGATTAACTAGTGTGAGATGGGAGTATATCAAGAAACATGTGGGAAGGGAAATGCACGATACTTATCCGATTAGATTCCAACCTACCATTCCATGATAACCACTTCAACTACGCACGTGGCTTTGATTGTATTGGTCAACCAATCCCTAGATTGTGACTTGTGAAGTAGGTAGTCGTCACTCATGCAGCTTCCAACGGCTGGGACCACGTATTGGGAAGGTGGTTCCTGACAGAAAGCTTCATTTTCGTGAACTGATTTGAGATTCCTGCATCTTCCCCGCAAATTCGGAGACATCCACGCTGCAAAATAAGTATCGGAGCAGAAGTCAACAGTCCAGACCCAAGCGATTCGCCTATTCTAACATGCACGTTGATCGTCAGAGGGGTGAGATTGGTTTATTTGGATATATCCCGGAAACCCGATCGAATGGGAATTAGGTAGCGATAATGTGAGATTGAGAGATTGAGAGACCCGGACGTTCCACTCACTTATTACTTGCCAATCGAGTCAATAGAAATGTATGGCGGTGAGCGGATCGGCAGAAACCTCAAAAGTTCTAGCTGATCGGGGCCAGTCGACTGGGCAGGTGAGTGTTACAACCACCCACCACCATGATAGCCTCGAGATAGCTTATCTGATTGATTGCTCGTATAAGCATTGTGAAGCATTGCCAGGTTGTGATAGGCTTACCGGCAAAAGACAAGAAGATCTCTTCTTATTAATGAGTTATATATTAAAGGAGTGGAAAGTTTTCAGTGTCTATTATAACCTTACCTTGCCTTTGACATCTCATTGCTGTAAGTCTGTGACTGAAAATCGGTAGTATAATTATGTATCCCTCCATCAGCTCCTTGGAACGGAACGGTGAAGATGTCTAAAGTCTCGCTTCGGAAAATACAAAAGCAATCATAATTAACCTTACCGAGTACAATAATGGTTTACACAAATTTGAGCGTATTTATATGTATTTATATGTATTTATACATCCTCGGTAGGTTAACCTTACCAACCTGCTCTGAAAGCAATCAATCTAAACAACGAGGACAACCAAAATGTGCCATCATCAAAGAGAGCGATACTTATCACTGATTCATAGGAAGAACCAGCGAAATCAATGAAAAGTCTTTATTCGTATAGGCAAGAACCTTGGAGCTGAGGCAAAGTGCAAAGTGCAAAGTAAGTTCTCAATGTCTGGGTTGGAATTAGAAAATTCGTGGGGAAAGTGTAATTGAAATCATGACGTCGACGAGTCAAATGCCAATGCTACACATCAACGAAACCAACCATACTACGAGTAATTATACTGTGCGTCAAAGATCACATATTTCGGTCCTTTTATTACTGTCGATCCATCATTCTCTTGTTTTGTTAATCATAATCTCTTAATTAAAGAATCGACCCAATCTGCAAAAGAAAAATCTCTCTTACCTTGCTGTCATATCGATTTCCACCCTGCCCCGCCACTCCGATTCACAATGGCCTCCTCCGGTCAAAGAAAACATGTAGTGATAATTGGAGCTGGAGCGGCAGGAATGTCATGTGCCGCCACTCTTGCCCAGCATCCAGATAAATTCAAAGTGACCATAATCGAAAGAATGGGTGTAACCGGAGGCCAAGCAACCTCCATAGCCCTTGACAAAGAGAAATTTGGCACCGATTGGATGAACGATGGGGTCCAAGGTGGTTCACCAATTTTCAAACATACTTGCCACTTCTTCAAACAATATGGCCACGAAGCCCAAGGCGTCAAACTTCAAGTCGCATTTGGGAAAGGCGAAGATGGGTTCTGGACAAATTGTTTCCCTAGTCCTCTTGTCGAACGCTTCTCGAGCGATATCAAGAAATTCGGCAAGGTGTTGAAGATTATCAAGTGGTTGATGCCTGCGATGGGGGTAATACCTATTCGAATCATGCTCAAGATGTTCTTTTTCAGCAAGGACTTTGGAGATAAGATGGTGTATCCTCTCATTGCTCTATTTCTCGGTACCGGTAACCAAACTGCCAATGTATCGTGCGCGATCTTGGAGCGTTTGTTTGATGACAAGAACATGAAGCTCTGGGACTATGATCCAGATACACTTCTTCCAAACTTACCCCAAATGTTGACATTCCCTAATCTTCATAACTTTTATGAAGATTGGAGAAAAGATCTCGAATCAAAAGGTGTAGATATACGTCTCAACACTGATGTCACGGAGATTATTCAACGTAATGAAAAAGGGGTTGTGATGACCACGAGACAGTTTAATCCTGATGCAAATGATAGAAAGGGGGAACACACGGGGCCAAATTCCAAATCTGAAACATTTGATGAATTGGTAATGTGTGTATTAGCTGATGATGCACTCAAAATCCTTGGGAAAACTGCCACTTTTAAGGAGAAACTCGTGCTTGGAGGAGCCAGGTAAATTATTACCCTTATATCGCGGGCGTTGTAAACGTTCATAAGCTAACCATCTTATTAGATTCTACGATGACATAACAGTTACCCAGTAAGATTTTCCCTCTCCCTTTTTCTTTTCATCTCTTCCTCACACATACTCCCATGAAGATACTAACAAGTTTCAGCTCCGACCATGAATACTTCCGCAAACATTACGAAACTGAATTCGACCCCTCCCTCTGCGCTGATCCTAAATCTCAGGCCCAAAAAGACCAAATTGCCTTCTCAAAAGGTGAACGACGTGGTGTTGATAATGAACCTAGTGGTTTTCGACCCATGTATTACACCAAATCCTACGCACACGACCCTAAAAAAATCGAAATGTCTTTTGAGTACGCTCTTCCCCTTTCCCCTTCTACCTTTACCTTCAGAAAAACTAACGCCCCTCTCCAGCTGCACAAACTATCAACATCAATTCCGTCAGGATCATGATGCAGAAACTGCACCCGTTCCATATGATCGTCATGTCTTTCAATCTATTTTCCTCGATGCCTCGAACCGCGACCATTGGACGATTGATGAAATTTCTCTAGATAAAGTGATTGAGAAAAAATGGTGGCATCAACTTGGTCATCGCTGGCAACATTATGCTAGGGTTGTACCTGGAATGATGTTTATCAATGGAAAGAATCAAACCTGGTTTGCGGGAAGTTGGACGCTCGTGGTATGTTTCTCTTTCCTCGCCTATGATTCTCATTTTGTATCTCCCCTTTAAAGGAGTTTAACTCTGGACTGGGAAAAGATAGATATCAAGCAAAAATCGCAACCCTAACAAATCATCAGAACATGCACGAATTAGCCCTGGTATCAGGAATCGCAGCCGCCTATCGACTCGGAGCCGACTACGTGAAATTCGATGATTTTGCAGAGGAGTTCTTTGGTAATTATATGCTTGTATCCCATGGATTTAGATATAAAGCGGAAGAAAAGAGGAGGAAGCAGAAGACTCAGTAGATGATAGTGATGAATTTTGTACATATTGTAAGATTATCTAGCTACTGATAGTAATGTTTACTTGTTGTTTGATCCTGCTTTGAGAATTTTGAAAGAAAAAATATGTATGGATTTGGTATGATCCAGGATTTTGAATCTTGTTATTCGAGATGAAGATACGGATGATAGATAATAGCATTGTGTATCGATGGTTTTGGACCTTCCGACTTGTGATTTGAAATTTGAAATTTGGCATTGCGTCCATTCTTCACATTCATGTAAGATGCGACAGACAACATCAGTTGTCTTCCTTCCTTCCACCCACAAAACAGTACGCTTCCCCAAACCTCAACTACTACCTGATACACACCTTAGTTTCCATTCAGCATCCCAAATTCCACTCAGGACACCTTAGCTCAACCTCAACCCAAACCCAACTTCTACATGAACCTACTATCTCATTCCCGAACGCTCACACCAAATCTCATCTTTGCTCATACACACCCATTCATCCATCTCCTTATTCAGACTTAATCCAACAGAACCTAGCTCATCCCAATTCTACAAGTTATATCTCTTATGTCCATGTCAATTGTAGATGAGTAGCTTCATATTCAAAATCGAGGGGTGGTGGGGTGTTGAGATGGTATTTTATTTGCAGAATGGTGATGATGATGATGATATAATAAATTTCAATATTGAATCTCGAAATTCGAAATTTATGTTAATAGAATGAAATAGAATAGAAGTAAAATATACATCCCAACACCAAATTAAGTAAGGATGAGGGGAAATATCACTCTAATCATTCTATTCTAATGATGTATGTAGGTAGGTACTCAAGAATCAAGAAGAAGAAGATGATCCGCACACTATATTTTTATCTCAAGCTTGAATTAACTTGCAATAGTATAAACTAGTTTTCAATCAGAGAAACGGTGCGAAAGATCAAGAAGCCATCTAGTTAAGCGATGAGGCTTAAGGAGAAACCACAAACTTGGAAAAATCAATGATCTACAAAGACTAAACGTCGATCGGAACAAGAAATAGTCTGGTGCTCACGATCCAGTCCTAAACTATAAATTAGTGTCAATTATTTCCCAATACTTAATTGAAAGATCACAGCTTCCCACCTTTAAATACTGCGATATTGTCACTTGATTCTTCCGAACACTCAATTCCAATTTTTTCCGAACAAGTAAAGATAGAAATATTAATTTCCTAGAAATCATGCCCGCCAAGCTACCCGATCGCACGAAGGATGAAGGAAATCAGGAAAAAAAGAAAAGCAATCGAATCTTACAGTACTACAACAACCCAATGGCCCGCCAATGCACAAGTTTTGCGAGAGGCTCTGAGAGAGATGGATGAGCAGCAAGAGAAGGTGGAGCAAATTGAGCGAGATCTTTCTACTGAAATACCGATGAGCGAAATTCACTCTCGTAGGAGGGCATGGTATAGGAGAAAGATCGCATATGTAGATGCAATACAAGATTCACTACTGGGACGGAAACGAAAAGCCAAATCTACCAAATCTGAGAAGGAAACACGCTTGAAGAAAGCTCATCAGGCACATACGGACCTTATGCTACAACTTTGTGTGAAAGAGAAGAAGAGATCCAGTACTCAGCAAACTGAATTTCGAAATCGTTTGATAGATTTCTATGGAGTGAAACGGCAGGGGCTCGATGAAGAAGAGATCTGGTGCGTTGTGAGTCACTCATGGGGCAAGTCAAGCCAATTTGTGGCTGCGCATATCATACCAGCAAAATTGCAAGATGCTCAAATGAAACACATCTTTGGGGATGAGGCGAGCGACGAGTTGTTCTCCGTCAAGAATGGTCTAATGTTAGAAAAGCAGATCGAAACATGTTTCGATAACCTCCAACTAGCGGTTGTCCCGTGCTTAACGGACCCAAGTTCTTGGGAGTTGAGAGTCTTGGACAAACATCTTCTAAAAACAGTTCACTGGTTTACAAGCACTCGTTTTGAGAAGCTTCACGGAAGAAAGTTAGCGTTTCTGAACGAAAATCGCCCTCGGAAACGTTATCTTTACTATCACTGGCTAGTTTGCATGTCTGTAGCTGGTCAAAAGAAGATGAATATGCCGAGGATCAAGGAGGAGAGAGAAAGATTCACTGAATGTTGGGGTACTCCTGGACGATACTTGCGCGAAGAAATGATAGCAGCGCTTATAGGGTACGTTGGGCACAAGATTCCTACCGAGAAACGTCTCAAACAGGATAAGAATGAGGACAGCTGTGAGGAGGACGAAGAGGACGAGGACGAAGAGGAAGATAGCGACGAGGATACTGATGGCAGTGAGGAGGAGGATAGTGGTGTGGATGAGGATAGTAGCGAGAATTAGGACACCATTATTCACCATAGCTCAATATCAAATAATGGATTTCACACACTTAATAAGAAAACATCGGGATATCGATTATGTGATCATAATTTGTGCTGCCGTCGATCTTTTGACAACGAGGTGGCAATACACTCTATAGTAACCAAAGTCTAGCGGTGCCCTATTGGCATACTGTCAAAAAATCGGTAACAAGACTAGCTCAGCTCATACTAGGCTTCACTCCGCCGATGTCCGTAGATCAGAGCGGCTTGATCAATATCCAGCAAGCATTTTGGTAAGATGCTTCTGATTGACATCAATCCGCCCAGACAAGGGATCAACCATTTTCTTCTCACCTCCAATGACTACCAGACCAGATCTTCTCGAATTTCTGGCCCCGTGGTTCCACTACATTTAAAGTGATATATGTGGATAAGGTTTCATACTGTCAGGTTTACAAAGAGCTCGAAAAATTCCACATTGCCATTTCGAACTGAAACCGACTAGGTATATTCCTATCTAGTCCCAGGTTAAACCCGAAGGTGACTTTCAGGTTTTGCAGGTGCCACATATAAAAGTGCATGGTGACAGCAGCTATAAAATATGCGATTTGAAATGCGATCATGTAGCTCATAGAATAGTGCTAACAGCACTAAGCAATGTCTTAGAGAGGCCCCGTATGTTTGAAGGTCCTGTCCTTTTGATAAATGTCTGCAATGACAATCAAGTTATCTTTACAACGCTACTTCCTGTCAGAAGGTAATCTCAAGGACTGGAGGATGATTTCTTGCATCAAAATGTGGTAGTTAATCGCGCGGAGCCCCTTAGTAGAAGTGATATCCAACTCATCACTGAGAATTTTGAGCTTCCTCCTCGTTCAACGTCGCCCTGTCTCTTTTCGTAACCTCCCAGCAGCAGTTGATGGAGCAGGCTCAGGCCATAAGGATACAGCATCTTCCATTTCCTCCAAAAATGTCGTGCTGTTATGAATTGAAGTACCTCCCAATACCACTCTAACACCAGGCGAAGAAGCATTTATTTGAGATATGCACTTTGCCTCTTCAAAAGTGGCTCCGCCAATGATGAAAATTACAATATCTTGAGGCTTATCTCGAGTTGTTCCCCCACCTTCAACGAAAGGATACTGTTGATCGCGCAACTTTCCTTTGATTAGATCTTGAAGTGTTAGCTCGAGTCGTGGTGAATGTTGCGTATAGACATTTTCTACGCCCTTTAGCCCCTTAAATCGGTCCCGAGCCCCAGAAAATATGTTTGAAGATTCGAACATATCGGTAATACCTCCTGTCGATTGGTTCAGTTGCAAAGAAGAATGGTAAATGAGAAGCTTAGCTACGAGATCGATGCGTCTTTGAGGAACGTTTCCGGCTGCGCCAAGGAGATCGACAAGAATCGGTAATGCATTTGACGGGTGTTTCTCGTATCTAAGCGAGTACAGGGCAACCAATCTCAGCTTGTTGTCGGGAGTAACAGTGGGAGACTGAATTAGTCTCTGTACATTCTACAATGCTTGTTAGTAAATGGGAGGTAGCGTCAAACGAGAGCTGCTAACTTACTTTTAGATCACTGGCATGAGCATCGTTGCACGCCAAGCTCTGCTCGACTTCACTGACTTCCAATAAATTATCTGAACCAACCATTCTACTTAACTCACCAACCAGGGTGACATGTTTACTGACGTTGCCAGAAAGTTTGCGAAATTCGGGGTATTCTTCGATGAAGCGCTTCATATCAGCTATTGATTCAATATTCGAGCTATTTTTGGTTCTTGATTGATACTGCTCGACATAATCTTTGATATTGCCACCGAGATCACCAAAGTTGAGATACATATTCTTCTTGAAGAATGGATCCTGGTCTTGCGACAAGACGACTTCTTTCAACTCGGGACGAATTTCTGGTACCTCGCTGAGGTCAACCCGCCCATTCTTTATACCAAGAAGTTCGTGAACCATAGCTTGATATGTCCACTGTGTTAAAAGTGGTGTTATAGGGTCGTCCCGTCGATCTAAAATTAACAGAATTGGAGGAGTATCCACTTTCCTGAAGTCAAATAATTGATCTTCCTGAGCAATGTGATATCGTACTTCCGTAGCCAACTTCTTTGCGAGCAAACTGTTCTTTTCGTATCGAATGAGAGGCTTCTTCTTTAACGATAGCAATACCGCGATGAGCCCTTCGGTTGTACGTTGTAATGCATCTGGATTCCACATGTCTGGATTTGAACTCCATATTCGTTGCTTCGGAAACCCGAGATCAAATGTGAATAGGTCTGGATTTACTACAATATAATCTGCAAAGTGCTCTTGAACTAGCTTGACCACTTCATGATCATCTGCTTCTGCCAATCGCTCCAGGGATGACTTCTTCACAACATTACTGAAGTACACATTGTATTCACCGTATTTGGGATCGCGGAATTCGTCAATTAGGAATTGTATAGACTCTGCCGACGGTCGAACGAAACACAAACATTTCAGATGGCGCATTTTCTCCCTATTTTGGTTGTCCAATCGATCGATGAGGTATACTTCATGGTTCAAAAGCGCAGATTGTGTAATCGCAGTAGAGACAATGGACACGGTATCACTATCCAGTAATAAGACCTTCATCTTCGCAGATGGCGTCCCAGAAGCTCCGTCTCCTGCAGACACCATCTTCGAGATATACCCCGATACAGCTTGAACGACATCCATGGTGTTTCTTATTTGGAACTCAAGGTCGAATAGCTTGGAGGGTTTAATGTCGAGGGCGCATAAGCATGTCTTGTTTTGTATTGTTTCGCCGTACAAATTGTAGATTGTCGAAGTATGAAGAAACTGTATAGATCGCCGTAGTCTTCTACTGAAACAAGGCTTCGAATAATAATAAGGGGAGGTGATTTGCATGTACGAAGTAGCTCTATTTGCTCGTAAGTGTTAATCGGTCAAGCTAGGACAAGGCGGAGGAAGCAAGGCTCGGGAGCAAGGCACGACCCGTTCTTACATATCCCACTAAACTCGATCCACCCCACCACCGCCCGGCAGAAAACGAAGCGTTGTGACATGTGTTGATCATCCGAATAAATAAATAATTACCAAGGAAGTTCGCCAGCTCGCAAGATACAAACAACTATCTGTCTTTCTGTCACTCAAAACACAATTCTTACTTCACTGATGGAGAAACGGTAGCACCTCAACAACTCCCTTCAATTTATAGTACATGGAAACTATCCATCTCCAACAATGTTACCATACATCGATGCTTGTAAGGCTTTACCTCTACAATATGTGACGTAGTCTGACAAGTATCTATGCAGCTTTCGAATATGCCGCAGGCCTCTTGGGAGCCTCAACTGATGAACGTATGGATTAAGCAAGCAATGTGGATTAGATATCAAGGACTTGAGTTTCATTCTGACATCCAACAGTAAAACTCATTACTTCCTTCCTCCTATCATATCCATTCGCAGGACTCTTGAAACGAGTTCCAGATTCGAGACCTGATTTGAAGAATTTCTTCATCATTGGGTGCGTAAACTACTCGACAAGCACACTCTCTTCTCGATTTGCTAACCTGTCAACTACCAGGGTTTCCTCGTTTTACCTCCTTGGGCTTTTCGATTTATGGGGTGGTACAAGAACACTGGCTATTAGTTCCATCGGCGCATACTGCATTGCGAAATATGTGCAAGGTCCTTTTATGCCATGGGTTGGATTCGTATTCTTGATGGCACATTTGTCAGTGAACCAGCTGGCTCGACAATTTGCTAACAATCCAGGAGCGGTGGATATTACAGGGGCTCAAATGGTGATGGTTATGAAACTGTCCGCATTCTGTTGGAATGTTGCAGATGGCCGACTGAAAGATGAAGAATTGACTGAAGATCAAAATGAAAGGGCCATCAAACAACTTCCAAGCTTGCTAGATTACGCTGGATACGTCCTTTTCTTCCCATCTCTCTTCGCAGGTCCAGCTTTTGATTATGTGGACTATAAGCAGTGGATTGAAACCACAATGTTCGAAGTCCCTGCTGGCATTGATCCCTCAAAGAAACCCCCAACTCGAAAATTAAGGAAAATTCCAAGGAGCGGCACTCCGGCAATGTGGAAAGCTGCTGCTGGTTTGGGTTGGATCTTACTTTTCTTGAAGCTATCTGCGTGGTATTGGCCTGATCTTTTGACTGGTGATGAGTACATGACTTATGGTTTTGCTCGCCGTGTCTTTGTTCTTCACATGGTCGGTATGACTGCTAGATTGAAGTATTACGGTGTATGGGCATTGACTGAGGGTGCATGTATCCTCTCAGGTCTTGGGTATAAAGGTATTGATCCAGTTACTGGCAAAGTCTCTTGGGACAGACTTTGCAACGTTGACCCGTGGGGAGTGGAAACAGCCCAAAATACTCGCGCATATCTTGGAAACTGGAATATGAACACGAATAATTGGCTTCGAAACTATATCTATCTTCGAGTTACTCCGAAGGGCAGGAAGCCTGGTTTCAGAGCTAGCATGGCAACCTTCGTAACCAGTGCTTTCTGGCACGGATTTTTCCCTGGTTATTACCTCGCATTCATCTTAGCCAGTTTTATTCAGACCGTTGCAAAGAGTACGTCTTATTCCCCTAACCTCACATTGATCCCTTAACTGACCATCTCCAGACTTCCGTCGTTGTTTCCGCCCCTTCTTCATCGACCCCAAAACTTCTCAACCCACATCTCACAAACTATACTACGATGTCTTCTCGTGGCTAGCAACACAAGTTGTATTCTCATTCACGGTCGCTCCCTTCATACTCCTTACTCTCCCCGCTTCATTCCTCGTTTGGTCACGCGTCTATTTTTACGCTGTTATCGGTACTGCCCTTTCAACCGCTTTCTTCGCCTCGCCTGCTAAATCGCATTTGATGAAGATGGTAAGCGAGAGAACTAGCAAGGCTGATAAGGGAATGAAACATTCAGCCAGTATGGAGAGTTTAGGAGGCAAGGAACCAGTTCTTGGGTTACCGGCTGATCCATCGAAGG